CTTAGTGTCCTTTTTTTCAGTGTTTCGTAATCATATAAATGTAGAAAGCAAACATGAAAGAGATTAAAAAAAAATTGCTCTGAGAGACATGTAGTGTATGTATCGCTACTGTGTATGGTACATACCACTTTTTGGTGGACACACATGAGACTTTTTGATCTTTCACTCTTGCTCCATTGAAATAAAGTAAGATATATTTATATTGTAGAAGTGGCCACTTCCGTCATAAAAGATCAAACTAAATATCCCATCTGACATCACTGTATTTTCCCTTCAATTTGGAGTTCTCAGCTACGTGTTGTTTCCGAGACAAACTGGTATGAGTAATATGGAACTCAACCGGATGAAATTTAACTTTGATATTATATCGCTGCCTAACATGATTCTATATTTGGCACAAAAAGCCATTTTGAGAAAATAAAGTTTGTCTAAGTACAAAAGTAAAAAATTGTAAAAAAATAATTTCGCAAGAGCAAATTTTGTTTTGTTGACCAAGAACTGAAACCGTAGTACTACCATTAAAAGAAATGAAAAAAATTATGTAAACATTGCTTGTAACATGATTACCCCACGTGACCTTGACATACTACCACGTGACCTTTACTAGTGAGATTTACCTGTTAACAATAGCAATTCGCGTGTCACAAAAAATATATTAAGTCAGCAATAGCTTCTGCATTGACTGTTACGGGTAAACATTCATCTCATAACTATGCAACAGATATCAAATGACCTCAAAAGCTTTTTAAAAATGGCTCTAGAATGCTTCTGACCTGTTTGGAAAATGATTCTTTTCTCGTAACTTGAATAAAATTGACAAGACAGTGTGATTATTATTAATATTATTATTATTCAAGACACGTCCTTCTTTGCATTTCCTCAGAATAAATAGTTTTCTCTACCATGGAAGAAATTTTCGTTCGGGCGGAAAAATTTCGGAAGCGAAAGTCATGGAGTTTCTTTAGGTCTTATCCGATTCTTTGTGCGCGAGCGAGTGCCTTCTTTTTGTTTACAGCAAGAACTTTAGATTTAAGGTTTTTTAGATATAAGTGCCTTTCGCTACTATGCCACAGATTTCTAAATGACAAAGAATATTGTGGGAAAGTGGTATCCCATTCATAACATAGTGTGTATTCGTGCGTAGCGCTTTATGCCTTGAAAAGCGGAGAAAAAAGCTGTGACGACAAACCAGATCAACTTCCTTTTCTAAATGCAGAATATTTAGCGAAGTAGCTGGCTAGAATTAAACCATCCATGAAAAACTTGAAAAGCAAACTGATATGATGATAACAAGTTAGGAATCAGGACAGAAGAAGGATAACTAAGCGCACTAACGAGAGAAAAAGTTTACCTCTAAAGAAATGCAGTTTTTCTTCAGTGGGCGAAATCCAAGGAGGAGAAATCTGTGTCCACCAAGCTGGAATGCAACAGCTGTTTCAGCAATGAATTGTTTATCTTTTTTAGCCATTAAAGAGGAAAAAAAGTCAGGAGAATTTTGAAAATTTTTGGCTATTGCGGTTGTCGTAGAATCCTTTTGGGTGAAATTCGCCCTAGCACAGATACCTTTTACGCTTACACTAAAAGGTAAATATGACTGCAATTCTGCGGCAGATGACCGCAGACCGTGGTCTAGCTCATGAAACGTGAATGATAGCGAACAAAAACGCTTGAAAGAACAAAAGTAGTAAATGATTTACCCCTCAGGGTCTAATTTCAATAAATAAATCGTATGCCAAGCAACAGAAACTATCACAGGAAACAGCTCCCGGAAAATTTCTTGTGTATGCTGTGGCTTAACTCACTCTGTCTCTAATTTTTTCCCTTTCTGACAATTTGGCTCTCAAACATTATCAACCATAAAAGCAAAAGTATAGGAAATTTTTAAAAGGGGAGGAAATTTAACCACAATATATTGCCTTAATTCGAAGATAGGATCTGTTTGTTGAGTTCTCAATTTTCTGTTGCCGATTCCCCGTATTTAACCACAAGATCAATTACGTTAAAATGGAAGGCGCCATCTGTTTATTCATTCATCAGTTTCTGTTGCGAACTCACTGTACTGTTATTTAATATATCCTTCGTGAGCAATTTTTTATGTACCAAAAAATGGAAAAGGTCTTGTTATCGGTAATTCAACCCCTACTTTTATGATAATGTCGAGTACGTTAGCGCGCTTGATGTTAAGAAATTAACATTTCTTACCTTATGAAAATTAAATGTTAACATAAAGATGAACGTGAATACTGTGTCCGGAATTATTATCACAGAGTGAGTCTCTAAAGAAGAAATATAATTGGCACAAATGAATAAAAGGGGTAAGTTTCTGAAGAAACGCTCTGACGAAGGGAAAACACTCGAAACGTCAGCTTTGAAATTCTTTAGGGTGGCAAATTTATGTCATCAACTCGGTTGATAATACTAAATTACCCTGCTAAAGCCGGCACAGTCATGTTGCTCGAGCCTTTCATATCTGTAATTACCTTACCTGGGTTCTTCTTCATCAAGCTGGATGTGGTTGTACGTACTCGCCTTCGAGTGACTATCGAAAAGGGTTTCCGAATTTTTTTCCTCTTTGAATTGTCAGGTAAGTGGAAATAGTCATTATAACCATTACTATAAGAAGCATTGTATACCTTCTGTATCCCAAGGACTTGCTTTGACTAATATTGGTTGGTTTTCAGACAATTAATACAAACATCCTTCTTTGAGTGGGATAATTTTGCACATTTCAAACACAAGTACACACTTAACACGCGTCATCTTGGACGGAGGGAAAGCAGGTTAAATTAATAATATCTATCCATTAACATCAGGATAACCAAAATTTCTCATCGAATTCGATAATGGATGAATGAAAAGATATCTAATCCGTACAGATTAATATAGCGAGGCTCGTGTCGTCATTGTGAGCAGATGCAATATTAAGCCTTCACTTTGAGATAAAAATATGTTTTTTGATTATGTCCTTTTGTAGTGAAATGCCAAAATAAGTTTTTTAATTTGATGCAACGAGTTGTTTGTTGAATGGTTATTCGCCTCTGTAATGCTGTTTAAAGAAGGAAGGAAAGAAAGGCTGCAAAGATGTAATGATAAAACTGGAAATTTGTAAATTTTGTAGCCTCAGAGTAATTTTAGACATTATACTCTAGATCCTGAACGTTAAATCCATGTCATTAGTAATTATTTTCAAGACGTAAATGCCGCACGCTCAAAGGGTATCGCCGGCGGAGATATAGCCTTATAAGAATAAAATTAATTAATAGACGTATCCCAATATATGAAAAATTCAAATGACTCAATGAAATCAATATCAAGTTTAACTCACGAAGCCGAGAAATCATTTTCAAACTCATTCCTCAAAAATTTTTTTCTTCAAAATCAAGTCATTTTTATGAACTTGTTCCCACTCATGTACACTCTTTTTTAAACTGAAAGGCAAAATTTTTTTTCATCCAAAGTCCTTGCCACCAAATGACACCGTGACTAGATCGTATTATACCACCAGTTTCAAGTGTTCAAAAGACAAAAATGTCTTACAATTTTGTCATCAGTACAACCAATGTAATTGCAAATCCATTTTTAACCCTTTAACACTCACGAGTGACCAAGACGGAATTTCTCCTTACAATATCAATACAATATCAAGCAGGCAAGTGACGAGAATAAAGAAAGCTATCAATTAGAGGATTGTTAGTTGATCCAATGCTAAATTCTCCGAACTAACATCATAATAATTGTGGGACAGACGCCAAAAAGAATTACCAATGAGATCCTGGCGGAAAAAGGGTCAAGCATCCGTACTTCATATAACCTATAGCTATCTAGAAATATAATTAAGTCTTAATAATCACTTATGAAGTGAAGTTCCTTTGTCTTCCGTTGCACGATCTGCACGAATCACCTGAAGAGCTTTCTGTCTCTAGTCTATAAAAGTGAGGCGGTGTGACGAATGTCCAATCTTTTTTCCTATCCTACGCCTCCTTTAATAAATATGAGTATTAAGTAATCTCTTGCAGTTCCCGAGAAAGATTTCCGTAATTAGGTCCTGGCAGGATTCCTTGTGAATTTTAATCATTTCTGTTCTGTTTTCTGTTACCACGAGAAAAATGATCCTTAATCCGCGCCGTTAGCCTTTAAGGGTGACACTGAGCATCTAATTTCTCCTTAAAATATCACCCGTGAGTCAAACTTTGAGGTCATGAGAATACAGGGAATGATCACCAACACTCTCGATTTGTAAACAAATTCTCCTTGGCAGTACCTTAGGAAATGAACAGAGAACAGTATAGAGAGTTTGCATACTAATGTTAGGTTGTAAAGGACTTATTTGTCAGTTTGGTTCACTCTTGTCAAAACACCTTGGCATTGTTTCAGTTTGCTGACTTCTGTTGCCTATATCTCCTGTTGTTCCTTCTTCAGTAAAAGAGGTATCCTAAGTGTCTATCTTTTCCCTTTCTTTTCGTTGAGCATTAATTTTCACTAATAATTCCCCGGTAATTTGCACTGAGTGGCTCTGATTAGTCTCTTTGAACGAGAGTGGAAAGACTCTTTGACTCGCGATCGAACGATCCTTGCTGATTGTTGTCACCGTTCGTAACTGATTCACTGCGAATATTGTTAAAAATTTCACAGCGAAGAATTCTTTAAAACTCTCTCCTGAAAAACGGACTCATCCTTGTATAAATGAAAGGATGAATGTTGTTTGACAAATTCAAGAACAATGCATCATGGCATTTCTCCCGCAAGACTTGCCAAGATGGTAATGATCCAAGCAAGAGCTCAACCCAAATATTACAACGAATAACGACCCGCTATTTTGGATTGAATGTGGGCTAACACTGGCTTCCCTTTTCTAGCAGTGTTAGCCTCACGCGTTACAATTTACACAGTGAACTCTGTGTGGTGCTTTAAGCAAGGGGAATGGCTCCTTGACTAAATCCCTGTTGATGGTCTTCGCCTTTCGAGCCTGATTCATTGCGAATTCTGTCGAAAAAAAATAAACAGTGAAGGATACCTTTAAACTCTCGCCTAAACAACGAATTCATACCAGCGTAAATGAAAGGATTAACGGTGTTGGACAAATTCACGAAGAAAGCGCACAACAGTTGAACATTGCAAGGTACTTTTCCCACAAAACGTGTCATGATGGTAAATACCCAAGCGGGAACCCAGCATATCATGAACGCAAATACTACGACGAATAATGACTTGCTTATCTGAATTTCATGTGCGCTGACGTCGGCATTTCGTCTTTGACCGGAATCCATGATGATCAAAGCTTCGTTTCGTGATTGAAGATCTGCCATTTTATTCCGATCATTAAATATGTTACCGACGTTTCTTCAGCTGATGCTGATTTACGTGGCGTATTTTTCTCCTTCGCCAGTTCCTGATGAGCTTGTGAAGAATACAAGGTATACTACGGTAGTTTAAACCAAATGTTCCAAATAACTCGTAAGTCGATGGGACTGAATGAAATATCCGCGCTAACTTTCTCAAAACAAAAGATTACTAGTATAAATGGTTTGGTAAATAAGACAAGAAACTGCCTTAATCTTAAGAACACCTTGACTTTCTCAAACAGTTGGGAGAAAATTTGACTCACCGTAGAGACAGATATCAGTTCTTTTATAAGTTGTAAAGAGAGCTTCCTCATAATGATGACAGTAAGAGTGTGCTATTCATGAAATACAATAAAGAAAGAAATTGTGTATTGGAAATTTGGCTGAAGAATTTGAGATAGGGTTTCGCACTTTACTATTGACGGCTGTAACACGCATTGCTAATGGTGAGACGTACGCAACAATTAGTTAAAAAGTGTGTGCATTTGGGAAATTATATCACCAAAGGGTTGTCTTCCTGTAATAAGCACTCCTGACGCCAAGAACGCTATTACTAAAATTGTTATTCTCACGAAATATGTGTACAATGATCTCAAGTTACCAAACGCCGTCACGTATCTAATATCGTAATTCGATTTAGAACTTTTCGGTTCTGATTGCGGTGAGAAACGTGAGCAGGTGGCTGTCTCAGAGGTTTGCTTTCGACCTCAGTTCGTAAATTTAAAGTTGAGATATGAAGGTCATTAACTGTTATTTCTGTACAAATTTACAACAGCTCATCAATTGCTGACCAGCAATAGCCTTAAGGATACAAGTAACTGTGATGCTTTTAACAGAGAGGTATACGTTAATACGAAACTTCACAATGATGACATCTGTTATCCTCGAAAGTATTAACCACTGTAATTTTACACCGGCCTGTGGCATGATTGTATACTTTCACGCCTATGATATTTCGTTCCTGAAAATCGAATTCCTCACCTCACGATTGCGTACTTCTTGTTTTGATTTTATTTTCGTTGATTGTTCATTATCACGTCCAAGACGAAACTGGCGCCAAGTAATTTACAAGGTGTGGTGCTGTGTGGTGTTTTGAGCAAAGGCGACAGTTCTTTGACTCGATCCCTGTTGATTGTAATCGGTGTTCGAGCCCGATTCATTGCGAATTTTATTGCAGTATGCACAGTGGAGTATTCTTTTGAACTCTAACCTAAACAACGGATTCATTCCGGCGTAAATGAAAGGATTAATGGCGTTTGACAAATTTACGAAGAAAGCGCATAGCAGTTGAACATTGCGAGGTACTTTTCCCAAAAAGTGTACCAGGATGGTAATCAACCAAGTAGGAACCCAGCATAACATGAAGGCAAATACTATGACGAATAATGACTTGCTTATTCGGATCTCATGTGCGCTGAAATGGGCATCCCGTCTTTGACTTTGATGGGTCATCGCTAAATTGATGTTGTGTCCCTGGATCTTTCTGGAGACTTTTCGGTAGCTGAAAATCGTCACCGCTAGGGGAAAAAGGAAAAACAAGCCAAAGACCACAAAATAATGAAGTATTTTGCTAGATGCAGCCAGATGTTGGTTCAAGCACGTGGCATACTCTGGTACAAATTGAAAGCCTTGTAGACCAGCCAAGCGAGAAAACAGGATGTAACCAGCAATTAAGCCCCATACAAAGGTCAGCAAGAGGCGGGATTTTATTGGGGAGAAGAACCGTTTATACTCCATATCTGACTTGCATATTCTCATGTATCTGTTAACTGCTGTTAAACCCATCGTCACAGGTGAAACGTACACAGCAAATAGGCTGAAAAAGGCATTTACCTGGCAAAGCACTCTACCAAAGGGCCATTTTCCTGAAATGAGCACTCCGGTTGCAAACGGCATGAGGAAAATGGCGCTCAAAAGATCGCTGATAGCCAAAGCGATGATGTAAATGTTAGTGGTAGAACGCAGTCTTGTATTCCTATACACGGCTATACACACCATGATGTTGCCTCCCAGAGACATAATATTCAGCGCAATCATAAAGCCGGACTCCACGATGGTCAAAGCTACACTGCGTGATGGTAGATCAGCCATTTTATTTGAAGTGTTATCGTTATTGCCACAACTTTTGCTTTTCTTCTATTGTTTCAGTTGATGAGACGAATGCTTGTCCTAAGCTGGTTTCTAATGGGCTTGTGTCAAATGAAAGTATATTAGTTCCCACCAATTTTCTGAGGAAATCTTCGTTCAATTGGTTTCCAAAAATGAAAGGTGTTGATTGTAGCTGTAAAGCAAAAATGGAAGGCCTTATGTTAATTATACCTTTTAAGCTTCGTGGGCAGCTGGAGGAGCGTTTGACACACCGGTGATGCTCAATATGACTAACTTCCTGCCAAGCGTAAGATCTCGGTTTTGTTATTTTCAGGTGCCACATTCTCAAGTAAATTAATCATCAAAACCAAACAGAACCAAGGAATTTATTGACAGGCGCCACTGATCCTTCAAAGTAAAACAGGTGACCAACCGTGGATTGTTTTTAGCTTGTTTCTGTCCATTAAGACGTTGGCGCAAATTTTCTACACCATTCATAAGGAGCGATGAAGTAAAACAATGCAATATTAGACCGAATACTTTCGACGCTTTCTAGAAAAAGTACACTATCCTTTTTGTAGCCAGTAGTATCTCTAGCTTTGGAAATTCAATATGGTTATTGTATAAGAGAGAAAGGTATTCGATTTTATTTGCACCTCGAGAAGATGATTTTTCATCGCCATGTTGTAAAAATTTTGATCTTCTTATTTTTAGTGAAAAAGTAATTAAGCATCATCCCACGAAAAATTGGATAAAATACACGGTGAGAACTATTTTAAGTAAAAAGCACAAACAGCCAATTTTTTTACCTTCCGCTTCAAAAAAGTCAGGCTGTTAATGTAAATTCTGGTCATATTCATAACACTCAGTGTTTACAACAGGTAAACATGTTTGTCTTAAATTCTGTGACAGACGATCAAATGACAGAAAGTGAATCGTGTTAAGTTGTTGATGGTAAATTGTTGTATCAAGGAACAAAAAGAAAGAATGGAAAAAAAAGAAAAAAAAAGAATGACACCTCCACGTTTAACACTTTTGACTGAGAACATCACGTGGGAACCAAAGTCAACTCTGTATTCCGCATGCGTGATAGAAGATCGAGAGTTTTCTCCGCGGATTTTAATTTTCATCTACTGCCTCAGTTGACATAACATATTGGTCAGCATCTTTTCTTAATTTTGTAGATACCAATGTATGTTAGTTTAAATCAAATATTAGTCAGACTCTTTGAAGGGCAAGGGGAGACTTTCATAAGGGCGAATTGGAAAATTAAGAAAAGGAAGCCTCATTTTGAATATAACATCTTCTTTAACCTTTTTGAGAGCCGGCGAGATGTAGATCTTATCTGTGTTCTTGATGTTTTTTATGATGATGGCCTTTATGTGATGAAGGCGATAAATGCGCGTGAAGGAAACAACGGATGTAAAAACGTCGTGCAGCAGTTGAGGATTTTGGAATTTATTCGAAAGAAAAGCAATTGCGCGGGTATTTTAAATCAATGCTTTTGACGCTTTCTACTCTGTCTCGGAAGTTATGATCCATCAAATATTTTTGCTTGCCCGCAATTACTCGAAACGTTTCACATGATGATGGAATATGCCCCAGCTAAACCAGTGAAGAATATGCAGGAAATATACCCCTTTAGACGAGGCAGCTGAAATATTGTCCGAAAAATGAATATTTGATCGAGAAGCGAAACCTCGAGGGAAAATATGAAATTTTTAGGACAATCTCTCAGCCAGGGGCATTATTAGCCGATATACCAGCAAATCAGATGTTGCTTATTTATTATATAACCCATTTATTAAATTTAGCATCGAAGGTTGACTAAAAATTTGTTTGAATGTTTTTTAGTTTCCGGGGTAGCATTCGAGATTAGCTTTTTCATGTCACTACCTGTGGACTCTAGAAAATGAGCTCGTTTTTCTTCCATGTAAAGTAACAAAGATTAAAAATTGAAACTCTTATGGTGGCTTTTTCCGCTGGCCTTGTTTTCTTTCGTCAAACTGAATCTCTTTCTTTATTTTCGATATGGGAAAGGGATGAAAATTTTTACTTAATTTGCTCACTTTGGATCATCGAACGCTTGTATGCGCGGTTAGGATATAACTATACTATAAACCTTACGAAGAGGTATTCAAACGCATTTTTAAAACGGATAACGGCCTTCTTCCACAACAAATTATGCATTATAACTCCTGTTTATTATGCTTTCCTGTTAGTAGCCCACCAACTTCATAAACGGCATTAAGGTCAGAGATTAAAGGGAACGATAACCCATTAAAGAAGCTCTGGATTGTTAAACACATTCTCCTTGTCAGCACTTTTGAAAATGCATACAGAGCAGTATGGGGAGTATGCATATTGATGTTAGGGTGTAAAGGATTAATAGTTTCCTTTTTATTATCAGGTCTATTTCCACGTTCTTACATAAGTTCTGATGCCGATGATTCTATTTTAAAGAAAAATTAAAGTACGGCAAATGCATTCGTAGGTCGATGGGCTAAATGAAATATCCGCGCGCTAACTTTCTCAAAACAAAAGATTACTAGTATAAATGGTTTGGTAAATAAGACAAGAAACTGCCATAATCTTAAGAATACCTTGACTTTCTCAAACAGTTGGGAGAAAATTTGACTCACCGTAGAGACAGAAATCAGTTCTTTTATAAGTTATAAAGAGAGCTTCCTCAGAATGATGTTAGTAAGAGAGTGCTATTCATGAAATACCATAAAGAAAGAAATTGATGCAGAAACAGAAAGCACTTATCAAGAAAGTTTGAGACGTTTCCGAGGAACACTTTTGTGTAATGGTGATAAATCGACAAGCATACATTCTCTGATGTGCATTACATTCTCATTAATGATAATTTGACTTAAGCACTAATGATTATAATTACGTTCAATCGCTAGAAATATCAACCTCTATCCCTTAATGATAGCCATTCCCATCATTATTAATCATTCTCAGAATCTCCTCCATTTTCAACCTTCAAAAAGCTAATTGATGACATCTTTTGTGCGTTGTAGATCGCGTTGGTTTTACACCTACTTCTCAGAGACACTTACCGTGAAAAATAATAAAGCCCAATTTGCTTGTGTCTCATCAGAATCCCTACAATGAATACACGGAATGAGCGATTTAAAAATGGAGAGACATCTTCCTTTCTATTTGACCTCGCAGGTTTGTTATAAATCACACATTAAAAAGATTTCATTAAAATAATTCTAGAACAGCTAATGATGATCATTTTGCGAGATATAAGGAATTGCAGATCCATTTTTTACGCTTCCGTGTTGTAACCCATTGCTTTTGACACATAGGTTTAATCCCATGTCTCTCAACAATGTCTTTTAGATAGCTGGTTTATATGTGAGACCTCGTATTATCTCTAACAGTGCTAATGATTCTATTTTGAGAACAATAAAGGTGCTGTAAATCGTTTGTTTATCGTCTTTGGGCCACTGCCCCACTGTCATTTGTAAATATTTTTAAAGCCAAGTTTTGAAGCTATTTTTTTCTGTAACAGAGTACAACTTCGTCCTGTCTGCAGTTTCTCTCTATCTCTGTCGTGTCTGCTTAAAAGTGAACGTTTCATTTATCTTTTAAGAATAAGTTGACGAATTTTTTTTCAATCTTTTCCTCCTTCCACCAAAATGAGTCTAAGCGGAATCCGCTCTGAGGATTATAACACCGAAGTCTTTAAAGCTAGGATGCAAGGTACTCATATAAGCTCAGTTTGATTAACTAAAACAAATAACGATCACTTTTAAGAAGAAAGAACTTAAGCGAGCGTGTAGAGTAGTCCTTACCAAGGAGTCTACAGTGCTGAAATGTAGTGTATTGGAAATTTGGCTGAGAAATTTTAGATAGGGTCTCACACTTTACTATTGATTACTGTAACACGCATTGCTAATGATGAGACGTACACAACAAGTAGTTAAAAGGTGTGTGTGTCTGGAAAATTATATCACCTAAGGGTTGTTTTCCTGTAATAAGCACTCCTGACGCCAAGAACGTTCCGTGGATCTATTTACCAATGTATCTAACTGTAACGGTTCTATTGTTAGTCTCACGAAATATATGTACAATGATTTCAAGTAACCAAAAAAGTCACGTTTCTAATATCGTTATTTGATTTAGGACTTTTCGGTTCTGATTGCAGCGAGAAACGTGCGCAGGTGGCTATCTTAGAGGTTTGCTTTCGACCCCAGTTCGTAAATTTAAAGTTGAGATATGAAGATCCTTAACCGTTATTTCTGTACAAATTTACAAAAGCTCAGCAATTGTTGACTAGCAATAACTTTAAAGATACAAGTAACTGTAATGCTTTTAAAAGAGAGGTATACGTTAATACGAAACTTCACAATGATGACATCTTTTACCCTCGAAAGTATTAATCAGTGTATTTTACACGGCCTGTGGCATGATTGTATACTTTCACGCCTATGATATTTCGTTCTTTTAAATCGAATACCTCACTTAACGATTACATACTTTTTGTTTTGATTTTTATTTTCGTCGATTGTTCATGTTAACTTCCTGGACGATACTGGCGCTTAGTAATTTACAAGGTGTGGTGCTGTGTGGTGTTTTGAGCAAAGGCGACGGTTCTTTGAGTCGATAGCTGTTGATTGTCATCGGCATTCGAGCCCGATTCATTGCGAATTTTATTGTTGTATGCACAGTGGAGTATTCTTTTGAACTCTAACCTAAACAACGGATTCATTCCGGCGTAAATGAAAGGATTAACGGTGTTAGACAAATTCAAGAAAGCGCACATCAGTTGAACATTGCGAGGTACTTTTCCCACAAAGCGTGCAAGGATGGTAATCAACCAAGCAGGAACCCAGCATAACATGAAGGCAAATACTACGACGAATAAAGACCTGCTTATTCGGATTTCATGTGCACTGAAATGGGCATCCCGTCTTTGACTTTGATGGGTCATTGCTAAATTGATGTTGTGTTCTTGGATCTTTCTGGAGACTTTTCTGTAGCTGAAAATCGTCACCGCCAGGGGAAGGAGGAAAAACAAGTCAACGACCACAAAATAATGAGCTATCTTGCTAGATGCAGCCAGATGTTGGCTCAAGCACGCGGCATACTCTGGTACAAATTGAAAGCCTTGTAGACCAGCCAAGCGAGAAAACAGGATGTAACCAGCAATTAAGCCCCATACAAAGGCCAGCACGAGGCGGGATTTTATTGGGGAGAAGAACCGTTTATACTCCATATCTGACTTGCATATTCTCATGTATCTGTTAACTGCTGTCAAACCCATCGTAACAGGTGAAACGTACACAGCAAATAGGCTGAAAAAGGCATTTATCTGGCAAAGTACTCTACCAAAGGGCCATCTTCCGGAAATAAGCACTCCGGCTGCAAACGGCATGACGAAAATGGCGCTCAACAGATCGCTAATAGCCAACGCGATGATGTAGATATTAGTGGTAGAACGTAGTCTTGTATTCCTGTACACGGCTATACACACCATGATGTTGCCTGCCAGAGACATAATATTCAGCGCAATCATAAAGCCGGACTCCACGATGGTCAAAGCTACACTGCGTGATGGTAGATCGGCCATTTTATTTGGAGTGTTATCGTTGTTGCTGCAACTTTGCTTTTCTTCTATTATTTCAGGGGATGAGACGAATGTTTGTCCTAAGCTGGTTTCTAATGGGCTTGTGTCAAATGAAGTATATTGGTTCCCACTTATTTTCTGAGGAAATCTTCGTTCAATTGGTTTCCAAAAATGAAAGGTGTTGATTGTAGCTAGGAAGGCCTTATGTTAGTTATACTTTTTAAGCTTCGTGGGCAGCTGGAGGAGCGTTTGACTCACCGGTGATACCCAACATGACTAACTTCCTGCCAAGCGTAAGATCTCGGTTTTGTTATTTGCAGGTGCCACATTCTCAAGTAAATTAATCATCTCAGGGGCATCAAAACCAAACAGAACCGAGGAATTTATTGACAGGTGCCGCTGATCCTTCAAAGTAAAACAGGTGACCAACCGTTGATTGTTTTTAGCTTGTCTCTGTCCATTAAAATGTTGGCGCAAGTTTTCTACACCATTCATAAGGAGCGATGAAGTAAAACAATGCAATATTAGACCGAATACTTTCGACGCTTTCTAGAAAAAGTACACTATCCTTTATGTAGCCAGCAGTATCTCTAGCTTTGGACATTCAATATGGTTATTGTATAAGAGAGAAAGATATTCGATTTTATTTGCACGTCGAAAAGATGACTTTTCATCGTCATTTTGTAAAAATTTTGATCTGCTTATTTTTGGTGAAAAAGGTAATTAAGCATCATCCCACAACAATTGAATAAAATACATGGTGAGAACTATTTCAAGTAAAAAGCACGAACAACCAATTTTTTCTTTCCTTTCCGCTTCAAAAAATTCACGCTGTTAATGAAAATTCTGGTCATATTCATAACACGCAGTGTTTACAACGGGTAAACATGTTTGTCATTAATTCTGCGACAGATTATCAAATGGCAGAAAGTGATTCGTGTTAAGTTGTTGATGGTAAATTGTTGTATCAAGGAACAAAAAGAAAGAATGGAAAAAAAGAAAAAAAAAGAATGACACCTCCACGTTTAACACTTTTAACTAAATACATCCCGTCGGAGCCAAAGTCAACTCTGTACCGCGCATGCGTGATAGAAGATCGAGAGTTTTCGCCGCGGATTTTAATTTTCACCCACTGCTTCATTTGACATAACATATCGGTCAGCATCTTTTCGCAATTCTGGAGATACCAATGTATGTTAGTTCAAATCAAATATTAGTCAGACTCTTTGAAGGGCAAGGGGAGATCTTCATAAGGACGAATTGGAAAATTAAGAAAAGGAAGCCTCATTTTGAATATAACATCTTCTTTAACCTTTTTGACAACCGGCGAGATGTAGATCTTATCTGTGTTCTTGATGTTTTTTGTGATGATGGCCTTTATGCGATGAAAGCGATAAATGCGCACTAATTAAGCGAATCCAGTGAAAGAAGCAACGGATGTGAAAACGTCGTGCAGCAGTTGGCGATTTTTGAATTTATTCGAAAGGAAAGCAATTGCGCGGATAATTTAAATCAATGCTTTTGACGCTTTCTACTCTGTCTCGGAAGTTATGATCCATTAAATATTTTTGCTTGCCCACAATTGCTCGAAACGTATCACATGATGATGGAATATGCCCCAGCTAAACCAGTGAAGAATATGCAGGAAATAAACCCCTTTAGACGAGGCGGCTGAAATGTTGTCCGGAAAATGAATATTTGGTCGAGAAGCGAAGCCTCGAGGGAAAATATGAAATTTTTAGGACAGTCTCTCAGCCAGGTGTATTATCAGCCGATATACCAGCAAATCAGATGTTGCTTATTTATTTTATAACCCTTCCATTAAATTTCGTATCGCATGTTCACTAAAAATTTGTTTGAATGTTCTTTAGTTTCCGGAGTAGCATTCGAGATTAGCTTTATAATGTCAATACCTGTGGACTCTAGAAAACGATTTCGTTTTTCTTCTATATAAAGTAACAAAGATTAAAAAATGAAACTCTTGTGCTGGCTTTTTCCGCTGGCCTTGTTTTCTTTCGTCAAACTGTATCTCTTTCTTTATTTTCGATCTGGGAAAGAGATGGAAATTTTTACTTCATTTGCTCACTTTGGATCATCGAACGCCTGTATGCGCGGTTAAGATATAACTATACTATAAACCTTACGAAGAGTTATTCACACGCATTTTTAAAACGGATAATGGCCTCCTTCCACAACAAATTATGCATTATAGCTCCTGTTTATTATGCTTTCCTGTTAGTAGCCCACCAACTTCATAAACGGCATTAAGGTCACGAGATTAAAGGGAATGATAACCCATTAAAGAAGCTCTGGATTGTTAAACACATTCTCCTTGTCAGCACTTTTGAAAATGCATACAGAGCAGTATGGAGAGTATGCATATTGATGTTAGGGTGCAAAGGATCATCGGTTTTGATGCCGATGATTCTATTTTAAAGACAAATTAAAGTACGGCAAATCCATTCGTAGGTCGATGGGACTAAATAAAATATTTTATGCTTCCGTGTTGTAACTCATTGCTTTTGACACATAGGTTCCTTCCACCAAAATCAGTCCAAGCGGAATCCGTACTGAGGATTATAACACCGACGTCTTTAAAGCTAGGATTCAAGTTTCTCATATAAGCTTAATTTGATTAACTAAAACAAAAACGACCACTGTTAAGAAGAAAGAACTTAGGCAAGCGTGTAGAGTAGGAGTCTACAGTGCTGAAATGTGGTGTATTGCAAAATTTGACTGAAGAATTTGAGATGGGGTTCGCACTTTACTATTGACCGCTGTAACACGCATTGCTAATGGTGAGACGTACACAACAATTAGTTAAAAGAGTGTGTGCATTTGCGAAATTATATCATCAAAGGATTGTCATCCTGTAATAAGTATTCCTTACGCCAAGAACGCTATCACTAAAATTTTTTATCTCACGAAATATATGTACGATGATCTCAAGTTACCAAAGACGTCACGTTTCTAATATCGTTATTTGATTTAGGACTATTCGGTTTTGATTGCGGTGAGAAAGGTGAGCAGGTGGCTATCTCAGAGGTTTGCTTTCGACCCCAGTTCGTAAATTCAAAGTTGAAATATGAATATCACTAACTGACAGTTATTTCTGCACAAATTTACAACAGCTCAGCAATTGCTGACCAGCAATAACTTTAAGGATACAAGTAACTGTGATGCTTTTAAAAGAGAGGTATACGTTAATATGAAACTTCACAATGATGACATCGGTTAACCTCGAAACTGAGTATTAATCAGTGTATTTGTACACGGCCTGTGGCATGCTTTCACGCCCATGATACTTCGTTCCTGAAAATCGAATTCCTCACTTAACGATTACGTACTTTTTGTTGTGATTTTTATTTTCGATCCCTGTTGATTGTAATCGGCGTGCGAGCCCGATTCATTGCGAATTTTTTTGTTGTATGCACAATGGAGTATTCTTGTGAACTCTAACCTAAACAACGGATTCATTCCGGCGTAAATGAAAGGATTAATGGCGTTTGACAAATTTACGAAGAAAGCACACAACAGTTGAACATTGCGAGGTACTTTTCCTACAAAGTATGCAAGGATGGTAATCAACCAAGCAGGAACCCAGCATAACATAAAGGCAAATACTACGACGAATAATGACTTGCTTATTCGGATTTCATGTGCGCTAAAATTGACATCCCGTCTTTGATGGGTCATCGCTAAATTAATGTTGTGTTCCTGGATCTTTCTGGAGACTTTTCTGTAGCTGAAAATCGTCACCGCCAGGGGAAGAAGGAAAAACAAGCCAACGATGTCAAAAAAATGAGCTATCTTGCTAGATGCAGCCAGCTGTTGGCTCAAGCACGCGGCATACTCTGGCACAAATTGAAAACGTTGTACACCAGCCAAGCGAGGAAGTAGTATGTAACAAGCAATTAAGCCCCATACAAAGGCCAGCATGAGGCGGGATTTTATTGGGGAGAAGAACCGTTTATACTCCATATCTGACTTGCATATTCTCATGTATCTGTTAACTGCTGTCAAACCCATCGTCACAGGTGAAACGTACACAACAAATAGGCTGAAAAAGGCGTTTATCTGGCAAAGTACTTTACCAAAGGGCCATTTTCCTGAAATGAGCACTCCGGCTGCAAACGGCATGACGAAAATGGCGCTCAAAAGATCGCTGATAGCCAACGCAATGATGTAAATGTTAGTGGTAGAACGTAGTCTTGTATTCCTGTACACGGCTATACACACCAAGATGTTGCCTCCCAGCGAAAAAATGTTCAGTGCAGTCATAAAGCTGGACTCCACGATGGTCAAAGCTACACTGCGTGATGGTAGATCGGCCATTTTATTTGGAGTGTTATCGTTGTTGCTGCAACTTTTGCTTTTCTTCTATTATTTCAGTTGATGAGACGAATGTTTATCCTAAGCTGGCTTCTAATGTGCTTGGGTAAAATGAAAGTATGTTGGTTCCCACTAATTTTTGAGGAAATCTTCGTTCAATTGGTTTTACAAAACGAAAGGTGTTGACTAAAGCTGTAAATCAAAAAAGGGAGGGCCTTCTATTAATCATATCTTTTAAAATTCTCGGACAGCTGGAGGAGCGTTTGACTCACCGGTGATGTTCAACATGATAAACTTTAAGATTTCGGTATTGTTATTTACCCGTGTCACGTTCTCAATTAAATTAATCATCACATGGGCACAAAACCAAACAGAACCAAGGAATTAGTCGGCAGGAGCCACTGATCCTTCAAAGTAAAACAGGTGACCAAACGTGGATTGCTTTTAGCTTGTCTCTGTCCATTAAAACGTTGGCGCAAGTTTTCTAGACCTTTCTTAGGGAGCGATGAAGTAAAACAATGCAATATTAGACCGAATACTTTCGACGCTTTCTAGAAAAAGTGTACTTTCCTTTTTGTAGCCAGCAGTATCTCTAGCTTTGGACATTCAATATGGTTATAATACAAGAAAGTAAGGTATTCGATTTTATTTAGACGTGGAGAAGATGGTTTTTCATTGTTATTTGGTAAATATTTTGATCTTTCTTATTTTTGGTGAAAAAAGTAACTAAGCATCATCCCACAAAGAATTGGATAAACTACATGGTGAGAACCATTTTAAGTAAAAAGCACGAACAGCCAATTTTTCTTTCCCTTCCGCTTCAAAAAATTCACGCTGTTAATGTAAATTCTGGTCATATTCATAACACGCAATGTTTACAACAGGTGAACATGTCTGTCATTAATTCTGCGACAGACGATCAAATGGCAGAAAGTGATTTGTGTTATGTTGTTGATGGTAAATTATTGTATCAAGGAACGAAAAGAAGGAATAGGAAAAAAAAAGAAAAAAAAAAAAGGAATGAAACCTTCACGTCTAACACTTTTGACTGAGAACATCCCGTGGGAGCCAAAGTCGACTCTGTACTGCACATGCGTGATTGAAGATCGAGAGTTTTCGCCGCGGATTTTAATTTTCATCCACTGCCTCAGTTGACATAACATATTGGTCAGCATCTTTTCGCAATTCTGGAGATACCAATGTATGTTAATTCAAATCAAATATTAGTCTGACTCTTTGAAGGGCAAGGGGACCTTCATAAGGACGAATTGGAAAATTAAGAAAAGGAAGCCTCATTTTGAATATAACATCTTCTTTAACCTTTGACAACCGGCGAGATGTAGATCTTATCTGTGTTCTTGATGTTTTTTTTATGATGATGGCCTTTATGTCATGAAGGCTGTGTTCTTGATGTTTTTTTTATGATGATGACCTTTATGTGATGAAGGCGATAAATGCGCACTAATTAAGCGAATCCAGTGAAGGAAGCAACGGATGTGAAAACGTCGTGCATCAGTTGAGGATTTTTGAATTTATTCGAAAGAAAAGTAATTGCGCGAATATTTTAAATCAATGCTTTTGACGCTTTCTACTCAGTCTCAGAATATAATCCATCAAATGTTTTTGGTTGCCCACAATTGCTCGAAACGTATCACATGATGATGGAATATGCCTCAGCTAAACCAGTGAAGAATATGCAGGAAATAAACCCCTTTAGAAGAGGCGGCTGAAATATTGTCCAGAAAATGAATATTTGGTCGAGAAGCGAAGCCTCGAGGGAAAATATGAAATTTTTAGGACAATCTCTCAGCTAGGGGTATTATCAGCAGATATACCAGTAAATCAGATGTTGCTTATTTTTTTTTTATAACCCTTCCATTCAATTTCGTATCCCTCGTTGACTAAAAATTTGTTTGAATGTTTTTTAGTTTCCGAGGTAGCATTCGAGATTAGCTTTTTAATGTCATTACCTGGTACTCTAGAAAACGAGTTCGTTTTTCTTCCATGTAAAGTAACAAAGATTAAAAATTGAAACTCTTGTGCTGGCTTTTCCCGCTGGCCTTGTTTTCTTTCTTCAAATTGAATCTCTTTCTTTATTTTCGATCTGGGAAAGGGATTAAATTTTTACTTCATTTGCTCACTTTGGATCATCGAACGCTTGTATGCGCGGTTAAGATAAAACTATACTATAAACCTTACGAAGAGTTATCCACACGCATTTTTAAAACGGATAACAGCCTCCTTCCACAGCAGGTTATGCATTATAACTCCTGTTTATTATGCTTTCCTGTTAGTAGCCCACCAACTTCATAAACGGCATTAAGGTCAGAGATTAAAGGGAATGATAACCCATTAAAGAAGCTCTGGATTGTTAAACACATTCTCCTTGTCAGCACTTTTGAAAATGCATACAGAGCAGTATGGAGAGTATGCAAATTTATGTTAGGGTGCAAAGGATCATCGGTTCTGATGCCGATGATTCTATTTTAAAGACAAATTAAAGTAAGGCAAATCCATTCGTAAGTTTATGGGACTGAATGAAATATCCGCGCGCTAACTTTCTCAAAACAAAAGATTACTAGTATAAATGGTTTGGTAAATAAGAAAAGAAACTGCCATAATCTTAAGAATACCTTGACTTTCTCAAACAGTTAGAGAAATTTTGACTCACCGTAGAGACAGAAATCAGTTTTTTTATAAGTTGTAAAGAGAGCTTGCTCAGAATGATGACAGTAAGAATGTGCTATTCGTGAAATACAATAAAGAAAGAAATTGATGCAGAAACAGAAAGCACCAATTAAGAAAGTTTGAGACGTTTCTGAGGAACACTTTTGTGTAATGGTGAAAAATGGACACGCGTACATTCTCTGATGTACATTACATTCTCATTAATGAGAAATTGACTTAAGCACTAATGATTGTAATTACGTTCAAACGTTAGAAATATCAACCTCTATCCCTTAATGATAGCCATTCCCTTCATTATTAATCATTCTCAGAATCTCCTCCATTTTCAACCTTCAAAAAACTAATTGATGACATCTTTTGTGCGTTGTAGATCGCGTTGGTTTTATGACCAATTTTACACCTACTTCTCAGAGACATTTACTGTGAAAAATAATGAAGCCCAATTTGCTTGTGTCTTATCAGAATCCCTAGAATTAATACACGGAATGAGTGATTTAAAAATGGAGAGACGTCTTCCTTTCTATTTGACCTCGCAGGTTTGTTAAAAATCACACATTAAAAAGATTTCATTAAAATAATTATAGAACAGCTAATGATGATCATTTTGCGAGATATAAGGAATTGCAGATCCATTTTTTACGCTTCCGTGTTGGAACCCATTGCTTTTGACACATAGGTTTAATCCCATGTCTCTCAACAATGTCTTTTAGATAGCTGGTTTCTATGTGAGACTTCGTATTATCTCTAACAATGTTAATGATTCTATTTTGAGAACAATAAAGGTGCTGTAAATCGTTTGTTTATTGTCTTTGGGCCACTGCCCTACTGTCGTTTGTAAATTTTTTTAAAGCCAAGTCTTAAAGCTATTTTTTTTTCTGCAAAAGATTATAACTTTGTCCTGTCTGCAGTGTCTCCCTATCTCTACCTTGTTCTCTTAAAAGGTTCATTTATCTCTTAAGAACCAGTTGGTGAATTTTTTTCTATCTTTTCCTCCTTCCACCAAAACTAGTCTAAGCAGAATCCATACTGAGGATTATAACACCGAAGTCTTCAAAGCTAGGATTCAAGTTACTCATATAAGCTTAATTTGATTAATCAAAACAAATAACGATCACTGTTAAGAAGAAAGAACTTAAGCGAGCGTGTAGAGTAGGAGTCTACAGTGCTGAAATGTAGTGTATTGGAAATTTGACTGAAGAATTTGAGATAGGGTTCGCACTTTACTATTGACCGCAGTAGCACGCATTGCTAATGGTGAGACGTGCACAACAATTAGTTAAAAGAGTGTGTGCATTTGCGAAATTATATCATCAAAGGGTTGTCATCCTGTAATAAGTATTCCTTACGCCAAGAACGCTATCACTAAAATTGTTCATTAAAAAGCTCACGAAATATATTTACGATGATCTCAAGTTACTAAAGACGTCACGTTTCTAATATCTTTGTTTGATTTAGGACTTTTCGGTTCTGATTGCGATGAGAAACGTGAGCAGGTGGCTATCTCCGAGGATTGCTTTCGACCCCAATTCGTAAATTTAAAGTTGAGATATGAAGATCATTAACTGACAGTTATTTCTGAACAAATTTACAACAGCTCAGCAATTGTTGATCAGCAGTAACTTTAAGGATACAAGTAACTGTGATGCTTTTAAAAGAAAAGTATATGTTAATACGAAACTTCACAATGATGACATCTGTTACCCTCGAAAGTATTAATCAGTGTATTTTTACACGGCCTGTGGCATGATTGTATACTTTCACGCCCATGATACTTCTTTCCTTAAAATCGAATTCCTCACCTAACAATTACGTACTTTTTGTTTTGATTTTTATTTTCGTTGATGATTCATGTTAACGTCCAGGATGAAACTGGCGCTTAGTAATTTACAAGGTGTGGTGCTGTGTGGTGCTTTCAGCAAGGGCGACGTTTCTTTGAGTCGATCCCTGTTGATTTTAATCGGTGTTCGAGCCCGATTCATTGCGAATTTTATTGCAGTATGCACAGTGGAGTATTCTTGTGAACTCTAACCTAAACAACGGATTCATTCCGGCGTAAATGAGAGGATTAATAGCGTTTGACAAATTTACGAAGAAAGCGCATAGCAGTTGAACATTGCGAGGTACTTTTCCCAAAAAGCGTACCAGGATGGTAATCAACCAAGTAGGAACCCAGCATAACATGAAGGCAAATACTACGACGAATAATGACTTGCTTATTCGAATTTCATGTGCGCTGAAATGGGCATCCCGTCTTTGACTTTGATGGGTCATCGCTAAATTGATGTTGTGTTCCTGGATCTTTCTGGAGACTTTTCGGTTGCTGAAAATCGTCACCGCTAGGGGAAAAAGGAAAAACAAGCCAAAGACCACAAAATAATGAAGTATTTTGCTAGATGCAGCCAGATGTTGGTTCAAGCACGCGGCATACTCTGGTACAAATTGAAAGCCTTGTAGACCAGCCAAGCGAGAAAACAGGATGTAACCAGCAATTAAGCCCCATACAAAGGTCAGCAAGAGGCGGGATTTTATTGGGGAGAAGAACCGTTTATACTCCATATCTGACTTGCATATTCTCATGTATCTGTTAACTGCTGTTAAACCCATCGTCACAGGTGAAACGTACACAACAAATAGGCTGAAAAAGGCATTTACCTGGCAAAGTAATTTACCAAAGGGCCATCTTCCTGAAATGAGCACTCCGGCTGCAAACGGCATGACGAAAATGGCGCTCAAAAGATCGCTGATAGCCAACGCTATGATGTAAATGTTAGTGGTAGAACGTAGTCTTGTATTCCTGTACACGGCTATACACACCATGATGTTGCCTCCCAGCGAAAAAATGTTCAGTGCAATCATAAAGCCAGACTCCACGATAGTCAAAGCTACACTGCGTGATGGTAGATCGGCCATTTTGTTTGGAGTGTTATCGTTGTTGCTGCAACTTTTGCTTTTCTATTATTGCAGTTGATGAGACGAATGTTTATCCTAAGCTGGATGGTAATGTGCTTGGGTGAAATGAAAGTATGTTGGTTCCCACTAATTTTTGAGGAAATCTTCGTTCAATTGGTTCTCTTAAACGAAAGGTGTTGACTGCAGCTGTAAATCAAAAATAGGAAGGCCTTATACTAATCATATCTTTTAAAATTCTCGGACAGCTGGAGGAGCGTTTGACTCACCGGTGATGTTCAACATGATAAACTTTAAGATTTTGGTATTGTTATTTACCCGTGTCACGTTCTCAATTACTTTAATCTTCACATGGGCATCAAAACCAAATAGAACCAAAGAATTTATCGGCAGGAGCTACTGATCCTTCAAAGTAAAACAGGTGACCGACCAACCGTGGATTGCTTCCGTGATTGCTAGTTTAGTTTGTCTCTGTCCATTAAGACGTTGGCGCAAGTTTTCTAGACCATTCTTAGGGAGCGATGAAGTAAAACAATGCAATATTAGACCGAATACTTTCGACGCTTTCTAGAAAAAGTGTACTTTCCTTTTTGTAGCCAGCAGTATCTCTAGCTTTGGACATTCAATATGGTTATTGTACAAGAAAGTAAGGTATTCGATTTTATTTGCACGTCGAGATGGTTTTTCATTGCTATTTTGTAAATATTTTGATCTTTCTTATTTTTGGTAAAAAAGTAGTTAAGCCTCATCCCACTAAGAATTGGATAAAATACATGGTGAGAACCATTTTAAGTAAAAAGCACGAACAGCCAATTTTTTATTTCCCTTCCGCTTCAAAAAAGTCACGCTGCTATGTAAATTCTGGTCATATTCATAACACGCAATGTTTACAACAGGTAAACATATTTGTCATTAATTCTTCGACAGACGATCAAATGGCAGAAAGTGATTCGTGTTAAGTTGTTGATGGTAAATTATTGTATCAAGGAACGAAAAGAAGGAATAGGGAAAAAAAAGGAAAAAAAAAAAAAGGAATGACACCTCCACGTTTAACACTTTTGACTGAGAACATCCCGTGGGAGCCAAAGTCAACTCTGTACTGCACATGCGTGATTGAAGATCGAGAGTTTTCGCCACGGATTTTAATTTTCATCCACTGCCTCAGTTGACATAACATATTGGTCAGCATCTTTTCTTAATTTTGTAGATACCAATGTATGCTAGTTTAAATCAAATATTAGTCAGACTCTTTGAAGGGCAAGGGGAGACCTTCATAAGGACGAATTGGAAAATTAAGAAAAGGAAGCCTCATTTTGAATATAACTTCTTCTTTAACCTTTTTGAGAGCCGGCGAGATGTAGATCTTATCTGTGTTCTTGATGTTTTTTATGATGATGGCCTTTATGCGATGACCACGAATTGGAAAATTAAGAAAAGGAAGCCTCATTTTGAATATAACATCTTCTTTAACCTTTTTGACAACCGGCGAGATGTAGATCTTATCTGTGTTCTTGATGTTTTTTATGATGATGGCCTTTATGTGATGAAGGCGATAAATACGCACTAATTAAGCGAATCCAGTGAAGGAGGCAACGGATGTGAAAACGTCGTGCAGCAGTTGAGGATTTTTGAATTTATTCGAAAGAAAAGCAATTGCGCGGATATTTTAAATCAATGCTTTTGACGCTTTCTACTCTGTCTCGGAAGTTATGATCCATCAAATGTTTTTGGTTGCCCACAATTGCTCGATACGTATCACATGATGATGGAATATGCCCCGGCTAAACCAGTGAAGAATATGCAGAAAATAAACCCCTTTAGACGAGGCAGCTGAAATATTGTCCGGAAAATGAATATTTGGTCGAGAAGCGAAGCGTCGAGGGAAAATATGAAATTTTTAGGACAATCTCTCAGCCAGGGGCATTATCAGCCGATATACCAGCAAATCAGATGTTGCTTATTTATTTTATAACCCTTCCATTAAATTTCGTATCGCACGTTGACTAAAATTTTTTACTAATGTTTTTTAGTTTCCGGGGTAGCATTCGAGATTAGCTTTTTAATGTCACTACCTGTGGACTCTAGAAAACGAGTTCGTTCTTCTTCCATGCAAAGTAACAAAGATTAAAAAATGAAACTCTTGTGCTGGCTTTTTCCGCTGGCCTTGTTTTCTTTAGTCAAACTGAATCTCTTTCTTTATTTTCGATCTGGGAAAGGGATAAAATTTTTACTTCATTTGCTCACTTGGGATCATCGAACGCTTGTATGCGCGGTTAAGATAAAACTATCCTATAAACCTTACGAAGAGTTATTCACACGCATTTTTAAAACGGATAATGGCCTCCTTCTACAACAAATTATGCATTATAAGTCCTGTTTATTATGCTTTCCTGTTAGTAGCCCACCAACTTAGTTGGTGTTGGCTGTTAGTAGCCTACGGCATTAAGGTCACGAGATTAAAGGGAATGATAACCCATTAAAGAAGCTCTGGATTGTTAAACACATTCTCGTTGTCAGCACTTTTGAAAATGCATAGAGAGCAGTATGGGGAGTATGCATATTGATGTTAGGGTGTAAAGGATTAATAGTTTCCTTTTAAGCATCAGGTCTATTTCCACGTTCTTACATAAGTTCTGATGCCGATGATTCTATTTTAAAGAGCAATTAAAGTACGGCAAATCCATTCTCACGCTTAAGTTTTTTTGGAGGCAAATACCCTCCTGGCATAAGCCAATAAAATTTTAAATTAAGGCCACGCTTTTCAATTCTTTTCATCCCAATACTGATACTTATTCCTCTTAAATAAGGTAGTCCCGGAGAAGAAAAGAGAAAAGAAAATGGCCTGAAAGGAAGCGAAAAGACCGAAAAATAATAGAACTAACCATTACTTCCATAATTGAATCAAACACCCAGATTCTGGCTACAGGGTCTAAGATATCGATTTTCTAGTCAACTGGTCCTTGTCCTGCATGCACGTTTTGTGTGAATGACTGCGTGCTTTCCGTCCTTCGAAATTGTCTTCGACAGAACTACCACACGATCAAAGGGAAATCAAACTGGAATGAACCAAGCCATCAAGCGATCAAACAGTGTTTAAACTAGAGTAGCTCATACCATCGCGTGTCAAACGGAGACTAGACTGGGGTGGCCCATACTATCACATGATCAAATGGAGATCAAATGGAGATCACGCGGGTCGCGTGTTCCGAGCCTTGTGCAAAGCGCACGTCATCTTCTCTGAAAAAGAAGTGACTTACTATGTACGTAAGTAAACTGACACGGAGGCTTGGTTAACTGATACTAAGTTTGTCGAATGATAGACGGAAAAAATAAAAAAGCTCTTGTCATATTTAGACTGAAAGCGGTGATTCGGTTGCTCATGGCTGAGTAAGATGTTTTTAGGCAGAAAAAGTTTATGGCACTAACAGGGAATACTACGGTTTCAGTCCTTTATCTAGGGATCCTTTCCATCCAGGTCTTTGAGCTTAAACCTTTTTAGCAGCTATCTAGTAACCTGTTGTTAAAATAATACAAAAAGAGATGCTTTCGCTTTAAAATTGCCTTCCGAAGTTAGATTGACTCTAAATTCGGTACATTGTTGCTCTAACTCTTAAGTTTACACACACACCGAGTCTTTGTCCAGTGAATGAAGTTTTGACCAAGTTTGGCCGATCACATTCCCACAGTGCAGCCACTGAGATTTGAAGTCTGATTGGTCTCCAAACCAAAATAAACTCAGAATGGAACTCTGTATGAACGTGAAGTGTACACTCGACTCGTAAACGAATTCTACCATTCCGGTAAGACAGCTTTCCAAATCAAAATTACCGGATAAAAGTCCTGTCGATGGAAATTTGAATTGGTTTCGACGAGTAAATTCTTGATATTTCACGTTGTTGTACCAACGCTGCTGAAGAGAACTGGGTAGTACTTAATTGAATGAAATACTACTCAGTCTTGGGTTGTTGAAGCATTCCTAGAAATGCCGCAGAAGTAAAGTCCAGTCGGGAAAGGGTTTATTTGTTTCGCCAGGTGAAGCTGATACGACTTTCTCTGTGTTTTTGAAGCAGGTGCAGAAGACCACAGATGGCTACTCGACAGCCTGACATTGATAATTACAAAACACACTCCCATGACAAACCACTACATGCATAAAAATGTTCCCAGGAACTCCTTCCAGTGACAGATGAGTGCTACATATCCCTAGGCCAATGCTTCCGCTCCATACCCGATTTATGATCCTTGCTTTCGATGAAGTTAAAGAAAAATACTTTGTTTCAACTGATCAGTTTGTGTATCGTGTATTTAATTTCACCTTGCGAATTCAAACCCTTTAGAACCATTGTCAGCTGGACCCCTAAAAAATAAAAGTGCACGTGGTAAGACATTTACATCTTCTCACGTTAGATTAAGACCCCTTCAAATGTTTTATTGAGTGAGAAAGTTAAAGCTATCGATATCCACCAATAACAGACGCCACAAAAAATGTTACCTGCAGTTAACAGGATAAGTCGATCGCTATCGTGTTTTGTTATCATGCTTTGGTTTTCTTCACGGTTGCGTGCTCATGCTTTCGCCGGAAAAAGCAAGGAGGCACAGTACCGCTCACATATACTGTAGCATCACACGCGCGTCAAACGCGTCTAATTCCCACGAACTAATTGTGTTAACAATAACCGCAATAAACTATTAATAAAAATCGAAAAAAAAACCACTTGTTTAACCATGGCTCTATGACCTTTTGATTTAGATTTGGGATTAGAACCAACCCACATTTTGTGTTTTTGGAAGCCTGTCCATAGTCACAGTCTGTTTTTGTTTTTGCTTTCGTGAGGTTATGGGCCTCGTTTGTTAAATTGTTTTTATTTGTTTGTATTTTTTTCCTTAAAGCGCACATTTTTCTGCAAACTAGAATCTAACACCTTTACATATTTGTCATATGGAACGATGGTTTAGTCATTATCATAGATGTCATTAAACGTAGATTGCACTCGATACGATCGCGGAATTAGATGGACCTATAGGGATGTTAGGTGTGGGGCACAAATTTATGAGTTACATGTAGCATTAAATGAAGACAACCTCCTCACTCTGATCATGTGATTTATGTTACAACACAGATGCACAACAGTATTTCTGTGGCAATGGGTGAATATATAATGCCTTTTAAGAAAAAAGATAATGCCTTTTAAGACTTAAAAAGCTTTCACGTTTTAAAGTTTCCACCCAAGAGTACTTTGCTTGCAAGCAAGTCGAGCGTACTTTGGATTTATTTTTTAATAAATTAGAATGTTAGCCAACGTTGTTTTCCATCTAGGTTCACTCTTGTTATTGTGTTGATGGTGGTAATAATAAATAATAATGATAATAATAATAATGATAATAATAATAACGATGATATTATAATAATATTAATAATAATAGTTATAATAATAGTAACAATAATAATAATAATAATAATAATACACTCGTGGCCCTCTGCAACCCATTGGTGGTGGTGATGCACAGTGTCTGTGTGATGAATGACTACACACGAGGAAACAAAATCCCATGGCTAGACTTCATTAGGTCACGTGAGTGAAATACCAAAACACAAGGTTTTAACTTATGTGTCAAGTTGTGAGTGCAATAACTTCTCAAGAAATCGCGCCAATGGAAGGGTCTACACCATGAAACCAACAACAAAGAATAGTCATAAGGACACGTCCAATTGTATGTTCTGTACCAATCTTTCCCAAATACACTACAGTTTTAAAGTTTACAATATTGCATAAAAAACAATCTACTCTACCTTGGTAAACGTATGACATTCTCTGGCAGTTTCTGCTCCACTTGTAGTAATTGTGGTCTGACATCACTTCTGTATAATTGAAAGTTAAAGTAACATGTACATTTTTGTAAATTGCAAAACAATAATTGAGGACATTTGTGTTTTCTGCAGGGAGAGAAAACTACAGATACAATCCTATGACAAGAGCAGCATTTGAAACAAATGACTATGGAAAATGTACATTAACCTTGCATTATATGCAGGCATGTCGCTAAGGGGAATTGGGATGCCTGTGACCACACTCTTTAGGCAAAGATCTTTCTTCTAGCAAACAACATACCAACACAGGTCGTGAAAAAGAAAGGATCAGAGGAATCTTAATGCATCACATAATGATCAGCCAACAATATTTTGTATTAAGTAAATCAGAGCATGGATGATGCAACAACATCAAGCAGGTACCCTGGGTAACCCTAACTTCACCCCTGGTGTACACATGTACATACATGAATAAAATCATTGTAAGATGATCTACAGGACTAGTGTAACTTACTCTGAATCATTGTTTTCATCTGTTGCAGATCCCAATATTCGTGCCCTAATAAAATGAAACAATAAAGAATAATAAAATTAACAAGAAAAAATCCATTATTATTATTTACTTATTAGTATGATTGCTCTGGTGATTATGGAGATACACACACTATGATTGGTCAAGGATTCCAACAAATCTTGCTATTGTCACCTAATGTGGGGTGATCTTAGCGAGAGTGCTAAATTTCAAAGTGGCTGCATGCCTCACATCTTGTTAGTGTTATTAAGGAAATGATGAATGCAATAAAAAAAAATTCAATTTCAAAGAGCACAAAAGATGCTACTAAGATTGGAGTATCACTTTCCAAAACAAAGATACATGTATGAATTAAGTGAACCTGTTAAATTCTACTGTAAACTGGCTCTTAATCGAAACAATTTAAACAGAATAGTTTCAGGATTAAAAGGAAAGCACTTAAACAAATATAATAAAACAATTATTTGCCTCAGGCTCAGTGAATATTGTTGAATAATCCCCATGCCATTGTTGCAGAGATCATTCAACAATATTCAGCATATTTGTTAGACAACTACATCTACACTATGTACCTTTTAACCTTTCACCCCCCAGATCTCATTTGTAATTCTCCCTACTGTTTGCCATACAATTCTTATAATGTTGGTTTGGAGATTTAGAAATTGGATCAATTAGAAATCCCCTAATTGATATATGTTTTTTTATTCTCATCACTTGTCTGCTTGATATTGCATTAGTATTGCAAAAATAAAATTCCTCAAGGGAATTAAAGGGTTAACCAGGTTTATGATACTACTGCTATATATTGTTTACTTTTATGGATTAAAAGGTTACTAAAAAAACTGTATATATCTAGAACAATTTACACCTGTTCCAGGCTTGTCTCACTTTGAAAAATTTCCTTACCTAGCCTCTGCATATTGTGCTTGTCTCTCTGCTAATGTTTTATGAGCAGGCTTCTCCTTGGAGGATTCCTGATTTTTCAAATTATTTGTTCCACCAGAATCTGGTCGTTTTAATATTCTCAACTACAATATAAAAATTAAAAGAAACAGTTTAAATGAAGTTCAGAATCTGGCAACTTGAAAACACTAAACCACATACAACTTGCAGGTTCAAATCTTACCAACATAATGCACAGTACTATACTGTACATACTATACTATCATCCAAACTGGTAGTATCTTGGGCCTGAAAACCCCTGTTTATTCCCCATTTTATTGTTATGCAAGTAAGAATGAGGCTAAATGCAATTTACACAAGGATAAAATCACCTCAATACACTGGTGTCACCTAAATTGTGATGAGGAAGGCTACTGAGAATTTTGTAGAGAGAGGCTCTGCAGTTTTACTTAATTTACTCAGCTAATTTGCTTTCTTTGTTTTCATTTTGCTGATGGTTATACTTGACAGTGTACTTGACAAACAATTTCAAGGATAATAATTATCTATAGTACTGATTGTTCCTGGGGTTGTACAATGACACTAGAAGGTGGCATTGCAGAATATTTGTCTCACATGCAAAACAGAAAACCTGCTGCATCCTAAATATTTATGAGTACCCTGTTCCACAAGAGAAAGACGATTCAATAATATATTGTCTAATTGACATTAACCTAATAATTAAATGGAAACAAATAATATTAACAATAATAAAAATGATAACAATCATGATATTATAATATTTAACTTAAAAGGGCCAGCTCTAAAGCCCTATGGCTCCCCAGTCCTCTTTCAACAATGATCACCTATGCCTCTTTTAATTCTGCTGTTTGATTTAAATAATTTTATTATTTCCATTGCAATTCCATTTCTTGAGACTTTTGTTTTATACAAAAAGGCATTCTGCATTTTAGGATATTCCATCATTCCTTGTCTTATTGAAGATATTCTACCATTCTGTGGATCCACTGATCCACTGTTCCTCCATTCCATCATTTTGTTGAACAACTCATGGTATTGTGTTTTGCAGAGGCTCCCTTTGCAACTTAGTGGCTCTTTTCAGAATAAGTTGCAGATTCAAGCTGTTTGAATGTTCAGATTGGATCTATTCAGATATTTCTGCATGCAATGGAAAAGTTTTGATTTAAACAATGCCTTGTTGGATGCCACTGTGAAATAATTTTGATATATTCATTGTCTTTTGTAGTGTGAGGGCAAAAACTGAGAAGATCAATCTCCTCTTAGTTTGCTGATTTAAATGGTAAAATATTCTCTCTTCAAAGAAAATAATTTTCTTTTCAGTTCCATGATGTGCAGATCATACCTATTACAATATTTCTACAAGGAAAACTTTTTCTGTAAATTACGTGCAATTCTAAAATTATTGTGAGATGTTTATTATCTCCTGCTGTCCTCTGTTGTGTCATGGGAAGAGCTGAAAACATAATTCACTAGTGGCTAGAAGTCAGAAATCAAAAAAGGAGAGAACTCAACTGTGTATCGAGTGCAAATGTTGAACTACTTGAGACTAAGATAATTTGAAAAAAAACATTAAGTAGTACCAGGAAACATCAGGTCAAAATTGGTTCAAGATTGAAATTCTACTGTTACATTCACTTACTTGCTCACTCATCTTGACAATGCACATGTACATATGTGACTAATGGCCTCCTATGGGAGGCACTAGCCACAAAAATAATGTAGTCATCAGTAAGGAGAGCTAGCTTTCTAGTTGAAAGTATACAGGACTATAGTACATAGTATATCATATTAAATGCACGCTTTATCAACTACAATTTTAATTACCTGTGGCTTGTACAGAGTTCGGTTTGTATCTTCTTGCATCAGAATGGATGAACCTGTCTTAGTTTCTTGCTTTCTAAAAGAAATGATGAGCAAGTAGAATTGTTTCTATGATTTACTATCAGTTTCATTTCACTTATGCCCAAAACAAGTCCCCACATAAAGGTCTGAATACAAACAAAGTTTAACCAATGTTTAACAAAACTGTGATCTAAATTATCTTCAATTCAGCTGAACTTTTTAACTGATCATCCATAATTATGAACAGTATCAAGAGGACCAAACGCTAACAGTGGAAGGGCATTGATTTAATTACACCAAAGAGAAAACCTGAGGTCCACAGCTTCTGTAAAACTGCAGTTTGGGTTAGACTTCATGTAAATAACTGGCCCTACAAGTCGTGAGGTATGTTAAAAAAAAAATCATAATAATTCGAGATAAAATAAAAATTAAAAAAAAAATTATTGAAGATGTGCAGTTAGAATGATATTCCTATGTCAATATGGGAGAAACCCACTAGGAAAATCTTTGAAAAAGCAATTCTTATGTTCTACTTTTCTCAGTATTAATAAATATCTTCCTTTTACCACGTGCTATTATTACATTTGTTGTTAAAGGTGTGATCCCAATTCCCTCTCTTACGTATGTACTCCTCTTGTTTTACTGACTATGAAAAATTGTAATTTAGTGTAAAAGGACATCTAATTAGCTTGCTATATTATGCCCTTCTCCATTTCCTTTATTTTTTTGTAATTATTCAAAGGTTGTGATTGTTGAAATGAAGGAAATAATTAAAAAAAATGTAGGAGTGATCTTCCTAACTCAATACATGTAAAGCATTCACAAGGCAGCAGTCTGGCACTGGATACCATACAGACATGGTTTTATGATGAAGAGGCTTTTTGAAACGTTTTTCCTCGCGAACACTTATGGACAATTGAGTTTAATTTATAGGGAAAGTTGGAAATAAAATATTACTGAATTTATTTTTTATCTTTACAGTACAGTATATGGAAATTGCTTCAATGTCCTTCAATTTAACCACAAAAATACTCACTTGAGACTTTCCTTTATGTTATATACTTTTTTTGATTTAGCTTTGTATTGTGACTCTTCTTACTTTATAGATGTAATTGAAGGTTTCTGGTCTTTTTCTCGTATCTGTTTCTCCCGTTCTTCCATTCGTCTTTCTAATTCCTATAAATGAAATCAGTTGTAAAATCGACCAATAAATTCATTGGCAATTAAAAATTATAGGTAAAAACCTGTTTCTCCAAAAGTAGTATTATCATTACTAGATCGACAGCGGTTGGAACACGATGTCATTCCTGGAATCCAGGGGTTAATTACTGGCAGATGTGAATACTACCTTACAGTTCATTGATACAATTTACGAGAAAAAACCCTCAAAAAATGGGAGTTTTGACTGGGCAGAAATTTATATGAATTACAAAAGTGAGGAAAATAAACATTATCTGCAGATTATTTACCCCAGAATCTGCCATATCTTCCCAACTGTCCCAGATATCGTCATCTTCTTCTTCTGCCGCCATTTTGACTTCCGTTTGTTCGAACACGCGTGAACAAACAATTCAGCCGCTGACCGAGGATAAATCCAATATGGCGGCGAAAGTGGCCGGAGCTGAGTCATCAAAAGAAGTTGAAGATTCCATTTCTCGTGGATCAATAGAAGTTTGTCGCCTTATGCATCCTGATGATGCCAACTTAGCAGGCAATGTTCATGGGGGCACGATTCTGAAGTTGATCGAGGAAGGAGGGTTCATAATAGCAACAAGGCATTGCAACAGGAATCGAACCAAAGACGAGCCCGTTCTGGCTGCTTTGGCACGTGTGGAAAGAACTGACTTTATACAACCGATGTTCATCGGTGAAGTTGCACAAGTTCACGTTCAGTTGGGCTACGCATCGAAGCGATCATTAGAAGTTAAAGCCAGTGTCTGGGCAGAAAATGTTCTAACCGGAAGTCGTAGATTGACCAATCGCGCCTCTCTGTGGTATGTTCCAATCGTAATGGGGTCAGATGTTCGAATTATTCCTGAGGTTCCCGCGTTGGAGTACTCCAGCAAAGATGAGGAGGATAAAGGCAAAGAGCGATACGAACTACAGAAGAGAGCCAGGCTTGATAAGGAGGAACATTTCCAAGAGGTACTTGTAAGGCGGTAAAGTGATGGGTCTTCCATTTAACCTTTATACTTAGGACCTAATATCTAATTTCCTTTCAAGCTGCAAGATATATTCTATAAAATACATTGAGATAATTTGGTGTTGAATGAAGATAACACCCTTAAGCCGATAAGTTTGTCTTTACTATCACCTGTCCCATGACACTCCATTTTGTATTCCTGTGTTCAGTATTTAAGTATTAGTGAATTTGTCTTTCAAGGTGAAGAAAAAAATATATTTAAAAATAAAAATAAACGATTATGTTAGCAGTTTTGTTGTGGTTTATTATTGGCCCATAGCAAGCTTTAGTTGGACTGTGTAACCAAACCCACATTTTTACACAATTTAAGGATAAAGTTCTTTTTTGGATGTTACATTTTTTCCTGCCTGTATACCTTAAAGTACATTTTATCTTTGCAGAATCCCCCAAGCAACAATGTGGTTTCCCCATTAGTTCACCCAGCTGGAAAGAATGTGTCACGTTATAGTGTGTTGAATTCAGAATCATCATTGATCCATTCAGTACAGCCATCAGAGTGTACAAAAGCTGGATTTGTTCTTGGAGGAGTGACCATGAAAATGATGGATGAGGTGGCAGGAATTGTGGCATTTAGACATTGTAAAACTAATGTGGTCACTGCATCCATCGGTGGGTTTACTTTTCTTAGAGAAAATATTATTTACATCTGAAATCTTAACTGAACAATTTAGAGCATTGATAGTCATGTACTCTAATTTACAGCAGTTTGAGATTTCATGAAAGTGGATTCCAAAGTACATGTATATTGTCTCCACATGCACATTTTTATATAACAATTTATCCTATTTGTTACATCTGGAAATGTCACCTGCATCATTTGTGACTTTGTTGATAACTTCTGCTAAGGTAGTCAAAATGTCACTCACCACAATTTACAACAGTCCTTCTCAGGACATCTTTCTTCCTGATGATCAAACTACCTGTTTTCTTGACTATTTTGTTCCTTTTCTCATGGGAAAAAGGCAACTGTTCTTTATTTAGGAATACACTTTTGCTATGGGTAGTTTTCTTGTAACCCTTTAACTCCCAGATCAAATTTGTCATTCTCCTTACTGTTAACTATATAATTCATACAATGTTAGTTCAGAGAATTTAGTATTGGATCAACTAATTATTTGCAAATTTATATCTTTCTTTACTCTCATCACTTATCTGGTTGATATTGTATTGATATTGTCAGGAGAAATTCTGTCTTGGTCACTCATGAGAGTTAAAGGGTTAAGTTTTATCCCAGTTTTGATGAATTGTTGAGAGGACTTTGTGTTCCCCAATTTTGCTCCAGTCATAGTGAGAAATTGGACTCCATCAGTAATCAAATGGTTACTAGACTTGGTCATACTGTAGTTGAGAATAAGGTAAACAATTCTTTCTTTAGACTTGAATTTTACATTTTTTCTTAGTCTGCCCAAAGAGTTTGATAATAGCAACTTAAGAGAACTTGCATGCGCACCGGACCTAACAATGTCAATAATCTCAAATTTCCTAATAGTCACTCGTTCTCTACTTTTTCAATTACTGTGTTTGTCATTCCAGATGCCATTGACTTCCATGCCCCTGTCAAGCTTGGTCATATTATACATATTACTGGCCGAGCAACGTTTACTAGTGCCAAGTCAATGGAGATAGAGGTTGTTGTATATGCCAAGGACTATCATACAGGTACAGTATTTAGTAACAGTTTCCTGCTCTTCTAATCAACTTTCTGCTAGTAATCCTCATATGGGGTACTTTGTAATTGATTATTGTAAAAATAAAACCATTATTATCATAAAAGGCATTCAACATAAAGGTTGATATAAGTCAGTCAGTCAGTCAGTATTTTTCCCTCATGCAATGACATCAGTCATAATATAAGATTCAGAGTTTAAGTGTGGACCTGAAATTCACTCACTCGCTCACTCACTTCTGATCTATTGAACAATATAAGCATTTAATGTGGATTAAACACATCATCCCCTGCCTCCCCTTCTAGGTTTGGTCCCGTTCCCAAAGTTGTGCCATTCTGTTCTGTTCATATTTATGGGGGTGGGACAAAAGCAGAAATTTTCACAACTGGCATCTTAAAGCAGAAAAAAATTAAAAAATCCTTCAATCACATTGCAGTGCATGACAATTTGACTCCTTAAAAATTGTCTGTGTTTACTGAGAAGTTTATAGCATGATTGACAATTTCATGGATTTTCAATGACCTGTGTTGTTCCTTAACTTAAGAGTTTGGATCTTATTGAAAACTGCTGTAATGTCCTATTTGTTTAACTTATATGTTCTTGTGACACACAGATGACAGCATAAGAGCTTGCAGTGCATACTTCACATTTGTGTCCCTTGATGAAAAAAGAAGACCCCAAGCTATTCCCTCTTTGGAACTTCACACTGAGGAGGAGGCAAGACGTTTTGAGGCAGGCAATAAAAGATATCAAAAACGTAAAGAGAGGAGAGAAGGTCAAAGCTGAATGATGGGCTTTGGGAGACACGTAATCAAACAGGGCCATGATTAGTTTGGTTTTAGCTGTGGTTCATGTAGTTATTGCAAGAATCAGTACATGCTTGCATTTATTACACATAGGTGTGTGTAGTGGCACTCAGTTGGCATGTACTGCACATGCATTGCTTAGGATTTGCACATACATAAAGTGCATGTAAGGCTGTTTGTAGTAGTAGAAACAGCTTTGCAAAGGCTGTGGGTTATAAAATAAAGATTTTCAGGACACCAGGTATACAAGTATACAAGTATACCTGTGCAGAATTTAAACTAGGTTTCTCAAGAGTCAACAGAATTTCATGTAACAAGACACCTGTGAAAATGGTTTAATGTTTTAAGATATAATTTATTAACTGATATGTGATCATTAAACTAAGATAAATTTGTGTTAGAAAAAGACTTTTTATTTGCGAGTTTCGGAGAAACAGACTAAAATTTGTATTTTTAACTTACTAAACTTTTGAAGAACAGACCAAACTTAAATACTTAAAAAGTAATAACAATTACATTGCATTGTTTACCTGATTACTTGTAGCTGTATATAGTTTAAGGTAACATTTTGTAATGAGTAATATTACTGGTTGTATTTTTCATTTTCATGAAATATTTAAATAAATATTTATGGTCTTGATAGCAGTTTGAATCTGTGTACATACATGTCAGCACAAGTAGATTCCTCCACTTTGTGTCTCATGGCTGTCTCCTAAAGAGATTTTCAATTTGAGGTTTTATTTTGGTCTTGATGTCAGTCTACCATCTCTCAGTCTGACACTCAGTACTTTGGCAGTTGTCAGTTAATCAGTCATTCAGTGTATTGGCTGGTCGGTAGGTTGGCTAGTCATTCAGTTAGCCTGTTAGAGGGACTATCCTTCTCCCTGTCTGTCTGTTTGTCTGTCCACCATTTCTCTGTCTGTCTATCGGTCACTTATGCAGTGCTTTGGCAGTTGGTCAGATAAGTAGTCAATTACTGTGTTGGCTGGTCAGTAGGGTTGGCCAATCATTCTGTTAGCCTGTCAGTGGGTTGGTGGGGCTGTCCCTCTCCTTGTCTGTCTGTCTGCCTATCCATCTCTCTGTCTGTCTATCAGTCATTCACTCAGTCCTTTGGCAGTTGGTCTGTTAATCAGTCAATCAGTGTGTTGGCTGATCAATTGGTTGGCCAGCCTGTTAGTGGGTGGGTGGGGCTGTCCCTCTCCCTGTCTGTCTGTCTGTCTGTCTTTGTATCAATGTCTGTAACACTGACTAGCTAATAAACATGTCTCTATGGACTGTCATTATGTGACTCGTACTAATTGCATCTACAACTGATACACGTTCAGTAAACACACAAATGACCCCTCTGATGAGTCTCCTTCCCTTGTACCTCACGCTTATATTTGAAAGCCTATATTAGTTCATTCTGATTACGGAAGGTTTATCATCCATACATATGCATACTGAGTACAGTTTTAATTCAGGCCGGGAGACAGTTCAGAATAAAATTTATGATTCAATATTTTGGTTCTCAGTGGGTTTTCGATAAGACTCCTTCCACTTCTTGAATAAACCCCCTTTTCTATATCTAAGGGTAAAGGCTTATGTGGTACCGGTCATATGACATGTGATTTTAACTCTACACCCGATAAGTTTCTACCAAATATGTTTTGCGATTCTAATGCGTCTGGTATACATAGAAACCAGTATTTCCAAATCGCTTTTTTTCAGTTTCCTGATCACTCTCTTTTCAGTAAATTATCAAGCTCCTAAACTCAGTCACCTTGAATTTTCTCACTGAAAATTATTTAAAGGTGCTCTGCAATCTCCCTTTCCAAGTGATTTGATACGTAACGTTTTCCAGTATTTGAAGCGAGCCAGAAGCTTCCTCGTTTCAGAGTTCAGCTCATTCCTAGCACTCAAGACTAGACTGTCGTCCTATTCTCATTGTTGGCTCTGAGACTTACGAGATGGACTCCTCGTGGGAAAACACCTAACGAACTAAAACTTGTTGCCGACTGAGAGATCAGGGACAGTGTTGTTCCGCCACGTAGTCGACTCGGAGCACGACATTTAAGTTTCTTTAAGATGCTTTTGAAACTACTGCGGTACTTTTGGCTGAAAATGATGTATAAACATGGCGTCACAGCACTGTTGGAATGAGCTAAGAAGTACCTGACAAACTGAACATTGCACGATATTGAAATTCCGATGATGGCTTTGCGCATGACGAAATAACTGAGCCAACATGATACAAATGCGAGTGTAACAGCAAACAACATTTTGAAAACGTTTGCGTTCACCTTATCTTTGGAAGCTTTGCGTGCATTAGAGGCTGCATACCTGTTTGCGACGCTCCTTCTTCTGAGCTTAGTCACAGCCAACGAGTAAAGAAGGACTATCAGAAACAAAGGAAGGGCATAAAAAATGGCCGCCAAGACGTTGTCATAAATTTTCCTGCCTTTTGAGCTTCCAAATAATTTGTTTAGATATGCTCGGCAAATCAGTGCTCCCCCCTGACCAGGCACCAGTTTCAGCGCAATGACATTTGGCAGGTGAACAATAAAAGACATCAACCAAACTGCAATGAGAATCACCTTGACTCTGCGCACAGTTAACCTGCTATTTGCAAACGGCGAAACTGCTAAAAACCTCTCCACGCTGAGAAATACTAGAGTTAGGATTGTTACTTTCACCGATACCAGGTGAGTTGTGGGAACGGTTTTGCACAAGACGAGGCCTATGGTGCCTCCAGCTAGCCAATCATAGCTTCGTATCACCGCTGATATCATCCTGGGCATGTATACAACAGTTATAGCCAAGTCTGCGGCAGCCATATTGGCTATAAGATAATTGACTGGTTTGCGCATCTTTCGGTCTTGCCACAGGACACCAATAACCAGGGAGTTTCCACATAGCGAGAATAGTAGGATGATTGTGTAGGCCAGCACACGGCTAGCTTTTATCACTGGCTGGTCAGACTCGAAGCACACAGTCATCACTTTTCCGTGGGCCAACTGCGTGAAATTGTCGCTAATATTTTCGTACATGATCAGGGTTTGTGGTTAAAAATTATATTCGGCCGTTTCCCGCCAGACCACGTCTAACAGAAAAATTTCAAAAAAAGAAATGCGTAATTTAGATTGGTATATTTTCAGTTTTACACAGTTTTAATCAAACGAACTGATCATAGGTGACTCGTAAAAAAAGGAATAAAATAAAATAAAAAACAAAGCGTTTCTTTAACTAGATTCTCATGGTAAATCTTTATGATGTATTTGTTTCATTGGTCAATAATTAGTTTTTTGAATTGGACTTATGACCGTCAAAATATTAGTCTTAAGCACAATCATGTTTAGCTGAAGTAAAATTGACGAACACAATTCATCAAATTGCTGGCTACATTATACATAACTTGCCTTTTGTTCCTATTCTGCCACAAAATGTAAATATAACAAATGACTTTCTAAAGAAGAACCGTTGGGTCTGTCGACGTCTTTACAATCCACCGCAGATATGAAATACGAAAATGTTTTTGATGGCAACAAGGAGAGGATCTGAAACCGAGCCTTACAATTCCTTCAACTCACTGCCTAGGAGGACGATATTTCCTCTTTCGTCCATAGATGATCTCTTGCACTTTATCATCATTCGAAGGAAAGTTCTCTTTGCATTCAACGTCCAGTTCAAAGAGTAATCGTTCTCAACTAAAGACACGCTCCTGAAAAAAGTGCGAAAAAAAAAGGTGTCTTTTAAATTAAACTGTAATTTTTAACGCCAAATAAGTTAAAGTCTATGTTTATTTTCTTGAAGAGTTGTGGGTTGTGAAAAGCGGCTCTCGTAATCGCAGAAAAGGTTTCGATGGCGGAGTGGGAAGTGCTTACGGCATGTTCACAATAGCCCTTATTTTGTGTTTGTTTTTGTTATCGCTCAGAAAGAGAAACATGGGATTTTTTTCATTAAGGCTTGTTTGTTTAGATTGCCATGGTTTTGTTTGATGTTGGCGTCGGTTCCCGCCACTGTATCTGAATAATGAATTGCAGATGATATACATTCGAGTTCACATCGTGCGGCTGTGAATCTGAGTTACAACCGCCATCGCATCGATGGGGTTGTTAAAATCAGTTTTGAATGAATACTTTGATGCTTTTATTCTTTTCTATCACAATACAGTCGCGATTTGGAAAAAAGAGACCATTTTCTTAGAATTTGTTACACCTGCAGACTTAGTAAACAAAGACTGAACAAAGAGTAGTTTGTCAGGTGCATTGTGTAAATAATGTAAAACGGCCAAGGATTCTTAGAAAACAAACAAAAGAATCCAAACTGTCAAACACACTATTGGGCAGTCCTGGCAATCACGACATGGATTTTCAAAATCTCAATCAATCCACAAATGCGCACTAAAAAAATTCCCTGCGGTAAAGTACTTCTTGTACAGAAGACATGATATGCTAAGGTTTTCCTCATCTGTAACTTTCTTTTTTAAATCCATCACTTTTTAATTTGGCTTCTTTTCTAAATTTCGAATATTTAAAAATCAAGGCTAGCAATCCTTGTTCTGAGAAGTTCTATCATTTCTGCGACCGAGAAACCCAAGTGCTGCTACTGCACCTGAATTTGCGTTTCATATGAATATCCACTTTCAGATAAATCGATATAAGGCAGTTTCTCAACTATCAGCCAGTCTAATTTCCACATTGAAATTATGAAGAAAGTACTCTGGCGATAGGTTTCGTTTATATCCTTACCTTCCCGTCCTAATTGATTAGAGCCGGTCTCAATGGGGTTCGTCGTAAAACGGCAAAAACAATTAACAGTTAACCCTTTAACTCCCGTGCGCGACCAAGACAGAATTTCTCCTTACTATATCTATACGGCATCATGCAGACAAGTGATGAGAATAAAGAAGAATACCAATCATGGGATAACTAATTGATCTGATACCAAATTCTCCAAACTAACATCATGGGAATCATCTAGTAGGAAGTTAAGAGAATTAGTAATGCGATCTTAGGAGTTGAAGGGTTAAGCGTATAAATTGACGAATTTTAACCTTTTGTCGTTAAAAAAAGTAACCCCAAAAATCTTTTTTTTTTTAAAGCAATGGAAAGAAATTAACTGTTAACCGTAAAATGGCCAGAATTTTTAACCGTTAGGCGTAACAACCATCACCCCATTGAGACCCTCCGGTTATGTTTTAAATATGACCCTTTTATATATAATCTTTTCTTTGCGGGGCTACGGAGAAGAAGGCGTGCAAGTTGAAAATTATTAAGCCATGAATAGGTGGTTCCTTCCGATTTATGATGAAACTTTTATTACGTAGCTTATTTGCACACAGCTAATGGTAACTATTTCGATATTTGAGTATTTACTAAATGGCCATGAAGTACTTTGATGTTTCAAACCGTAAACTTTCCCACGAAAACTAGGTACTTAAACTATTCGTAATATTTGTCTAATTGAATCTATCAGAGAGTGATGAAAACTCGTCACCAATCTCACACATCCAATTGCAAAAAGATAAAAAATCATTTTTAAGTCAGTATTGCGTCAGTATTTTAAGTCCTGTATTACCAAAGGTAAACCACACTATGCGTTCATGGTTCATAATTTTTTATACGAGACGAACAAAATCTATGAGGGTTATAAATAAAGCTCTGAAAAAGAAAGGGAGAACTTCCTTCTCTCAACGGCCTCTTGCCAAAAGTAATTTCGCAGAAAAGACGCTTCAAACAGCCCATGAGGGCGAAAAAATATCACAAATGAGTCGATTAACATTTCATTTAACATTATTGAGACTATTGATATTCATCCTGAGATGTAATTTAGATATACAATTTTCAGAGCTTTATTTATAATCCTCATAGATTTTGTTCGTCTCATGTCAACAATCATTAACCACCAACACATAGTGTGGTATGCCTGTGGTATTACATTGCCTCGTATGGCTTATTGGATCCCCATTCAGTCCAAGGAATTGAGAAGAGTCCGCAGTGAAACGGGTTATGCGCTTTCTTAAATTCTCCCATTTTTTTGTATAAGATTGGCCATCAAGATCTTTGAACACTTTGATCCTGTTAAGAGAGGAAAAAAAGGAAGAGAAAGGTGTGGCCTATTTACATACTTCATAACTTCTTTTTGTTACGAAGGAAAAATGTTCTCCAGAACGGCAGTTTTCACGGAAATGGAGTCGCTGAACACCTTTAGAGAATTATAAAGACATAAAATGAGAAATCCATGACAGTTTTGCGTTGAAATTCTTGGTGGAATCTCTTAGCCAGTTAAGGAATCATTTATCACTGAGCTTTGTCGGTTCAAATGACCGCATCTGAGCCTCGTTATTTTTTGTGTTTGTTTGTGTTTTCATGGAAACGCAGTTAATGAAAATAAAAAGAACAAACAAACAAACAAAAAATGTGGAAACAAATTAGAGAAATTACAAGAAAAACTGAAGATCAATAACCATATAACCCTTTCAGCTTGCAATTGATCCTCCAACAATGGCTAAAGGAAATGAAACTCGAGTGAAGTATTTCTTTTAGGAGTGGTATACCTTCCTAACTTCCCAAGGATCTTACACTGAGCAACTCAATGTTAGATCGTGAACGGTCTCTTTTCGACGGTGCATGTGCAAGCCTGATAATTCTTGACCTTTCAATTTTCAGTTCTCGCCATTTTATCTGAACAGCTCTTCGAAAATTCTCACTAAACGCAAAACATATGATCGGGTTGCATGCACTGTTCAAGTGCCCAAGGTAAAACCGCAAGAAATGAACCTCACAGGGGATAACCACATTCCAAAACTCCTGTAACGGTATGACGAGGAAATACAGCAACCAGCATAGAAGGAAAGCTGTTATTACGGCCAGGATCATTTTATTCACCTTTCTAGTCGTAGCTAATACGCAATCTCTTGTGACGTTGTCAATCAGGGCATGACGACGTCTTAAGAAGACCGCAATCACAGTGTATATTGTGATTATGATAAGCAGAGGCAGACCATAGAATATAACTAGCATAGACTCCTGGTACGACCTTCTTGATTGCTTCGTTTGGAAGCTGAGAGAGCCGATCCAAAAGCAGCCTAACTCACCGGACTGAAATCGAATCGTTTTGACGCCGTAGAGCATTGGGGATCGCGCAGCTAGTGACAGCAGCCAAGTACCACACAGCAAGCATATGGAGAGCTTCTTTGATATAAAAACTCGTAATGGGAACGTTACAGCTAGGAATCTCTCAAAGGCGATGAGAACAACTGTTAGAATTGATACGCATATTGAGATTTCTTGGGACAAAGACACAAGTACACAAAGAAAAAGTCCTAGAGTGCCCTCCACCAACCATTCAAGGCTGACGAGAATCCGAGCGACCATCCTCGGCATGTAGACTAAGGAAACAAGAAGGTCCGCGAGAACCATGTTCATGATGCAGCAGTTGATTGTGGTCTTCACATTTTTGCTCTTGAAGTAGATAAATGCCAGTAAAGTATTACCTATGATGGAAGTGCCGATCACAAGAACGTAGGCAAAGACCATGAACACCTTCAAAATGAGATGGTTCGTAAAAGTGAAGCAGGGTACGTCTGTCGTAGCAAAGGTTTCCTTGGAGTCATTAATGATGAGACTTAAAGTAAAGTTTTCCATATCACCTTGATCAACGCAAAATTCTGGAGAAAAAGGAAATTTCGGCCGATAACACTGTTACCGGTTTGCCGAAAAAGTGAGTTCCTGGATTGTCGTATGGCTTTGAGCATTTAGTGGCAGTATTTCAGCCCCAAGTTTCAAAAGTAAGCCTTTTTCCCATGTGGTTAAATACAGCTGCTTACATATGGCGGCATGAAAAATAAATAAAAAGATAAAAAACTAGAATAGAGGCAAAAAATGTCTGTTACGGATGCCATTCACAATTCTTTAATTTTCAGTGTTCTTTTGTTGGGCAATTTAATTGATTTTACTTGGATATAGGGAACAAAGGCTGGTTCAAAGGAACGGAAATCTAAACGTTTAAACGAGAAAACGGCTGTCATGAGAAATTTCTATAACCTTGTTGGGAAGATTTAAGGTTTTAGTGCGAAACAAAATTAGAATAGATACCCTTATTTAAAGGTAAGCTTTTTATACAATCGACTTTGGCTTTGTGTGGAGAGTTCAGATGTCCTAAAACATTGGAAACAGCTGTCATCATTGACTCAGGCAAACTGTCAGCTCTTAACAAAGGAACTACTGAATAGCTTCTTGGACAGCAGAATTTTGTTAATCTCGATGGAAATAGCAATTTTGATTGGTAAACGAAGGGATGAAAGATATTTCCGTGCCTTAGACCTTTTTGTGTTTGTTTTTGCTGTTATGGTTTTTACGGTCAATCATAGGTTTCTGGTAAATTTTCAGGTGTCTAAAGACTCAATTCATAAAAATTTGATTCTCATCGGTAATGGTTCGTAAGCTTTTAACTCAAAACTTTTACGTGGAGAGGCTTGAACTTAATTCTCAGAAAAAGACGTAATCATACACAAGTGCTATCAGTATTGTAGCAGTCTGTTTTCTGATCGATATCGAGTGAAAACTATGGGCTCAACTTCACCTCAAGTCGTCAACACTGTTACACGCTCGTTAAAACGTAAAAGAGAAAAAAAAATAATAAAAGAAGTCTTTGTGATTATGAAAGATTGAAGAAAACAGAGATTACTTCATTTAGAATTAAAGGTGTCCTTTATCATGATACGTTCGCTACCCCTATGCAATGCAAATTAGTCGAAATAGAATTTACCTGTTAAATTAAATCATTTGACATATTTACCCTTACTCGAGAGCGTGTTTCGAGCCACCCATTAAGAGTAGACCGGGATAAAAAGACTTGAAATGAATAATGTTAATAATAATAATGATGATGATGATATTGAAAGTCTTTCATATTACATTGTATTATCATTACTATAATCAGAAGAAAAAAGTGAAGAGAAGAAAGAGAACAGTAAAATAAAAAAAAAAAATGGAAGAAAACGAACAGGCTACATTGCTCTATTTCGTAATGGAAGTACAAACAAAATGCAGGTTATTTCATTAAAAATTTAACACCACCCTTCACTATCCCTATCAATAAAACGTAAATTAGCAAAAAGAACAAACGTGCTAAATTGTTTAACATATTCAAAGTTTCTTGAGAGGGTGTTTGGAGTCACCAATCGTCAGAAATGGAAAACGATTTTATGTTCAGGATGGCCTTTTCCAAGCTTTTAACGCCAACCCTAAGAAGTTCCTTCTGTTTGAGTCTGCTGGTGTTCTGTGGTAAGTGGGATTTAAACAGACTGTTGTCGTTAACTAAGTCAAATTATTAAACCGGCTTGAAAGTATTAATTATGTACCAAAATTGTGAGCAACAGACAAAAAAAAAATTATTTGGAAAACAGGCCGAGCTATGGGGAAAAACATCTTCAGCGGACAAGTGAAACAATTTGTTGATCCTCAAGTAGAGGTTACTGAGGAATTAATGAAACGCCCTATCGATGTTCAGAGTCAGCCCATATTCATCCAACGAACAGAACAATTATTTCATTTTTAATGTTGCATGAAAAAAATTGTTCTCCTTATTTTTCGCAACCGCTTTCATAATTGCTGAAGGCGCACTCGGCAATGTTGGTAATTTAAGCAATACGATTAGTTGCTTATGCCAATCGGCAATTACATTTATGAGTATGATTGTCAAATATTAATTCGAAAAAAAAAAAAGGGAAAAAATAACGATAAAATGAACTATCGTGGCAGCGGTCATTTGGAGCATCGTTTTTCTTTTTTGCAACATGACATTCCTGTCTGTCTAAGTAAGAAATCATCCGAAAGAGCGCTTCATTTAAACATCCTGGCTTTTTGTTCAAACGGGATTAAAACCCAATATATACCTTTGTTTGGGGTCATGCAAAGCTACCATAATTCTATATTTTTAGGTCAATCTTTTCTTATATGACTTAAATATTCATCGTCAGTCATTTTGGCTGTGGGTCAAGTTCCTTAATATAATAATCTGAGGAAGGCGAAAGTCGATATTTTCTGTCACTGTAACTTTATTCTGAGGCCCATTGTTAAGGGCATCGCAACAGCTAAATGTATAACTACACCCCAAAAGAATATAAACTTGTATACCTGTATTTCACGCAGTGCTGTCAACGGATTACAACAGAATTTTGATATTCAAAGAGCCCATTTTCAATGCTGCACTCACTGGCCACATTATTAGGACAGTAAAAGTGTATGACGATGGGGGCTGTCGAGTGATGTGCTATATGGAACCAAACTGTGTGTCCTTTAATGTTGGACCTTCAGATGACAGAACCCGTACATGTAACTTGAACAACGCCACAGATGATAGCGTATCACCTACTAGTCTGGTCGATAGACCAAATTTTTCCTACAACGGTGCTGAGGTAAACTTTTTTCCCTCTGGCTTATTAAGTTTTTTATCATCATTTTTGTTATCGCTCTTGTTTCTCCCTTCTTGATTTTCGTTATTTTCTATGAGATTGCGAAGCTTTCTCACTAGGTCTTTTCATAAAGGTAAAACTCAAGTCGTAATTCAGAACTTTGGTCCAGCGCGCAAGTGGGGCTGTTCTAAGAGTCGTGCCTTATCGCACGCGTACCACATCGCACGTGAGCCTCTTTGCACTCGTCTCTTAGAGCACGCACGTACGCGTGTCGTATTACAAGTTGAGCGTGTCATACAGGATACTGCTTGAAACAAAGCAAAAAAAAAGTTGCTATGCCTACTTTTGTTTTCCTTAGTAAATATATGCACATCTGCAAATTTGTGACAATCTTAGCTTGCCGTGTCAAGAAACACGTTCCCGTGCGTTCACCTTAGTACTCTTTTTCCTTGTAGGGTCACAACTTGATATAACCTTATATGATAAGTCTCCGCTGTCCTCTTCCATCTCCATACCTTTGACTTCTAAGAGTGCAAGTGATTAGCAAGTAATTTCTCTAACAATACTTACAACCTCTTAATAAAGTTTTAATGTCGTGAGATTAAATAAAAAATGGTTACCAACCAATAAAAGCTCTTGATTTTTAACTCAATTCTCCTTGTCAGCACCTTTGGATATATGTAAAAAAAAGTATGCAGAATATGGATACAGATAAAAGGATGTAAAGGGTTTAAAGCGTGAAGAAATTAACCACTTCAATGAGAAATAAAGAATCACTGGCCGGGTTTCTATTTGAAAATACTAGAAGTAATTATAACTTAGTTTCCTTCTTTTGAATATAGAATTTTTGTCTTGGGGACCCTTGCCCAGGAGAGAATTCGGTTTGTCAAGTGGGATTCACAAAGAAAGGCTTTAGATGTAAGTTCCTTGAGCGATGTAATGAAGGTGAGTAGTTTACTGATGAACTTGTGCCTGCTGACTGAACCCTTCATTTCCAAGGGAAGCCAAAAATAATTTTTTCTGAATGCATTTTCAAGCAATAAGGAGACGATGGGAAAACTTTAATTTGGGGATGTTGTTCGATTTGACACGAAATTCTTAATGCCAAATCTTTTGAAACAATGTATGGAGTACACTGCTACGAAATGACAATTTGATCGTGGAAGTGAAAGGGTTAAAGAATGAATTGATTTTCATTAATAAAATGGAGTTATTAAAACATTTATTTTGCTCTCCTCCCTCAGGCTTCCTTCAAGGTGAGGCTTCTCTCAGTGGTTCATGTTATAAGCTCATAACCAAGCCTGAGACTTGGAGCAACGCTGACGCCAAATGCATAAGCCTCGGAGCTCAGCTGGTAAAGATCGAATCAGCTTTCGAGAACGACTTCCTAACTCAAGCCTTTTTCAAAGGAACATCGGGAACTTACTGGATTGGACTGAGCGATCAGGTGCATGAAGGAAAATGGATCTGGACTGACGGTAGCTCACTGGGAGCCGATGATTACAGCCCTTGGGGAAATAATAACCCCAATAACTTTGGCGGGCATCAAAATTGTGGGCAGATTGTGAAAGGAGTTTTCAAATTGGGATCATTTTTTTTCAGCGGTTTTGAAGATGGAGAGTGGAATGACTTCAGGTGTGATTTTCTTCTCGGCTATATTTGCGAAAAGAAAATATACTCTGGAGAGAATGAGTAGCAAAGGCACCAGTTAATTACCGCTGCTATTTATCCCTGAATGATGGCTAAGCCTGTCATTGCATTCATTATTTTATGTTTTTCTCTTTTAAACGAGAATCAATTTTTATCAAATGGAAACAAAGTTTTTTTTATCCGGAAATTGATCGAGCCTGTTTGTTTGGAGGGCAAGATTTTTTTTTCACGATAAAGTTTATCTGGTCCCAAGATGAGGCTTTGTAATGTTCTTATGAACCCCACCTTATTGGAAATTTATTGGCAGTCGACTTTCAATATTCTCCCCTTTTGTACTTTGTTGGAGAAGACGAATCCCTCTTCCGTTCCCCCTGAAAACCATTTGACTCAACAAAATCCTCCATCCCCCACCCATGTGATAAAAAAATGATTAGTCTCTTAACCCTTTAACTCCCGTGAATGACCAACACAGAATTTCTCCTTACTATATCATGCAGACGAGTGATGAGAATAAAGAAAAATATCAATAAAGGGATTACTAATTGATCCGATACCAAAATCTCTAAACTAACATAATAAGAATCGCAGACAGTAAGGAGAATTACTAATGAGATCTTGGGAGTTAAAGGGTTAATCGAAAAAAGATTAAGAAACCATAAAGATGAGAATATTTTCAAAAAAAGCTGAGTGGTAGACAGAAAAAACCTATGAAATGAATCAATTCTTGCCCTTTCCTCTGGAATGGGCTTAACTCTAATTCTTTTTTATGTATACAGAAATGTTATTTAACTAAAGTAGTCGCTTTAGACAAAAAAAGTGAATGAAAACACTGAAGAAGTCTTCAGGCAAACATCACGATTTTTGCAGATGTGCAAACATTTACCTAACAAAAAGCCTATTGTTCCTGGGGTTTCTAGGTAAGAAAAATTTCTATTAGAATGATGATCCTTCGACAGAAAGAAGGAATATGTAAATGTGAACATATTTGAAGTGATAGTCTTACAAAAATGCTCTTGCAAATGACAAAAGTCGAAAGTAAAAATTTGAGGTCTTCAGGGGCGATTTCTTTTAACAAATATTCGCATTAATTTTGGCACTTCATCAGAGCAACCAGCTGTTTCTTGGACAACGGGCAGTGGGTTAATTGTTTGTAATAGGTAACGTCAGTAATATTTACTCCTGTTAAAAGTAATATATTTTACAAAAATAAAACATTAACATGGACACGCTATTCAGAATTGAAGACTACTGAAACAGGAAGACCTAACTAGTGGAGATGATCCATGTTAGAGGATGGGTTTTTCGAAACTTGTAATAGGAATTGTTCTGTTTGTCATCGATGTGTGGTGTGCTGGTAAGTTTATTTGTAATCAACGTCTTGGTAAATCATTAACGTTGTGTTCCCCGTTTTCCAAGAGATAAGGGAACAATAAGGGAACAGAAGTTAGCGTTACACATTACACTGTGAATTTTATTTGATAAGCATTGTGTATCATTTAACTGCTAACGCACAAATATCAAAAATTGCATTCAAGGTCCAATTCTTTAACAACTCAACGAGGATTCACCCACATATTTAATAAGAGCGACAGAAATAACACATAAAGCACAATGCGTTTTTCTTTCTTATTTGCGTAAGGGTGATCGTTTAAGAAAGGGCATCTAGAGAGAGTAGAGAGAGAAAGAGAGAGTAGAGAGAGAGAGTAGAGAAAGAGAGAGAAGAGACTGAAAGAGCATCTAGAGAGATTATTCAATACTATATGTGACACAAACGCAATTTGCTGTTTATAAATATTGCAAATAATTCAGTTTAAAGAGCTGTCTTCTAAAGAAAGCCGCCGGATATCTAGTTAAAGCCTATATATGCCGCACAATTTTCATTGAATGTTGGTTTGTAACGAAAAAAAAACAAAAAAACCACCAGGATCGGTAAGAGGAGACAAGAGGAAAAAAAATTCATATTTCTGATGTCTTTTTTCAAATTGCGTGGTTTGTTTTCCCTTAAAATTTTCTTAAACATCAATGCAATAATTATGCAGTATCCTTGCTTACACAAAGCACAACAATATGGTTGTTAGGAAGAAAGATCATTTAGATAATGGAACTGAATGATGATTCACGTCACTAATTCCCTCGATGAGGGGGGCATTGGGGTCTGTTAGAAATCGCAAACAGCAAAAAAGAAAAAGAAAACAAGACAAAACAAAAAAACCAAAAAAATCTATCAACACCGATAAATTTGCAAAACCGATAACAGTTGTCAAACCCTTATCGATCCGATACAGAGGTCACAAGTGAAGCAAAATGGGTTTCGCGGCTATGAGAGACCCGTGGAGGCGAAAAATTGCCGCTTAAATCGAATAGGAACCGGAATCCAAATAGGAAAAAACGGAAACCAGATCGGATACCAAATCCGAAAACCCATGAGTATTTTTGACGAAAACCGAAAACCAAATACTAAAAAACGGTAGATCCGAAAATCGCAATGAACACCACAACAGCAAAAACGAACCGAAAAACCGAATTAAAAAATAGCCAAAACCCCTAAACCAAAAATCCTAATGCCTTTTTTCTTGCTCCGTAGGACATGAATGAAGTTTTGGTTTTAGTCGATTTAGTTAAGCTCTAGTTAACCGAGTTTATGCGTGATATAGCGAGTTGTATTTCTAATTTAAATCACCACCACTGATGACTATCCTATGAAACTGATTAAGATTCACTGTTGCTAAGTATTCATTCCATTAAAAAAATAGCCCGAGGGAAGGTACAACAGCTATAATAAGTAAAGCATGCATTAATCGTCATTAACTAGTAGCAAAAAAGGGCATGTAAAACAGTAACTTCTCTCAAAAGCAAAGGGGAATAACCCTTAAGTGATTTATCAGATGTTTTTCTTTTTCGCTGAAGATGAAAAGAGTAAAAATGAGGTCATAACAAAAAAAAAAAATGAAAGGGAAAGCCTTGTCACCCAGAGGTACTGCTTAACATAACAACATCAAGAGGCTTTTAAAGAATTTATCGCCATAAAAGTCTTGATATAAACAGCGTAAAATGTATGTTAAGTCATGCTGAGGTAATGAGGGCGTTCAGCCTGATAATCGAATATGATTCACCAGTTTGAACGAGTCGCGTAGACTTCAAAGGTTAAAACTCAGCGTAAGTGATGTTATTAATCATTGCTGGATTTGACGTCACATCAACCACAAAGCCCGCGTGACTCTTAATGGGCATTAAGTGTGTCTTGAGTGCTCGTAATTAAGGAGTGGAACGCTGTAAACAATGCTTTAGTTTTCTCCTCTCATTTTCAGCGAGGTCAGTTAGCTTTACCTGGAACCGATTTGTTCATCCTTTTGACCTTTACCTACAAAATGCCGAATACTTAGCAATCGTTATGTCCATACAGACTGCACGCCTAATAAGGCTGCCACCTGAAAATTGTAGAGAAACCACAGGACCAATATTTTTGCAATTAAGCGTGATGACAAAACAGAAACTGTGATCAGTTTTGATGTATGAATAAGGAGATCCCTACACATCCCTACACATATCCATTTGATTTATCAGCTGATGTTTTTCTTTTTCGCTGAAGATGAAAAGAGTAAAAATGAGGTCATAACAAAAAAAAAATGAAAGGGAAAAGCCTCGTCAACCAGAGGTACTGCTTAACATAACAACATCAAGAGGCTTTTAAAGAATTCATCGCCATAAAAGTCTTGATATAAACAGCGTAAAATGTATGTTAAGTCATGCTGAGGTAATGAGGGCGTTCAGCCTGATAATCGAATATCATTCACCAGTTTGAATGAGTCGCGTAGACTTCAAATGTTAAAACTGAGGGTAAGTGATGTTATTAATTACTGCTGGATTTGACGTCACATCAACCACAAAGCCCGCGTGACTCTTAATGGGCATTAAGTGTGTCTTGAGTGCTCGTAATTAAGAAGTGGAACGCTATAAACGATGCTTTAGTTTTCTCCTCTCATTTTCAGCGAGGTCAGTTAGCTTTCCCTGGAACCGATTTGTTCATCCCTTTGACCTTCACCAAAAAAACGTCGAGTACTTAGCAATCGTTATGTCCATACAGACTGCACGCCTAATAAGGCTGCCACATGAAAATTGTAGAGAAACCACAGGACCAATATTTTTGCAATTAAGCATGATGACAAAACGGAAACTGTGATCAGTTTTTATGTATGAATAAGGAGATCCCTACACTACCATATCCACCACTTAGATATATTGAAGTGGTTGCTCGCTTAAGAGGACTCACAAATGTCGTTTTCAGTAAACATATACAGATTCGCTGCTTTTTCAGCCTTACTTACTTTTCACCTTACAGTGCTTTCCAAAGAATATAGTCGGATTTTAGAGTTCAAGGAACCAGTACCAAACAAAGCGCTTAACGGGCACTTGATAAGAGCAGAAAAAGTGGCCAACGAAGGAAGCTGCCGCGTCTTCTGCTATCTGGAGCCAAATTGTGTGTCCATCAATGTAGGTCCGCAAGAAGATGGCGGTAGAATTTGCGAATTAAACAGTAAAACGGATGGAAGCTCCTCACTTTCCGCACTGCGGCAAAAGAACCAATACACTTACTATGGAATTGAGGTATGAGATAAAAGAATTGGTTTATTAATTTAATTGCCCCGAGCCACAAGTTCAGTTCCACATTTGCTCTATTATGTGAATTTTGTACCGGAGAAAAACATGCTAAAACAGTCGTTACCGAGTAACTTCATAGCGCCTGGAAGTTCGTTGATGAAAAGTTAGCAGATTATTAATGTAGTATGATAAAGATTGAATATGTTTATGAGAAGTACCAACAGGACACTGATATTGGCTAGGCATCTCCTATGAAGAGAACAAAAAGTTTCGATTTCTTTTTTGCAGGATAAGTTCATGTACAAAACGAAAAAATGATCTTCCGAATTACTTCAAATGTATGACCAGCTCTGTTGATTTTTTTATCTGCAGTATATGACACTGTTATCATAGATCCACAGTTGAGAGATTAAGATTGAAATTATTTTCTGACACAGAATCCTTGCCGCAGCAACCCTTGTGCCAGAGAGGGAAAATTGTGTCAAGCGGGATTCACTGAGAAAGGCTTCCGATGTGTTTGCCGCGAAATGGGCGAAGAGGGACACTGCAAAGGTTCTTATATCACCAATGCAATGAAAATCAACTCACTCTTGATCAAGAGGGACCTACATCTTTTATCATCCTAAAATCTCACCCCTGAATCGCACGTTAAGGACACAGGAATAAAGGAAATGATCACCAACCAGAGGAGCTCTTCACCATCTAAGAAATTGTATAGAGAACAGATGGAGAATGTTTATTCTGGTTGGGGTGCAAAGAGATAATACATAAAAAAAAATTGGACTCTTATCGTCTTCAAAAGTATACCATTGCAGTGTAAAAAAGCGTGTAGCTCTCGATAAAATATCCAATTTTACCCGTTCATTTCTTGCCATCTCGATTTCTACTTTTTTTTCTACTCTTCCATGTCATCTGTACACAACGTGTAACGATCAGCAAGCTGCAAGCCTTCCGTTTGTCATACCGAGGTTTCTATAATCAAATTTACCTTTCACACTCAACAACACAGTAAAAGAAGGGGTGATGCATGAACTATAATGCTACTTTATCTTGATATTTTTCTGTGGACATGTGCAAACATGAATCCAATATGAAAGATAACGCAGGTTTGCTAACTATTTTGCATTGATTTTATTAGACTGTCCTACCGATTGGAAACCGTATGGAACCTCTTGTTATGCTGTATTCACCGCTGAACTTTCTTGGAAAGACGGAGAAGACCATTGTAAGTCAATGAATGCACGGCTGGTGAAGATAACTTCTGAGGATGAGGCTGCTTTTATTCGTGAGGATCTTGGTGTCAACTCTCAAAATACAGCCTATTGGATTGGCCTTCATGAAAAAGAGTCCAATGATGAGTGGAAATGGTCTGACGGAAGTGAACTAGACGTGTTTATCGACTGGAATACAGGAGAGCCAAACATACGGTCCATAGCTTGCGCTGTGTTGTTTGATGGAAAGTGGCGCGACAGAAGTTGCTCAGATAAATACAACTTCATTTGTGAGAAATGATTACAACCACTGGAACTAAAGTGTTCTCTGTATTTGTATGGGTATGCTTAAAGTACAGTGTGGGATGCAGCTCGAGACATAACCCATAGTCCTCAGTACACCAATCACTGGCCTAACATTGAACATTGGAAGAGTAGTACGGCCGGTTTAACAATATCACTTTTAACTTTAATTATTGTCGTGCATAAATAAAGCTTCTGTTCTGTTTTCTTGTGACTCAGAAACTTTGTCACGTGATTATTAAGTATGAAACAAATAAGGTAACTGATGCATATGATATCAAATAACCTAAATAACTTAGAAACCATGAACACACTCAGCCATTAGTGAAATTCGCGAGAATGTAATTCCATCAGTTTTTTTGAAACCAAAAGTTCGTTGGTTCCATCTGTCGTGCCTGCCGCTCGAAAATCTCGAATTGACGCCAGTTAACAGGGAGGCAAGAACTGAATTTCAATCTGAGACAAGTTCAATGCTGGTTCGACTGATTGCTAACACTTTCCATTTTTTAATTCCTTTTTCTGAAAAAGGAAAATATATCCAAGTCCAAACTGCTGAATAACTCAAACAGAGAAAATTAATCATCGCAGTCAACAGCGTTCGCATAGACGTATTAATCCCTTATTGAAAACCATTGCACTGTTTGAGAAACCTGTCGTTTAAACATTCAAGACTCTGAACGTTGAATTGTTTACTTTAGAGAAAGCCCTTAGGCTCTAAGAGACAAATGACAGCCCGGCATTACAAAATATGAAAGGCTGTCCTGAAAAAATGACTGAGACAACGTATATTGAAATGATGATCTTTGATGATCCAATCAGCTCAACAGAAAGATGAAATAATTGCAAAATTGCGCTAATTTTAAAGAGAAACAAAAAAGTTACCATGTATTATCGATCATCTACGCTTTTTCTTCGTCCAGATCCGTCCAGAACCCCATTGTTTTTGAAACAAGAGGCCGCTGATGTAAGCAGCTAACAACAACAACGAACGAAACTAAAGTCTAAATTCGGGTCAGATCATAAATACAAATGCTTTGACAGACCACCAGTGTTGGAACTAGTGCTGGTTTGTTGAAATAAACATGTACCCTCTCTCAGAGAGTGCGTCAGGGATGAAATCATCAGATCCTTTTCACCTTACAGTGCTTTCTAAAAAATATAGTCGGATTTTAGTGTTCAAGGAACCAGTACCAAGCAAAGCGCTTAACGGGCACTTGATAAGAGCAGAAAAAGTGGCCGACGAAGGAAGCTGCCGCGTCTTCTGCTATCTGGAGCCAAATTGTACGTCCATCAATGTAAGTCCGCATGAAGACGGCGGTAGAAGTTGCGAATTAAACACTAAAGCGGATGGAAGCCCCTCGCTTTCCGCACTGCGGCAAAAGAACCGATACACTTACCATGGAATTGAGGTATGAGATAAAAGAATTGGTTTATTAATTAAATTGTCTCGGGTCACAAGTTCAGGTCCACATTTGCTCTATTATGCGAATTTTGTACCGGAGAAAAACATGCTAAAACAGACATTACTGAGTAACTTCATAGCGCCTGGAAGCATGTATTAATGATAGATCACCTATGCTTTTTCTTCGTCCAGATCCGTCCAGAACCCATTGTTTTAGAAACAAGAGGCCGCTGATGCAGCTTACAACAACAACGAACGAAACTAATATCTAAATTCGGGTCAGATCATAAATGCAAATGCTTTGACAGATCACCAGTGTTGGAACGAGTGCTGGTTTGTTGCATTAAACATGTACCCTCTCCCAGAGAGTGAGTCAGGGATGACATCATCAGATCTTCAGTGCGACTCATACAGCAACTGCAAACGGCAAAAGGGAATTCTGACTTCCCCGACTTTTCACAGTCCATATCCCAACCCTATTCTTGTTCACGACACAGGCATTAGTCTAAGAAGATACAAACTCAGAGTTGCACATATCAAAATCTTGGATATTGATAGTTCCTTATTATTCATAGCCCGTAAATAAATTGGGTTAAAAGCATTTAAAGTTATCTTCAACATTCAGTTCACAAATCTCCGCCCAAGTGGGCATCCAGCGATCGGAACCACACCGAACTGGCTGCCAGTACCCCTTTAGTGTAATTGTTTGTTCTGTTTTTGTTTCTAAAACAAAGTTGAATCTCTTCGCTGTCTCCTTTTAAACTTCACTCCAACTGAATATCTTCTCTCTGGATTGAATATATCCAAGCCATCTATAATCTGCAAGAAAGCACTGTTCTTAAGATTTGCACCACCAGAAGTGACCAAAACCGAGTTTCTCCACACGGTTTTAATACGCAGAAGCTACAATTCTGAGAAATTAAAATGGACAGTGTGGAGAATTTAAGTTTAGAAATTGGGAGAGAAAGGGTTAACCCGGAGGGAATGAAATGAAATTGTAAACGTTGAAGACGGAGTTAACAGTTACTTCTACTAGAAAGAACAATTTCTTCGCATGGTGACCTTTCAGAGTACTAAATTTTTTAACTGTTCGCGGCTCGAGATCATTGGATCTAACCACCAATCTTTCAACCAAGAGCAATCTTCGCGTTCTCTGTCTGTTCAGACAATATCACAATGAAGTCTTTAGGAAAGATTCATGAATAGAGCAATAAATATTTCACCTTTTCTCCGTTGTAATCAGCAATTGTAACGTGAACAAATATGGAGGCTTGCTGATTTCCTTCAAGATGCACATGTCTGTAGCCTAAGTAGGCAGTTAAATAAATTTACATCTAAGTGATTATCTGTTTCAACAAGTTGACAGCAACGTACCACAAGAGCAAAATAACCGTTTATTCTGAAAGTCATTCTTCCTTACATAAACACCATAACGAGGCTAGCAGTGCACCCTGGTACCGAGGCTACCTGGCCTACCATACATATCAATATCGACTATCGATGGGTGAGGTGGAGAGAGATGATACCAGTAAGATATTTAAGGATTATCTCTTGTAAAAAAGGCAGCTGTCGCCTGCGGCCGACTGTGGAGTTCTTAGCTTGTTGACTTTCGCTCGGTCAACTTCACCGCAAACATTGAAAAACTCAATGGTTCATAAATACACAGAAGTAAAAAATTTTTAAGCTACCCCTGTCAAAATACACGACAGCACAATTGGACATATCATGTTTTATTCGAAAAAAATGGATGTATAGAAATGTATTGGTTAACCAACATTTACTGAGAAATGTAAGCTTATCTAGTTACCTGGCATCAGGCTCGAAAATGGATAACTAACTTGACCAATGAAATCTCTACCAATTGGATCCTCGTCCCAAACGACAAAACGGAAATTGGACAGTTCCGGAAAGGTGAGAACAAAGGTAATGGTCTCCTCCCAAACTGGATTGAACCCTATGAAAGAAAGGGTGTAAGACACAACGTGTATTTCATGTCAATAACAACTTCTGCATGACAGGTGCTTACTAAATTTTAGTTTAATTTTAGTTCAATTTAACTAAAATCTAAAATTTAAATCACGTTTTTTCGTGTCAAGGCATGCCATGTAATGTCTCGTCAACTCACGCGACGTTATGCCACGTCACGTGTCAAGCTGACTTTTACAAACAAGGAATTATTAAATAAGCAAACAATTTTCTCTTTAGCTGCCTGGTCTGCTTTTCTTTTCGTTTACATTTTGTTTTTTTTTCCTTCTCATAATCACAATCGAAAAGCTTTCCTCAAAGTCTTAACAAAAAATCACAATTGAAGAAGGGTTCGTGAGCTGTTTCATTTTTCTTCTAACGATCCGCATTGTGCATGTTAACAAACCACATTCGTCTACGTAAATGCTCAAGAGTATCACATAAACATTCAGTTCCTGGCAGTGTTCAAGATATTGGCCACACAAGCCTATAACACCACGATTCTGTTTACTACTGTACGAGTCCTGTCGAGCTCGTTAGAGGATCTAAACGAGTATTCGGAAGGACACGAGAAGCATTTAGAACTTTTTTTTCCCGAACATATCTGCGTCACGGACTTCAACACCTCTCTCAACAGTTTTCCTCACCATTATCGATGACGGTTTTTGTGCGCCGCTTGCAGTTATCAGCTGGGATACCTATCACCTCAATCTCTACGTAAGGGTCAATGATCTGTATCAAAAATAATTGAATAGAGCTCAAGTTTAGAGGAAAATTGATACTAAAGGAAAACAAAAGGATTCACTGATTTATTCATTCACTTGATAGACTTTGCAATTTTACCCCTTCGAGAGAAATCACGATCTACCACACGAAGAAAAAATATTTTCCGAAAATGGCTTCAGTGAGCCAGATTGGTTTGATAGTTATAACTAACAATGGATAATCCTTCTAACTAAATTAGGGAAGTAAGTGTTCAGAATAGATAGGGAAATACCAAATATTTTCAAGACAGAGTTAATGCTGTTTGGGGGCAAGATGCAAGTTGCAGGCTGCAAATCAGACACGCAATCGGAATTTGCGGTAGGAAAGTTAGTTGTGGGAATAGGAGTTAAACCATGTCATCGACATGGTGTAAACCGCTGAGCCCAACATGAGATTTACCCTCCTTAACTTCCCGCTTCATTCCTTCCTGAAAACAAATTGAATACGAAGAAACAAACTGCATGTAAAATTTTCTGCATACCTCTCCACGGTCTCCTAAGATGCTGTCTTTTGGCTTTGGCAGTTGTTGGCCACTTATCACCTATCGAAATATAAGCGATACTTTGAGAAATTAAAAAAAAATGAATGAAAATAAAATAAAATAAAAAACCTCAACAACAAGGACAACAAACACTCAAATACGTAAAGACAAGGAAGGACTAGTGGAACTATTCAAAATGCAAGAAATAGAGCAGACTGATAAACGAAAATATTCAGTTTTAGAATTGTTCTAAAATCTATAGCTTAATGATCGAACGATTTTAAAGTGTCAACTTCCATGAAAGTGTAATCTCGTACACACAGGTTATAGTTGATTCATTTATCTTTTTCCCTGGGAAAGCTCAACGTTTTGCGTGAATGTCGACAAACATTCAGTCACATTCTTCAAAAGCACATATAGTACACCTCACATACAGGCGTATGTGGTAAAGTCTTTTCACCTTTATTTTACAAATCTTTTTCCTGACTCCTTTAATATCCGTCCTTGTCATGGGATCAAACTTAGGTTCAGCTGTAGAAAGAATAAAAAAAAAAACACTTTTTTTAAATTCTGGTGGTTTTTTTTTTTTTAACTGGAATTTCGTTCTCGTACACACAGGTTATAGGTTGTCACCAATTGGGAAGACTGAAATTCAAAGTATACTAACAAACCTTCACACATAATATCAGGCTTAAGGACATATCCACAGTTTCCATTTGACTTGAATTTTCCTTTGTATATCTGCATCATTCGTCCTTCTGTTTGATAGTTTAGAGCCACTGAGGAAGAAAATGTGCCAATGTCACTATCCTACTTTAACCACTGAATGAATTGTGAATGATAGAAATTAAAGAAACTCGAAATCAAATCAGAAAAAAGGAAAAAAAAACAGCACAGGTTACAATTTCTTATCCACATAGTTGGGAAACCTTACCACAACTTGCACTGTTCTCCTCTTCAGAAGTTGTCAAAGGCTAATTTGTTTACGGTATTTCGGAGACAAAATACTGAGGCATGGAAGGTAGTAAGTGTCCCAAATAAATGTGTAACGGAGTGTAGCTCCTGTCATAATTTTCGTGAGGATGTTCAAAAGGTATTTACCACGTCATTTTTGCAAAATTCCATTTTCTTTACCACTATAATACAATGAACAACTCATAAAGTTTTACTTCATGCAATTCGTCAGATTCCTCACGTCATCAACACCACAAAATACGAAAAATGAGGACTGTTCTGCCACGACACCGGGCTTTAACACTAAGGTATGTGATTGGTTTTGGTGACTCGTCATACCTTCCAAATGAAATTTATCAAAGCTGAATTTGCTGAATCTGTGAGAAAGAGTTGCACACTTTAATTACGGCATCTGCCTCGCTGTGGGAGGTAGGTGCAACTGGGCAATATTATCTTTTACCTAGTTGGCAGCCACAGTTCCAGAAGGCTTGTGGATTTGGGTTGCTAGAGTCGATTCTGTAACCTGCCGGGTAAACTCGGCAAAGTTTATATCTTGTGTAACGCACAAATTGCTCGCCTTTTGTGTCAACATATCTGTAAGCTTTCGACTCAGGTACTGAACATACTTCACAGTGGGTATCTGTGAGAAAAAAAATTCAGCTTTCAATGAGACTTGTCTTGGTCATCGTTGAAGAACCAAACTGGAACAGTCATAATTTATCCCCTGGAGGGGGAAGGGGGAGGTGGGAGGTGGGAGGTGGGAGGTGGGAGGTGGGAGGTGGGAGGTGGGAGGTTCAAAGGATTTTGGTTTTTGTCACAATAAAATTTACCCGATTCCCCATATAAGGCACGGTTGTATTCAAATGATACCCCTCATTGGCAGTTAATTTACTATAGTCCTCCTCTTACACTCTGTAAGGGACGACTGATCCTCCCCTCCGTTCCCCTGAAAACCAAGTGATCCAAAGTGCTCTGACCCCCCCCCTTCAGGATAAATATGCAAGATTAGAAGGCTTATGGGCAGAGACCATGTGGAAGACTTACATTCTTTCTTTCTCCTAAGCTCGTGACACATGATATCTGTACATCATACCTTTACGTACCATTCTCATCAAGATCCAGTCCTTTGAATGCTGATGACTTAGTGTAAGCAACAAGATCAGAAAGATGCTTGCTCAACTTAATTTTTCTTATAGAATCCTGTTGACATGAACAAGAGAAAAACAATGGTCAGGAACGATAAATAAACACAACGCAAAGATTTAATCGACCCCAGTATTTTCAGCATTCGAAACTTTTTAAAAGGAAATCTAAAAATTGCAAAATTTAGACAACTGAAGGTTAAAAAAACACACTAACAAATAAATCACGGCAAAAAAAATGAAAATAAAGAAATAGTGAGTAATAATAGTTTGTAAAATACCCACCTCTTCGGTAGAGATAAGCCTTTTTTTGGATCGCCTTCTCGTTTTCTGAGAAATAAAGATAAATCATACTACCAAACTAAACCAACGTTATCAAAAGAGAGTTACCTCACCTGATATCGATTTCGAATTTCTTTCACGCAAAGCTCGATTCAAATCCGCAGAAATGTACTGATTGAGAAATAAATACATCGGGATGCATATCTATATTCTCCTCTAGAAATTTGGATTGATCACAGTCTAAAAGTTTCCATTTACCGTACCTCGGAAGTCTGACTAAAACTCCTCCAAGAATTGCTCTTAAAAGCAGCGGAAAGGACCCAAAAAATTCGAAGATCATTTCAATAACAAACATTCAACGAAGCAGAAGATCGCGGGATAAAAAAACATCCAGAATTAGAGGATGTACCACGCTACAGATTTCCATTAAACCTCAATCTTTGAGAACAAAAAGGAAATTTCTAACTCTTCCCCAGTCGTCTCTCTACTTTAAAAGATTAACGAGGGAAGCGCAAAAGATAAACGCGGGGCAAATGGGAAAATATGTCCAGTTTATCGCAGTGGCGGAAGTTTCTCGCAACCTTGCGGCTGCGTATTAACAGATGACTGGGGAAGAGTCACAGAAAGCTATATCTTAACTTCTAAGAACTTGATGAAGAAATACATTTTACGTACATTGTTCCTAGTTTGATATATGTATAAAATATTACTATACCTTAAAATACTACTATACCTTATCTTTCTCACTAAAGCTTTGTGTTTTTCTTATTTCAGCAGGCTGATTGCGAGGACCCTGATCAAAGACATATTTTGCAGACAGCGATCTTCCAAGCTGAGAGAAAATAGGAAAGCTTTAAAGAGCGATTTTTTTTCTATGAGCTCACTCCATTCTTCGTATAACAAAACATTTTAAGTAAGATTAGAAAAAAAAAATTATATTACAATTCACATACATGTCTTGTTTAAAGGCCGCATTCGCTTTTTAACCAAGGTGCCGACAAGAAGAATTTGTTAAAAAAATCAAGAGCTCCGTTTGTTAGTGATCATTTATTTATTCTCATGACCTTAATGTTTGATTCAGGGCTAATATAATAAGGAGAAATTAGATGCTAGTTACTCTTGAGGGTCAAGGGTTAAAGATTAAATTTCAAACTCCGCCCGTCTGGTACAATAAAACGCTATGAAAAAAGCGTATGATTGCAATATATGACTAAAATATGTTTAAAAATCGTGCTCTCCAACATCAGTAATCAACATTAAGGCATCTATCTCTGTTTCGATCATTATTATTACAAACAAAACCTAACACAATTGATGCAAGGAACTGACTACACACCCTTGGTACGCTTTTTGATGCTCCTACTGAAGTGGGTTCTTCCAAAGCCACGGACGTCACAATTGCTGAACTAAGATCCCCACGAGCGTCATTTTCTTCGTCGTCTTTGTTCGAACGGAGACGCTGTAAGGACGCCAGCGTGCGTCGCCATTTGCGCTCCTTGGCTTTCTGCTCTAATACATTCTGAAATAAGGATAAAAACAACAAATAAAATACAGGGAAGTACGAGGAAGTGGGTTGTTTGCCTGTTAAATATAGAAGTGTGGAGATATGCTTTTGTTTTACGTATGGTGCCGAAAAATGACGTATAAATAAATAAAAAATAATTATAAGCGTTTGTTGATTCTGATGCAAGGGGAGCCATAGGTACTGAAGTTTTCAGTAAAGATTTACAAAGTAAAGGAACTCTCTCAATTTTTGGTTAATCATTAAATGCGTTTTATTCAAAGCGACTACAAAGTACAAGTAGCTGGGTGTTGTAGTGGAGTTCTCACCTCATTATCTCTGAACTTAAAAGCCTCCTCCATTTCATCAGCAGAATCTTCTTCTGTTACGTCACCTTCATCTAAATCTTGGTCAAAAGTGGCTGGCAGTTTTTTGGCCTTCAAAAAAAGAAACTTCTGTCATATGCGATTATGCGCTTTGCTAAACCGTCTCCCCCTGCCACACTGGTTGTTTTAAGTCCCCAGGGATTCTAATCGAGGAGCTGATTAAAAGCAGCCAAAATGCGAGCCATCGACTATCCCCACGTACGATGTGGAGTTTTTTTGGTTCAAAAACGTACATTTTTATACTTTTTGTTTTTTTGGGGTGTAGGGAGAAGGGATAGTACCAAAGGCTCTACATTGGGGAACTATTCAAGGACCACCAGCTTTTTATTAGAGGGTTTGCCCAATTGAACAATTTTAAGGTAAGAGCCATAATAATAGCATACGTAAAAGAGCGTCTCACTATCAGTTGTCTTTTTTTTTAGTTGAAGAACAATTATCACCTTTTTCTTCTATAAATTAAATTATTTGTCAAGCATAAATCTTTGAGGTGTGACTTACGTTGCAAAACAACTTAAATTACCTCGAATTTTATAGGTAAACAAGGAGGCAAGGGGAGAAATCTAAAAAACTAGAAAGGGACGTGCAATAACTACAGTATATAACATATTCCTTATTGGTATATACCTTGATCAGAATTTTACCCATTAAGCTCTGCGGCGAGGGTAGATCTTTTCTATCCAAACTTGTCTCGTAGACCAGCTTATCTAGGAAATGTTAAGGCAAATCAAGGTACAAGTTCCTGTAACAGACGTTAGGCAGAGGCAGTCTACTGGCAGAGGATAGTAGATGGTAAAGTAGATCCTTTAAAAAGGATATCTTTAAAAATGTCTCGCATAAGACTCGCCATAACTTTTTGTTGGCTAACACTGCAGTGATTCTCCAACGAAAGAATAACTGGATATCTAGAAAAAAGAAAATGATTAAACTGCATTTGCGCTCAAAATTGTGAATTTTGATATGGTCTATCCTTAATAACACTTTTAAGACATCAAGATGAGTGCTATAATTATGTGAAGGCACACAATTATAATTAACATTTAATGCTGGTAGAATAATTGAATCATTAGAAAAAACAAACACTCTCAAATATTTCTGACTCTACATTTGCTATGTTTATCGTAATACTTAGTAAGGCCGTTTGGTTTTCAGTGCAGTGCTTTCTTACTTGTTATTAAGAAAGGCAAAGTCGTTGATATTAAGTATGATGTAACGAAATTTCACTTTGGACGTCATCGTGTAACCATGATATACCACAGGTTCACCATCCTTTCCATCCCAGCAGTCAACTGCACAGTTGGAAACACAAAGGAACAATTAAATAAAGAAGAGCCATACAGAATGTTGGATGACCTTATTTGAAATATTCTAGCATCTTCAAATCTTATTCCTTGTCATCCAGTGCTAAAGTGAGGAAAGGTAGGGACAGTTGTTGTTGCTTTTTAATTTTTTTATATTGGGGAACAGATTTATGCGGTAGAGAAATAACTCCTCGAAAAATAAACGCGCTGAACAGTTACTTGGAAAACAGCATTGGAAACCCCACACGACATGTCCTTTTAATCATTTGTCTTCATAGACATCTTTCTCACACCACCAACATTTCAGGATATCAATGTGCACTTCAACTGAAAGTGGTTAATCTCGCGTCCAACTACGCATCCAAAGTTCTGATTGATTAATTCTAGCCAAGAGTGAAGTATATTGTGCAGGGTTTAGAGTCGAAAGCGGTCGAAAGAGTGTCGTAAGACCAAAACCAAAGTAATTACGACGGCCAATCAGAATGAAACGAATTGTCACAAAGGAGCCTATGAGAACTAAGGTAAATGAAAGCAAGCTGCTTGAAAGGCGGGAAACGCAAGTAACAAGCTGCAACTGGTTTACATTTTGAGACTGCTTAGATGAGAGGCTGGCGCGCGTTTTCTACACCAATCACATTGAGCAGTGAAGCGAACTAAAGTAATCCCGGGTTACTTTTGACACTTATTGAAAAGCGCTTTCCGTACATATAAAGAGAATTAGTAATAATGAAGCTTAATAACCAAGAAGAAGCATTATCGCGTACTAAGGATCTTCACTCGGAAATAAACAAAAACAAACGACCGGACGATAAAACGGATAAACTTAAAATTACCATTTGAAGGCCATCAAAGCCTATCAAAAGGCACAAAAATACAAATCCTTACTTTCGATACACCGACAACCCGACTGCAGGACCTTTATGTATATATCCATACTTGAATTAGATGTCAGCTGATCTCCGAGGAGGTAGCTACAAAGACAAAGTTAGAGGGACTGGGCATGAGCATCGATTCAGTCGATTGCCCAAACAACCCTTTTTCGGGCAAAGTCTTAACAAAAGTATTATCTAGTTAGTGTTTTAAACATTTTCATTCGGCTTCTGGCCAAGGGACATTTTTATCAGGCTTAAAAAACCCCCCGCCATCATCACCTCTTGAAGGTTTTATGATCTGAGGTAAACAACACTCGATTATTCGGCTGCTGAGGTAGATTTTAAAGGAAGACTGACTTGTCACTGTTGATTCACCAAACCATTGTGATTGGAGTTTCCAGAGGATGATTCCTACAAAGAGCACCCTGAATTTTTTCGTATCTTTATTTTCTGGTATGACTGTGTCAACGATTAATCGTTAAATGATTACCCATATTCCCATAACTATTCTGTTCGTATTTCCTATGGTGCTGCCAAGGAGAATTTGTTTGACAATCAAGAGCTTCCTACACCGATTCTCATTTTCTTTATTTTGGTGAAATTTACATTTGATTCAAGAATGATACTGTAGAGAGAAATAGGAAGCCAGTAACTCTTAACCGTTAGAAGGCTTCGAAACATGAGTTTTCAAATGTGTACATTCCTTTTCGGAAATCTTCTCTGATTTAAAAGGTCGTGTCAATTCGTTTGGAATGAATACTACCGAATACCGAAAAAAACAAAACAAAACAAAACAAAAAACAAACAAACAAACAAAAAAAGACAGGTCAACATACGTGTTGTGTGAAGAAGCAATGAAGTAATGAGACAGAGGTCTGGTCATATCTTGGTTGACTCTGGAGTGTTCTGGATTAAATATATCACCTTCTGGACCTAAAAGATAGCTTGTGAAACCTGTGATGTGATACCAAACAAAGAAAAAAATGAAAACTGCGAAAACAGAAAGATAAATAAGGAGAACGGCTATGGGGAATCCCGAATTCCCCTCCACAAACTATGGAAGACTGACTTAATCTGATTTAGATTAACTCTTTAACAGGGAAAGTTGTTACTGCTATTCCCAACACTCGTGGTGGGAATTTATGGTCAAGTCGACGATGCGATATGAAATAGTAAAATTCATAATAGTAGTATTATTATTATTACAATAATGTAAAATACCATCAATTCCAAGAATGCCTACACTTCTGTTTTCCAGCACAGGTTCGTAGGTTTGAATGATTTTGCAGCAGTCCTCTCCTGTCACATCTTTCATCTACATGAATTACCGTAAATTATAAGTAAAACAGTAAATTATACAAAATTAGTGAGCGCATGGAGTCACTTAAAGACAAATGATAAAGGAAAGTCGAGAACCAGAGGACTTTTAGGTGTTTACAAACATATAACATAAGCTTAATAAGAGGAGGTGACGGTTTATGGCCTGTTATGTAAAAAATTAAAAAAAAAGTTAATAAATATAGGCACAAATATAAAACGTCATAATCGTGTTCAGGCACTTTTTTCTAAACGTTTACAGGTAACCTTGATCTTAAGTGACGTCAAATACCCCCAAGAAATGTTACGTCGCCCAAGTTAGATCGACTGTAGTTGATAACACAATCATATTACGCGAGTTACGTACATGTATTGACAAACTTGAAAACTTGAAAATTCTCTGGGCGTTCAGTTGATGAAAGGAAAACAACAACAACAACAACAACAACCTGCGTTGACTAAGGCTAACGTACAAAATAAACGGAGAGATTGCAAGAACAGCGAGGTGTGACCTTGAGACAATCGTGTTCTGCTCAGCATTAAGAGCGAGGCTCTGTTGCCCTTCCATATGCGATTTTTTTGAGATATGCCACCAAATCTGAAATAGGCGATAGCTTTAACAATTAATCTGTCTGTGAATATGCAACTGTTGCAGTTTTAGTTGCATTCTGACGAATAATCAAAAACTTTAATCGAGATAACATGTAGCAACATAATCACACTTGGGGGCAAGGTGACTTAGCTGAAGGCCGGCGACATAACCGGGTGACTGGCGTGAGTGATCTACTAGCGATAGCGGTTCTTAAATTAGTTTATTTTGCTAACTTGCACGGTATAGTAAATTTAATACGTACCTGCTGTTCTTTCTCTAAAAAAACTTTTAGTTCAGCTACCGTCATGTGCTCCTTACTGTTCCCATATCTGCCGACATTTTTTAATAAAATGAGGTTACCACCATCCTACATGCCAATGAAACCTAAATTTCGTTTTCCTTATTAATGTTATTCTCATTAAGAGCTAAAGCTTTTAACTTTGGATTTTATGCGCCAGAGATTTACTGAGTTTCAGTCTTATCAGTTCAACATTCTATTCACAGTTAGGATTCTCTCAAGTAGATCCCAAGGGACTCTAACTTTACCACGCTATTAGGCTGTATAACTTTGCTTTTATGGAAGCTCTTAATTGCTGTGCAACCGTGGCTCCTGATAAAAGCCTGTTCAAACACCCTGCGTATCTCCCAACAGCAGACTTTTACCAAAATGGTGCATGCAGGATCGTTCAAAGGCATTCATTTGAGAATTCAAATGTAGTTCTATCTTGATTCAGAGGGCTTATTTAAGAAGGAAGGATATGAATCACAGCTTTAGATATTTTAAAAGTATTCAAACTTACTTTAATAACAAAAGGTAGAGCTCCCTCCTGGTCGATATGCTCTTATAAAAGTTAATAAACTCATTGAAATCCAGTAAACCATCAGAATCTTGATCATCAGTGTCTGCTGCCTAGGGTTGAAACAATTAAAGTTGCTCACATCAAATTAAATTGTGACAAATAGGCAAACCAACACACCTGCAAACAAACCTGTTTGTCAAGCTAACAAATGAAGCACAATAATAAAGGTAAAAAAATTCAAATATTCCCAAATTATGAGACTATAAATAGGGCAAATAAATAGTCACTGAGGTTTCAGTTGTAAATGACACCAAATACCAACAAGGTCACAAAGCTTTACATGTATCTAAAATAGCTGCATGAGGAAGTACAATTTTTAATAAATATGCATCTAAAATACAAAGCTACTGTAACATAACACTTGTACTTTAGTCTACTAGGCAATGCTACCTAAGCAAGATGACCACTAAGGCTTAGTTTTTATCTTTTGGTTTTGACCCTGCATACATGACTGACCCACATTATCAAACCATAAGAGTACAATTGGTAACTGAGAATCTTCCATCCTTAGCTAAAAAACAAACTATATAAATACCACTATTAAATGAAGCCTTGACTGCTTAAACAAGATGTTATGAAACCAATGAAAATGTCTTATAACACGAAGCTTCCTTAGAAAAAAATGGCCAACAAGCACCAAATGAACAAAAACTGGAAACAAGTTCAAGAAAAACTGCAGTTTTTATTTTTCAGCGAGGGGCCATTTTTGGTTGTATGACATACTACTGCAATTATAATTGTCAAACAATAAGTCTTTTGTTAACAGGTGTCCTAACATGATCATAATTGAGGGAATACTGGCAATGGTCAAAAATCACACAGTCTAACATCCAAAAAATTATAGGTAAACCACAACCAAAAATACAAACAATACTTTCACTGAAGTATCAGGTCATCTGGTAAAAGGAAAGACTGAAATACACACACACACCTTAAATGTCTCTCGTAATTTCCTATTTGATATTTTAACATTGAGTTTGTGCATCAAAGAAAAGACTTCATCAACGCTTAAGAGACCATCTCCACTTTTGTCCGCTGAGAGAAAAACCTCTTTTAACCATCTACACAATTGTGAAGGAGAACACAGCAAGGAACAAAACTTGAAAACAAAACAGCAATAATACAGACGAACAAAACAAAAAACTAACTCTTACTCTGTGCGTGGAAAAAGTTGAGATTTCAATTCTGGAGAAAATGCATCAGAGTAAGGTACTATGGAAAAAGATTTGGGCTTTGGGAATTCACATGGAATTATGGCCAACAAAAGAAGAGAAATAGAAACATATCAGCCAAAAAAAGTAAAGGATAGTGGCCACTACAATGAAAAAAAAATTAGGTCTCTCCTTAGTCTAAAAAAGGATACTGGTCTCGGGAGGTCTGCCGCCGCAGTGGTTCATCTTCAGCTGCAACATAAGGTTAATCCATTATGTTTCATCGTATCAATTTGATGAGAGATTATTACTTGCAGGTAATATCTTGTCTTTCAGTGTGGGAAAAAAAATTTCTACCCAAGAAATAGCTGCCTGCCTCAAACAGATGCTTCATATACATGTGGATACCACTGACTTTTATCTACAATTATAAATGAATTAACATTCTTTAAATACACTTCGAAAGAAATGTGGCATTATGGAGAAGTTAAATAGAAGTGGCCACCTTTTCTGGTTTTGCCAGAAGCACTTGGCTATTTATTCATTTATTTGTTTATGTATTCATTTACACCTGTAATCTTATATATCAAAGACCTGGGAAACATCCCAATTAGTAATTGTGGGAAAAGACATGTTACATCTTAATAAGGAGTTACTTGAAGTCTTAAAGCTTGCAAAGAACATGAACAAAAAACAAAACAAAAAAGTGCATTAATAAACAAACAAGCAAATAAGTGGAGGTATTAAATTAAATTATAGTTATAAGTTGAATTGAAGCTGGCAAGACAGGCCAGTAAACATGAAATAATTAGAGACACCTACCTGGAAAGATTCCTAAGGAGAGAGTCAAGTGTGCAAAAGGGAAGATGAGAGAGTGAAAAGACAATAATGTAAGGTTAGAACAAGTATTAGTCACTAGTTTAAGATTAGAAGTGATACTGAAGTTTAAGAATTAAGAATTGGAGATGAAGTAATATAATGTAAGAGTGAAAGAGGCATTAGTTTGATGACAGGGTTTCAATTGTTATTGAGTCTCTCTGTTTTCAAGACCATCAAGCTACGTGCCATTCAGTAACAAGGCAATTCATAGAAATGAGAACACTGGTTTTTTTCATGTTTTTCGTAGAGTAGCTACTCCCCTCTTAATCAAAGTCTAGGGCGGGAGGGGGGTCACTTATTAGAGATTTCAATCACAATACAATGTATTGGTCTCACAGGTCCTCCATATCTCATTTTTACTGTAACATCACATTTTAGACCAAAAAGGCAGTTCTATTCTAATGAACACTAATACTTATAACTACTCAACCTCACAGACAAGAGGGCCTATTCCCACATACATCCTCCTCAATCCTGTTAGCTTACTATGGTCATGGCATTTCAAACATGGTGTATATGCCACAAGTTTTCCATTTCCCTGACTAATTACTTTGTAATAGTGTTTATATGTTGAGGAAATTGTTGGGTTGAAATGTAATACAAAGACTTGCCAGTAGATAGTTTTATTACAGTTTTTATTCAGTGTAACGTAGGGCTGGAAAATAAACTAATAAGAGCTCGGCTTTTAGGCTTGGCTAAATCTATATATTAGTTATTGTAGAGGATAGTATTTCGCCTTGAGGTATAAATTCCCGTCAATTGTTCACCACGAAAAAACCTTGTCAAGCGGCAAAGCATCAGCGCGTATATTAACCATAGCCTGGACTCAAGCACAAGAGCAATATCATTCAAATCTTATGAAGAAGCTTCGAATTTATTTCCATTCCCTTTTTGGCCACTAAGCTGCCCCTTCTATAACCCTTAACCCATCTAAACTGATTTTTAAAAAGTTATCAATCCCTGAACTACTTCACGGACTATACCAGTTGTGTCGTTCGGTATCAAAAAACACCAAGAGAGAAGTACCCTTCCGAAACCATACGGTTTTTATCTCAGTCTTTAAGAACTATCTATCATAATTTTTCTCTTACCCGGTTTGATGATGTAAAGAGGGCACAGTCGTTCGAAAATTGTCTCCAATACGTGCTAATATGTTTACACGCCGAACGCTGCCATTATCAAAATAAAACTTAGGAACCTGGCCGTACACGCTGGACATCGCTGAGTCAAACTGAATTGGCGGGAAAGTATCTGCAGCTGCTTTGTTTAATGCAAAAACTTTGACTCAACAACGTCTTTATGCGTAATTTTGTAACTTCTGATTTGTTTCAAAGAGATTGCTGAGAGAACGGGAATAGACAGGAGAGACTCGCTCCTCGGTTCCTAGCCAAGTTGGTGAACATGATTTAAATTGGCGACGCAAGACTTTGCAATTTTTTTTCACCGTCGAAGGCAAATTTCATAAAATAAAGAGTCTTTTGAAGCCAAAATGCGAATAGACCCATAACTGCATCAAAATACTTAAAAACTGATATGTTGCATGTGTCGTGTCGTGTCGTGTAAGTATACTGTACCTGATCTCTTAGCCAACAAGTAACGAAGGCCCACAGTCCAATGCAAAAATTCTTCTTGAGTTTGAAAAACTAAGTCAAGCGTGGAAAACTCATCCCCATGGATAATAGAAAAGCAGCTATTTTCTGAGTAAACCTCTGGGCACTGAGTGAAGGCATCCGTTGTGAAACCTTCGCGAACTTCCCTCACAGATGCCAGTGGAACTGAAAGAGAGGCAATTAGTAGGTACATGTTTAGATCTACCACCCTTGAAAAAAAGTCTTTAGACAGGGAGAACTATGCGGTGGTAAAATCAACAGATTTTAGAGCCTTGCATCCGGAAGTACCCTCTACCCCCTTGATCTGCAATGTTGGTAAGAGTACCGGAAACGTTATGGCTTACAACCATGACAAAAGCTGCAGTTGTTTTTAACTATTTTTTACGCGTTACATACATGACAAAAGCTGCATTTGTTTTTAGATATCTTTTTACGGCTTAAAACCAAGACAAAAGCTGCAGTTGTTTTCAAATTTTATTCAGGGAAGGGAGAGGAGTATGAGAAAAGCTTAGAAGGTTCTCATGAGAATAATTTTACAATATGGAAAACACATCTTTTGTTCAAGGGTCTGGGTATGCATGACAAAGTTGTTGCATCCCAACAACTTTTGACCAGAATTATAGAAAGGTCAGCAATATTAGAAGACAACTGTATTGCAATTTAACGGAAAATATTGAGATGACAGAAGCAAGTTTAAAACGGCCTAATTCTTCTGCTTTGCTTAGCAGGTGTGCATTATGTCGATGAGGTTATGACTTTCAGACACTATGATAAGCAGGTGACGCATGCAACGCTTAGGCTTATGTCTCGTTAGTTGGAAATTTCAGTCAACGATTGAGAAAATTTGGAGACATTGGAGACTGAGTAAGTCGGATGTAAGGTCATTTTGTCCCAGATAACGAAAAAATAAAGAAACGAAATACTAACGCGAGCGAAGGCGAACACGAAATTCGCGAGTTTTCTTGCAACGTCAGGGTTTCTAGTAAGCTTCTAGAAGAAACAAATTATGCCATTATAGCGATATACGCGCGAAAAATGAGAGTAAGTACTCTTGATGCGATTCCAAGAGTTTGTTAAATGTTTTGTTTGAGCGCCTGTTAACTTAATTCGACACCAAGTCCAATTTCCAGACGGGCTAAAAGTTTAGTAATATGCAAATAAAACACATTAATCGAAGCTTTTGTTTGCTTCAGACATAACATTTAGGATACATATTTACCTGAGTTTCATCTTGTTAACACATCGTGGGCATTTCGGTCGCACCTACGTGTGTAAAGGGTCTTACTAACGTAGAGAATCAAGTGCCATGCGAGCAAACATCAATCCCAAATTGCCACCCTTTTAGCATGAGATTAAAACTTGTGAGCATAAAACACTAATGGTAAATTAGTGATGATGATGAATAAATGAATGACAGTTCAGGCGACCAGTCGAGAGAATGAGAGCTTGAAACAATCACGGATAGTTGACGGAAAGCGGCTACCAATACTTCTAAGGAATTATCATTAACAGCCGAGCAGAAAATTGAAGGAAAAAAACATGTATATTATTTATTTCTGCGCGTATTTAAATGAGCTCAACTTTAACTCTCGTGTAGTGTTGTTTATATGATTTTTTCTGAGAAGTGTTTTTCATTAGGAGCGATGTTTCTAACCTTAAAAATTGCGATACGAAGTTGTAGTTTTCTACTTTCATCTCAGTTGGCGGCCCACGGATGTTTAAGGAGTACTTGTTGTATGAGAGAACATGAAGATCTCTCTTTTGAGTGGATATTTGGTTGGGATCCTCTGGGCATATTACTTAGACTAATGACTTCTTCAGTAGCTGCACTGTACTAAGAGTTAGTTTAGCGCCTCCTCTTATTCTTGAGTCGGGTTGATTACAGCACATTTACCCTTCTCATGGCTTTCGTACGCCTTGAAGTCTGGTTTTATATGTGTTAGTAAAGTGCGACATAATTAATCTTATTAAGCACAAAATCCAGTTTATTCCATTACGCGACCATTTCGAGGGATTTTCGAATCAGTGGCGGGTAATAGCATTACGCTTTATTAAACCTTCCCAACGCGTAATAATTATAGCAAAATTGAGATTCATCTCTTTCGATAAATACATAGAACTTCAAGTGGGGTAAGCTATTGCATTTTATACTTTTCTTGTAAATAGATAAGGAAAAAGGTTCAACGTGAGGGCCAATCCTTCATCAATTATTAATCAAAAGTGGCTAAGTCTTTTCTACATTTATGGAAAATAGAATTATATCAAACAGACATGTTTTGCTTCTTATAATAAAAAAATTTTCCCTTATATACACAGACTCAACTGTGAAGAACACTACTTTCATATATTCACAGTCGAAGAATACAACTATTTTGTTTCAAAATTAATAACTTTTCTCAAATCCATTTGAACGATAGCTATCCCATTCCAAACAACTAATCAAGACGCGAAATATCTCTTTTGCGTTTTTTAAATGTTTATCTATTCGCGTAAATACTTTCTGTCTAGATTTTAAATATTTCTTTAAGCGTGAGAGGGGTCACAGTCTAATACTCTTAATCAATTTTTTTCAAAAACTTTTCTTTAAGGAAGGCATTATAACAATGCAAATGCAAATAACAGTAAGTTTGAAGATATAGCATCTTATGCAAAATCTTTGCCTTCTCTTTTAGCGTGTACCACCACAAAAGAAGAAAAAAAAAAGATAAAATTAGTAACAATTCAAAGCAGAGTCTTTAAATTCATCTAAAAAATCTCTTCATACGCAAGCTCGAGTAAGTTGGTTTTGGCTTTTATCTTAATAACTGAGAGATGAAAAAAAAAAATCTAAATTCAAACTCACGCTTACGACATCTTGTTTTACAGTAGCATATATTTGAGTTAAATTAACGTTAAATTGAAAATTTGACTTACTTTTCGCACGGTCTCCCTTTTTGGAAGGTGTCCAACGGATGTTTAAAGATTGTTGATCAAGGAAGAACTTTCGTGGATATTTCTTGGATGAACTTCGCAATTTTATGACCAATGCTCCCTTTTGCATAATATCGATGGACTCTCCGACTATAAACAGAACATACGATATTGATTTAGGCAATTTTCCTTATAGTGTTTATAGCAATAGCTAGCTTACTCATGTAATTTAGGCGTTGGAGAACCGTGGTCTTATCAAACAAATCAGTAAATAAATGGGATTTTGAAGCTCTAGATGCTTATTTTTTCATCTGTTAAACACAAAATTCCTGTAAACAATTTCATGGACAAATGATCAAAACAACAAGAGAGGCAATCGAAATAAGTACTTACTGTTGGCAAATTTATGGTTTTCGGCACATTTTGCTGCCCTGCGGTGTTGTAATGTTTTCCATCTATGCACAGACGTTTTGGCGATGCTTGCCTCGTGGCTCAGTGATTCGATATTTTGCGTGGTAACACTCTTCATTTTGTTATTTCCAGGGATTTTTTAAACACCGCATACTCGCATTTCGGAAAAAGCTCCTAGGGAGGATATGAAAAAAGTGACATTTGTAACAGGTGATTAAGCACCGTGAACACTTTGCATTATTAATTTGAGAGACGATAAGACTCGACCTGATTGGCTGACAGGTTAAGTGTAACCGGTGTGATGTAACAACAAACGTATTGCTATGAGGGAACCATATTAACTACATTACTTGTGGTTTAATTATCGTTTTTTAATTATTCACCACAGGAAAATATATCTATATTGCTACAAATTTTCCTTTGAAAAGCACAGGAAACGTCGAAGGCTATCCAGATAAAATTTTTACATTACTGCATCAAGTTAGGAAGTTGTCGAGAATCCATTAAGTGAACTTTTCCCTCTTCAAGCTTACTCCACGCTTTTTCTTTAGTGAAGAACATTTTGCATTATTTGTCCTCGTCATAATACAATTGTGCCCTGAGGAAATGCTGTCTTTAACGTTTGCGTGCTAAAATCCCCATGTAATCTCCTTGCTCTAATTGGAAGCGAAGATAATCCATATTAACACTGGAAATTCTTACAAAACAGAGAATGAGTACGTTAAAACTGAAAACTTTTTGCACACCAAACTATTATTGAAAGATATCTCCTTCCATCTATTTAGTCATCTAATTGAGGTAGCAGTACAAATTTATGGAGCGATGTGAAGTTCCGGTTTCCCTTCCTTTTGGCAATGTATAAAAAGAGTTAGGATACCTGGAATACTAATGATAACAAATACATGATTATCAAGAGATAAATAGATACATCTTTTTGCACGACGTCTACTTCCATTCGTCGTTAATATAGCTTTGCTGTTTCGAATTTTCCTTTTAAGATCAAAGTAGTGAGGGTATAAAACAAAAACTAAAGAAAAAACCTAAGTGCTATACTTGATTAGAAATGCGCATAAATGAAAATTACCTTGGAATAGTTTGTTGAATGCAGGAAATTTTAGACTTAAAGGTTACTGCATGCATCTTGGCAAAGCAGTTAAAAGAGAATTACCGGTTAGGAGGAACCGCTTCGTGTTTGTCTCTTATATGAGGGCTCTTATCTCAGCGACAGAGAAGCAGTTGGAATCGATTGAAGAAAAAAAAATGATAATGAAATAGCATTTAGTGTGTTTTTCAGATATTATCTCCCAGCGATAGACTATGCAATTTCAGGTTGCTACTTGAGGTAGCTGTACTGTATCTTGCATCTATTTGAGGGTAAGTACAAATGACTAGGTACATGTTGAAGACTTGTTGAAATGTCCATTTTAGCTAGTCGAGTCATTGTGACTTGGTCTAGAACGAGGCATTTTGGTCTCATAGTGTCTCCCTTCACGCAGGAGTGTAAATGAGTACCAGCAAACAGTCAAAGAAACTTGGGGAATTGACAGGCGATTAATTACGACTGAAGAGTTTGAATGCCCCTAGTTGCTTAGCTTACGGGAACCAGGATAAGCAGTGGTAGTAGTAAAAGGGAGTACGTTTGTAAAGAAACTGTGGTGCTGTGTCAGTGGGGAGTATATTAAGATAAGTTTGGACTTATTTGCTTGTTTGATAATGAAAATTGGCCACCATAAAGAGTTTCTAAGCTGACGTTTCGAGCGTTAGTCTTTCTTCAGAGCCAATGCACTGATGCGAATGCCGGTAATGGCTACCTGGCTCAAAAGTGTCAACCTAAATGTAACAGCAACAACAGCAAGGTTAATTTGTACTTTAAAGTAACTAATTAATCAGTAAATGAATTGACAATACATACAGCTGCTGGTTACTGAAAGTATTTATAAAGCTAAACTAGCACCATTTAACGATTGAAAATATGTTTATTAGTCAGGAAAGAAGCCTTGCTGTATTCAACTGATTATTTACATATATACACCTAATTAAAAGAAAACGATTACGGAACAAATACATAGATAATTTTTACACATGTTATCAATAAAATAAACAAATAACAGAAATCGCAAAATACAGCAATTATTAGTAAAACTTCATAGAAATTAACAAAATGCGAAGATAATTCTCTCTTAAATAAATAGGAAGTTGGAATCTATACGTTCGTTAAGCCCATATTTGAGAGACGTGTTTGGCATTTGCTAGTGCTGGAAACTGTTAACGGTAGCAGAGCAGTTATCATCACGGATATATAATTAATTATCACGTTTATAGATAAATGAAAACTTGATTGAAAAATTGAACCTCTATGGTGAAACGTTCTTCATTTCCTTACATATTTTTGCATCTTATAGAGATATTCTGCCAACATTATAAAACAGGTCCTATACACAACGTAACTAATAACACACTGCATTCCATCTCTTATTATCCTTATCATACATTAAAATGCTTACAAATTGGTAATGGCAGTGCTTAAGTTCTATTTAACAAATCGACATTGGTTTAACGTGTTCTGTGCTCTTATCGACAACATTGTTCTTATCACAGCGGTCAAAATGTTGTGGAATCACGAAGCAGCAGTGCTCGAACATGGTTCAAAACAGTGTTCTGTGTTGTTTCGTAATGATTAGACTAAGGTTTCACTCTAATCCTCCAATAGTTCAATTTTTCTTGCCTGCTGGAACGATTTAATGTTTTTTCTATTAGACTACTGTATCTCGCGTTTTATGCAAGTACCTTTGGTTTTAAAATTTGACCGACAAGAAGTAAATGTTACTATATGAACAAAATGTCAACCTCTTGAAGGCATGTTCTTTTGAAAGTAGATATAAAAGATAGTTTCAAAACTCAGGATGCTATCGTTTGTACATCACGTAATCATAATGGTAATAATAATTATTATTATATTAGTTATAACGATGATGATGATGATGAAAGAAACAACAAAAAAGGATACAAGAAAGAAATTTGTCTTACATGGATGCTGATAATAAAAGAAAAATAAACTAAATATGAAACAGTGAAGATCCTATTTATTAATACATAGACTTTATAAGCCTGGTGGTGTGGTATTTGCTTGCTTTCAGTCTTTGCAACACAAGGGGGAATCCAGGGGTATACTCAGGATTTTTCAAAGGTGGGAGGGGAAGGTCACATCGTGTCAAACAGAGGGTACTCACCAGGTTGTCATGTCGACCTTTACGCCGTGTTTTACCTAATGCATGTGACATAAAAAAGGCTTACAAAGAGGGAGTTCACGACCACCACAGGACCCCTCCCTCCCAAGCTACACCTCTGGGAGTCTCAGGTCCTCCTTGTGTCTTGCATTGCGTGCTGAGAAGATAACTTTAGATGTAAATGTAAAGGACACGATGGACATGGTGGACGACGTGAAACAAGGGTGGTCTATCATTTTTTCGGAAGTCTTTCTAAGAGTTTTAACCCGTCTTCTAACCTAATATCAGTGTTATTAAAGAATGGAAGATTATAACTCCTATAAAATGATGAACGCCTTAAACTACTTCATCTAAAACTGGTACTGTAGCAAGCAGTTTGTGATCACTGCTGGTAAGCACAACCTTATCCAGTGTAAGGCTGATGCGAAAGTGATCTGAAGAGTATCAAAGAATCAGCGAATAAATACATTTCCGTGTGGATTTTGTATATTCTTCAATCCTCTGTCAGAGTTTTGCCCACAGGGGTCATGCGTTGGCCAGTTATACCTTGTGCAGCCATCAAAGTAATAATGAAAAGAATCACTAAAAAAACTTGGTCCACAGTATCTGCCAAAATATCGTAAAAAATGTGTGGGTGGCGGCCCATCTGGGCAATGTTCAGTGATGCTCTTGATGATCTTACAATTTACAGGCCCGTCCGACCACTTGGCTAGATTTCCGTCTCCAGATGAGCAAATGATCCAATTGTTGATGTTGCTTTTGACCAAAATTTCCTCTCCAAAATTTTTCCATTTAGAAAATTCGAACGCATTGAAGTCCGTTTCACTCAAGGGTGGGTTTTTAGATATGGTGACGTCTACGCGACTTGGTATGAAGACATGCCAATTGGGTCGGGGTGTTATTGCATTGGAGCTTGCTTGAAAATTTGAGTAGTTAGTAAAGGTGTAACTCCAAACCAATGTCCAGTTTCCTCCATCAGTTTCCATCTCGCAGTAAGCTTTGAAAGAGTTGTCTCGGGACCCGCTATCTAGATCGAGCCAATAGACACCACTGGGAAAGTTGAATGAAGATAGAGACTTGCAAGAGGAAACAGCGAGTTCCTTAGTGGAGCCAAAAGCTGGAAGTTAAATCACGTAAGTACAGTGAGTGATATATATTTGAAGAATTTGCTTTATGAATGCAACATTTTGCAATACTTGAAAACTGGACCACACGTACCTTGACAAGTTTTACCATCACCACTATATCCAGATTTGCAATTGCAGTGAAATGATCCCATAACATTTGAACAATCAGCGTTCGGAGAACAGTCGTGAGTAGCCACCGCGCATTCGTTAACATCTGGACAAGAATTATTTAATCAAATAGTTATTTTCAAAGATAATTTTTGTCTTATGTCAAGTGTAACGAAGTAATAAAGAGCGAAAGCAACTGAAATGCATGTGTATGTTGATTATCTCACCTAATTCACAAGTTTCCCCATGATAACCCTCTGGACAAATGCATCGGTATCCATGAGCCCCAAATCCTGCTTGACATGTCGAGTTAAGTTTACATGGACTGCTTTGGCAAGCGTTCTAGAAGTTAACACGAGATTATATATCTACGATAAGAACAGACTGTTCTCGAATGTCTATGCTACTCCGGATTGTGGGTATAATTTGAAGCAGCCAAATATTCGGAAGAAACTTCGGTTAGGTAAACATCTAACCATAAATTGGTAGCATGAAATTTTTAGAATATGCTGCTACAAGTCCTGACTCGTTTGTGAATGGAGATAAGCGGATACCTACTTCCTTACAATGGAGTCAATAGGAAAGACTTTAACATTACTTACAGCTGTGATTAGACTGTAGATATAATCTTCTTTTGCCTTTAAGTCATTGGCAGGGACTTGTGAATGGGTCTTATCGCTTAGTTCACAGAGTAGGTTTCCATCTGCTGATGGCCCATAGTTGTAGGAAACGCAATTTGGATCCTGGTAACATTTCAGTTCGCAGGTATCTCTGTCAAATACCTGTTCACTTTTTATGATATGGTTCGTTAGAGCCACATTTTGTTTTTGTTCTCTAAACTGAATCATGCGACATCCATCTAGAAGGAACAAACATTGTTTAGTCAAGAATAAGCCTATATCCGCTGAGGTTTACGTAATCGTTTGGATGTAGCTAGGGTAGGCACCTTCTTGCACAGCAGTGTCCCATAGTTCAAACGGAAAATTTAATATTCCTTTGAAATCTATGAGCTGATTAGGGTCCGGTTGATTATCAATGTATCAAAGATTAACCCTTTTGCGATGTTAATTATGGGACAAATTTTTAAAACGGTTTGAGACGCTAGCAATAATCGACCAGATGATAGTCTTCAAAGGGAATTAGATGACTATTCACGACAATTTGCTGAAAAATTCAAGACCTAATTAACAGATGAAATATTGATGATTTCTGGGAACGATTGTAATGAACTCAGATAAAGCTAGATTCAATACATTTGCGTCTGTTGAGTGCATGTTAGACAGTTGTTTGTTGGGGGTGAAGTTGTGCGTACTGAAATTTCTTTGCGATCCTTCCAGGATCCAAACCACAAATGACGTATATAAAAATTAAAATCAATAGAATATCCAAAATTTGCATGTCAGCCAATTTGTTCAAGTGTTAATTGAAATCATTTTTCTTTTGTGAGGCTCACAATGCAGGAATAATCGGGATGGTGTATCTAGAAACATGAGCTCGATAGCCAAATGACAAAAGGTTGCCAAAGTTGTTAAGCAGGATAGTTGAGTTTCATGAATGGAACAACAGTTACTTTCTATCTTTCATTAGTCTTGCTTTCAATTAAAAATAGCGAGGATTAATTCCATACCATGAAACACGAAAGGCGCACAAAAAGAGGAAAATCATAGTGTTAAAAAACAAATAAGAAATCTCCAATAATGTAGGCTAAGCACTTCCTTCAGAGGCTTTTTCCTAAATTCTTTCCCGATTTCCTTTCTTTTGTTACACATCCTTAAAATAACTGACTGATTCACCACTCTGAGAGTTGAGAATGAGTTATGAATAAACATCAAATGCGAAGAGGGGCAGATCTTTTTTCTGTGTTTCTTTACCATCGCCAGCGTTGAATGTAAATCCAAGGTTAATCTGCTTGCACCTCACAACGATTAATTAACGGAAATTTTGTGGAAACTTACCTCCATGTGCTAAAAAAAGAAGGATGAGCCATACAGGATTTAAAAAAATAGTTTTAAAACACGGAATTGTGACATTTCTTTCATCACAGCCCATCTTAACACAACAAGGAGAACGAAGTTGCCACTGATTGTTAACCATCACCTGACATGGTAAATGATGGGAAATGATTAACATAATTCAATGAAGAAATTTCGGGACAATAACGAAAAAGAAACAAAACAAAGAAATTGCCGGAGGCTAGCAGGGATAATAAACTCGAGTCGGTGTCAAGAGGAGCACAATGTGTTCTGTCGGCGAGAGAAGAACAAATTGTGGGGATTGACCTGTTTTCTCTTCTTGGCGTTTGCAATTAGTTGTCCCAGTAGGATGGTGGTAAGAATTTTGAACAATCCGATGAAAAAACATATAGCAAACAAAGATTCAAGAAATGAAAAGTAGGTTAGAAAAATAATGCAAATAAAAACGAAACATAGTTTCTCAAAAAGGTTTGCGGTTCTTAGATTCATGTTTTTCTGAAGAGGGTGAAGTTTGAGGGTGAGACTTGATTTCATTCACAAAGCCCCTTAATTTAGTCTGCTCTGTGGAAAATTGTTTCCAGCTTCGCTTACAACTAGCTGTAGAGAGAGTATTGCTGAAACACGATACTCTCAATGGCTAGTTGTAAAGGTAATTATAAGTTTTGATTTTCTAAAACCTTGGGCCGAATATTTAAACAAAGTTAAGCCGTGCTCTACTCGACATCAAGACAACTCGAGTTCTCCATTCGTGAGTTATCAAGTTGAACGCTCGAAGAAAAATTCCATATCTATTTGCGCTCATGTATCATTCTCTATTTATCACATGCCAGGCGAAATTACTAAATGTTTATTAGCTGCGATAAGGGTATTTGTTCCTAATCACGAGAGCTCTTAGTATAAAAAGGCTATGATTATTGAATTCTGACCATTTAAACGAAGGGTTATTGAGGTCGTAACTTTTTCACAATAACAGATGCCCGTTTTGTTAAACGGAAAGTACGTTTATAGAAATACTTTTGAGCAGTATGCGAAAAGAATAACCTAATAAAAAAAGAATATGAAATTTAAAACATGTCAGAGGTAAACACGTTCTATAAGTTACCTTCGTAGCATTTAAGTTGTGAGAACTTCAAAAGATCCGCGCAAGACTAACCCTTGCCCGCAAATTACATCTGCCAATTACACATGCGAATGGTACAACCATTTAAAGACCTCCTCCAAGCCAGGCGGCTCTATGTTTTGCACAGAATAGCATGCTGGAGAAGGCGAAACACTAACTAAACTTTAAAATTGTCATATTTTGAAGTTTAAAAATTATTAGACAAGTCCACAGCAGTATCTTTGCAGTATAATTGTGCCCCTCAGAAAGAGTTATTTTTTTATTGCTAATCACTAAACATTTCAGCTTCATAAGTGAGCGCAAGTCATTCACATTCTATCATTTCTTATTAATGGAAGTACCGAGTTTATGGAAATAGGAATTTCTTAAAAATCTTAAGACTTTCATACTTTGTAAATGTTTGGTTCACAAGAACACCTGCCATAAACCATAAAACAACACTGCATATTGGTATGTATAAACTAGCGCAGAAACTCTTTAAACTTGCTTACTTGCATGATGAAAAGTGATTATAGAGCTATGGAAAATCAACCGCAAAAATGTCGTAGTAAGTGAAAAAGTTTGCTTGAACGCGAATGAAACAATTTCATGTATTATTTTGCATATAATTAAGTGAGATATTTCACAAATCCTGTCATAAAAGTGTTGAGTTCAAATTTTAATCGCACTTGAATTTTAGTATTGTCCATACCGGGGTAGCGTATCTACCTACCAGTCTAGTAATACTTCTGATACTTCAATCTGAGTGTTTTACCAACCACAAATGCATCTAACACCGCTACTTATCAAAAGAAGAAAAAAACACTTGGAGTTCTTTAGACTCAAATAAAAATTTTGCCATTCTACAACGACCTGGAAGTGTGATCTTGCATGCCTCATACACTTTTAAGACGCCAGAGTCCGAGGTCTTCTGTGTCCCCCATTATGGCTATAAATGTCTTTTAAAAACTTTCTAAGTAAAGAGCAAGATTAAAGAAGCCTTCATCTCAAGAGAACGAATCAAATGAAGGCTTTTAGTTTGTTACTTAAAGATTGTCTTTGTCACACACACAAGCACACCTGATGTTGGGGTAATTAGAGAGTGAGAAAATGAGATTACTATGGAGATGTACAGTGTATACTGGCAAAAGCGGTAGGAACTCTATTTATTTACACATATTCCGCCCAAGTCAACTTCGAAGGCAACTTTAACTGTAGCCTTACACTTAAAATGACCAACGTCCTGAACTTTATGATCGAAAAATGAGACAGAAATAGCGTTTGGCAGTGTAAGATCCCTGCTGATAAGCAAGAACTCACCGACTGTATTCGACTCCTTAAAGTTCAGCTACCAAGCTATTCTTGTCATTTAGAGCATTGTCAGGATCTTTTATGTTGGCCAAGTAATGGGGAGTCATCGAATAAAAATATTTCCATGTGGATTTGGTATATTCTTCAACTCTTTGTCAGAGTATGACCCACAGGGGTCATGCGCTGGAAAATCCTCTCCTGTGCAACCATCAAAGTAATAATAATGATAATTACCACCTTTAAGTTTATAGGCTGGTCCGCATTGATAATTTCGGCCAAAATATGCGGGCGCTTTTCCCCCTAGACAATGTTCAGTGATATTTTTGACAATTATGCAGTTAACGGAACCATATTGCCACTTAGGTAAACTTCCTGTTCCTGAACAAATAATCCAATTGTTGATGTTGCTTTTGATTAATACCTTGTCCCCAATGATTGCCCATTTGGAGAATTCAATTGCATTGAAGTCCGTTTCATTTAAAGGTGGAGTATTAGATGTTGGAACGTTGACGTCATCGGAATTTTGGACGTCCCAAGTTGGTCGGGGTGTGATTGCGTTGGAGGGTGTCGAAAAGCTTTGATAGTTAGTAAAGGTGTAACTCCAAACTAAAGTCCAGCCTCCTCCATCGGTTTCCATCTCGCAGTAGGCTTTGAACGCGTTATCATGGGACCCACCATCAATATCGAGCCAATAAACACCGGTAGGAAGGTTAAATGAAGACAGAGACTTGCAAGAAGAAAAAGGTACTTCTTTAGCTGAGCCAAAAGCTGGAAGTCAAAGCAAGTCATTTTAGCAACTAATGGAAATAAATTTCGAACGTGGCTTGTTTTAAATGTAACCTATAACACCAAGTGTAGTCTCGCCTACGCTTACCTTGACATGTTTTACCATCGCCGCTATATCCATCATTACATGTACACTGAAATGATCCGATGACATTGGAACAGTGGGCGTGGGTAGAGCAGCTGTGATTGGCTGTTGCACATTCGTCCAAATCTAAAAGAAATTTCAGACTTTAAGATGATCAAACATTTGTGATTAAAAAAAAAATATGGAAACTATTCATATAATCAGATTGCGTGCCCGTTTGAAGGGTTCACGTGGCCCTTTTTTCTGCCTATCAGACCATCCTTCTGTCTGTTTCTGTTTCTATATACATTCATTTCTCTGTCTTTCTCGCTGTCAATTGTAGGATCAAACCATCTGTCTGAACATTACTTCGTCAACTGATCGGCTTCTCTTATTGCTTATTGGATTCGGCTAACAGCCTATTATTCGGGTGGGAGAATTAAACTGCATTTCTATTACCTTGACATGCTTTACCATCACCGGTATATCCAGATTTGCAGGCGCACTGAAACGATCCCATAACATTTGAGCAATCGGCGTTAGAAGAACAATCGTGAGTGTTCATCGTGCATTCGTCATTATCTTATGGAGATTGAAAAGAAATCCAATTGAAAATTAAATCAATTAAAGATACAAGAAAAACTGTTACAATCTGAGTTGGCCTCTCTTTTGTTGATTCTTTCACCCCATTCTGTCAGCCTTGTGTCAATTTCACCACTGATTGGTCTGTCTGAATAGGAGAACAGTCGTAAGAGGCGATCGTGCATTCGTCAACGTCTTCCAGTAATAGCAAAAAAAAATTCAGTTTAAGATAAATCGATTAAAGTAAGAAAAAAACACTTAGAATATGATTTCAGCCCTCCTGTCTGTCTGTTTGCCCATCTTTAAATAGGCTACGGTCCATCTGATCGTACAGATGTTTGTTCGTCTTTGCACACATTCATCTGTCTCTCTGTCGGTCTCGCTGCCAATTCCACGATAAGTCAGTCCGTCCATAAATTTTTCAACCCTCCTGTTTGACTAAATGTGTTTGCTCCACTCGGCTATCGCTCCATTTGTAAGCTGCATGAACTAGACTGCTCTTACCTTGACATGTTTTACCATCACCAGTATATCCTGTTCTACACGCGCACTGGAATGATCCCACAGAATTTGAACAATTGGCGTTAGAGGAACAGTCGTGAGAAGCCATCGTGCATTCGTCAACATCTTAAGGAGGGAGAAAAGAAAAGTCAAATTGAGGATAAATAAATAAATAAATAAATTAAAGATATAAAAAAATCTTTTAATCTGATTTGGTAACTTCTTTCAATCCCTTTGTCTGTCTGTTTTTCTTCCTGTCCATCTAACCCACATTCGTCAACATCTTAAATAGATAGTAAAAAATAAATTGAAGGTAAATCAGTTATCGATATAGAAACAACACAAAGAATCTGGTTTTTCTTCCTTTTTGTGGCTTCTTTAACCCTTTTCTGTGCCTTCTTGTCTGTGTGTCTGTTCCTTTTTATGCATACCTATCTTTCCATCCGTCTGTTTACCTCACTGTCATTACCACGATCAATAAAGCTGCCTGAATATTTTTCAACCGGTCTCGCTGTCTCAGTATTCATTTGACTCGGCTATCGGCTGGAAAAAGTAGACTACGGTTACCTTCACATGTTTTACCATCACCAGTGTATCCAGATTCGCACGTGCACTGAAATGATCCCACAGCATTTGAGCAATCGGCATTAGATGAGCAGTAGTGGGTTGCAATCGTGCATTCATCAACATCTTACAGAGATCAGAAAAAATAATGAAATTAAAGGTAAACCAATAACCAATTTGAAAACAACTAAAAGAATCTGATTTGGTGTCCTGTTTTCGGCTTCGTACAGTCCTGCTGTTAGTCTAGCTATCTGTCTGGTCCTCTTGTCACTCTTTCTGTCCTCCATTACCCACATTCTTTTATCTGTCCAACCGAACATATGCTCCGCTATCAATCCACAGTATATTAGTATGCATAAATGTTTGTCTAACAGACTGCTTGTCTCACTCTTTATTTGGCTCGGCTATCGATCCATGTGTACATCACTGCACTAACCTAGACATGTATTTCCATCACCAGAATAGCCAGATTTACACGTGCACTGAAATGGTTCCATAGCATTTGAACAATCGGCGTTAGCAGAACAGTTGTGAGTGTTCATTGCACATTCGTCAACATCTTTAAAAGAAAAACAATTCAATGAGAAAATGTGTTATAGAGGTATTCTTTTTCTGTGCGTCAAGCATAAAGAAGAAAATGAAAAGAGAGAGCAATGAAACTGCGTGTGTATGTGGAACATGCTACCTGATTCACAACTTTCCCCACAGTTAACCTCTGGAAAAATGCATCGGTATCCATGCACTCCAAATCCTGCTTGACATGTCGAGTTACTCTTACAAGGGTTGCTCTGGCAAGCGTTCTATGAGTTGACATAAAATAACGTGATTTTCCCTACATCTACAATAGCACTAAATCATTCTCGAAGACCTGGCTTGAGATCTGACTGGATTTTGGGTGTTAGCGTGACGCTCTTGATGTCCTTTTTCAGCCAAGATATCGATTAATGACGTATTATTGAGTATTGTTAATAAAAGGCCATCGATAAGTTCCGCGTGGGTTATGGGTGGTAATAGGAGGCTGTCAACAATGAAGTCGAAAACTGTCACAATATTTTTTCCTTGCTACCCAGCTCCACAACAAAACTGTGGAGCTTCATCGGTGAGAGAGTATAACAGGGTTACTGCCTACATGTAGGGAAAGGCTGCAAGCTGCCATATGCTGCTTAAAATGATTAGGGAGATTAAAGTATCATGAACCAAAACATTGTCAAAAACACAATTAACAAACTTATAGCTAAACAATAAGTGCCGGTCACTGCAAAAAATCTCACCATCACCACTCACCTTGAACTTCGTGTATTTATTTTTTAAAAACTTACTTACTTAAATTACTCCAAAACGATTCAGAGACTGATATATCTTTTCGCAACCTCTATCTATTTCATTCAAACGTGACAAAAACGTAGGCAACTTTTTTGTCAGAAGTTCATTTCAAACCAATGACCAACCAGGAACTTTATTTCAAATGCGCTCGCTCACGATGCGAAACTTGTCCTCTCATTCATAACGTAGAGAAAATGTCGGGAACCAATCCATCAAGATCATTGATCACTTTACGTGCACCTCAGCCAATGTCATTTACTGCATAACTTGCACTTAAGGCAAAAAGTTATATATTGGTGTAACAGGGAGAAGACAAGGTAACGGATTCTGAGAACACCTTCACGACGTAGAAAGAAATGACTAAGATGCATCCAAACCAGTCGCTAGACACTTCAATCTCCCTAATCATTCTCAGCGGCATATGAAAGTTAACAGCCTTTCCTCATATCTAGGCAGTTCGGTACGCCGCAAAATTCTAGAACAAAAATTTATCTTTCAAATCGGAACTCTTAATCCCCACGGTATGAACGAGCGCTTTTCATTCGACTTACTTATTCGTGTTTTCTCGTCACAATATTCCCACCAATAGCTTAGCCACCGTAAACCCACACATAACCCACAATTCCTCCACTCGCTCTGACGAAGGGCCAACGCTCGAAACGTCAGCTTTTAAACTCTTTACGGTGACCAATTTACGTTATCAACTCAGTTGATAATACCAATTCACCCTGTTAGGTATACTTACATCGGTAATTTGTCTGTAGATAAAGTCATCTTTCATCTGAAGGTCGTCGGAAGGGACTTGCAAGTGGGTCTTGTTGCTTAGTTCACAGACCAATTTTCCATCTCCTGATGGCCCATAATTGTAAGACACGCAATTTGGTTCCTGGTAACACTTCAACTCACAAATGTCTCTGTCAAATACTTGTTCACTTCGGATAACGTGGTTTGCTAGAGCCACATTTTGTTTTTGTTCCTTGAACTGAATTATTCGACATTCATCTAAAAAGACGAAAGTTACTTCAGTGCCTTTAGGTGCGAAGAAGACATTCCTTACAAGGTATTCCAGAGGTAATTCGAGGATTCTGATTGGTTCTTACTTGGTCCGTATTTTGCCGTATGATCCGTTTCCACGGAAACGGTCATTAGCCGTGTATTTTTTGACGCAAAGGCCGCTCGAAAAAGGCGAACGAAAATGTTTGAAGGATTATAAGTTTTTTGAGGGTTGTTTGAGACCACAAGGAAAAGTCAAGCAAATATCAGTTTTTAAGCGAATAAAGTGATACTCGCGAGAAAATTGCCTCAAATTCAAAACTACTATTGCCAAACAAATTATTGCCCCATAAAATATTTATGGTTTCCAAAAATATTAAAATATATACATATATATGTTTGTGTGTGAAAAAAATATGGGTCAGTCAGGGAGGATTTTGCCGTCTTGTAAAATTTTTATAAATCATTCACTGATTCAAGCCACCCGCCATTCAGGACCCAAATTGCAAATTGAGAAACGCCGGACAGATTAGTTTCAAGATTTCGAAAGGAAACTAATGAAAAAAAGCGTAATATAAAGTTTCTATGATATCCAGTCATCATTGTCAATTACTTAAAGAGATAGAAGCCTCACTTGCGCTAATTTCATCCACATTTGAAAATTATCACAGAATGCAATCGAATTGTCACGACACACGTTTTTCCTTTAGAAACAAGAGACTGGCGAAGAGTTGAACATTTTCTTCGAGCAAAACTTGATTTTCTTGGTTTTTGTTGTCATTCTAAATTCTTAATTCTAACTTGCGGGAAGATATGATATGCTGCAACAATAAACACGACGTTGAAATTCACAAGTGATTATAGAAACGTGATCTTGTTTAGCAGGATACGGTAAACTCTATCTTCGTCGATTTTTAATTAAAAAAAATAGCTGTGTGTAAACGAGGGTCTTGTCACAGTCATAAAGAGGCTGTTAATGCAAACAGCATATAAACAAAAGAGATGAAAATCGTCTATATTCTGTTTCCACAGCTCGATTTTTGTTTTCGTTTGGAACAAAAATAAAGCAGTCAAAAGAATAACTCATAAATTTCATCGAGAGATAAAACTCATTTAGTCTCTACAGTGAAAATTTGATCAAAAGGAAACCAGTAGGGAATAAAAACGTTCCAGTTTACATAAGGAAAAGAAACACAAAGCTCTTGGGCTAATGAACTTTTCTTAGCTAATAGCCGTTTTACTTGCCCTGTTTTTTTCAGTTCTAGGTGAGTGTATTTTATGCTTTTAACGTAATAATTTTTTTTTCAAAACGGCTAAGTCATAAATAATTTTTCGGAACCACTTACCTCCATTTACAAAGCAAGGGAAAGTGACCGACGCAGCCCAAATGAAGATGGTTGCCAAACGAGGAATTGTACTATGGCTTTCATTACAGCCCATTTTCACACTGCAAGGGAAAAGAACTTGTTGTCCTAAGTGCATTCACCTCAGGATGTGATTACGGACAGTCCTGTTATTGATCATCTGCGGGTTAGACGATTGATTACACTACAATGACAGAAACGGGACTTGTTGTTGACTAATGTCCTACAACTGACGTATCAGCCAACTAAGAATATGATTGATAATAGTCTTGTTATTAGCCATCTCCGTGGGAAATGATTATGACCACCAAATGATGGAGTTCTACAATATTCTAGAAGAAATTGCATGGAAAATAATGTATTGAAAGTGGTAAGAATAGAGGAGCATGTTTTCTTAGCCAACTTTATCAATATCACCAATCTTCTTTGTAGTTAAATTTTTCAGTGTTCGAGGAGAGAATAATAAAAAGTCGAGTGTAAAACAAATGGAAGACAAAAAAATAAAGGGAAAATAGAGAAATATGAAAGGATATCAGAAGTATGGGCATGATGCTTCATGTTTGAAGACCATAATAACAACAAAAAAAGAAAACAACAAAACAAAAAAAAACACAACAAAACAAAAAAAGGAAAAAAAAACATATAGCAGATGCCATCAGTTTTTATAATTGAAAATTCTGCCGTCTAACTTTGTTGATTAAGAAGAAAAAGAAAATCAGCGAAAGCTTTTAAATAAACGTTGGAAATCGACACTATTGAGGGAAAAAGTATCTAAAAAGGAGCTTTTTTCCTCGACATATTTTGCTCCATTATTAAAACTTTTTAGCTTTTTCAAAGGATTGTGTTTGCAAATGTCTTAGAGTGCTGTCGGAATAATTTAAACATGCAAAATTGTAATTAGATTTGTTTCAATTTCCTTTGGTACCATATTTTTTGTTGTTGTTTTAAATTCGTGAGTCAGCTAATATCAGTGAGCTACGAATAAATAAACCGTTAACATTTCCTTGTCTTTTTTGCACAGTCTCATCATACTCCTGTAGCAAATGACGAAGATAAACTGAATGTATAATTTACCATCTTGATCGTTGAGAGTTTGCAAACGGTGACATGAAAACAAACAAAAAAAAAACAAAGAATCACAACAAACAAAAGGTGATGTAAACTATATACAAATGAATAATTTATCTTTTAATTACTTCAGATTCTCGTGACATTACCCGTGTTTTCGAAATTGAACTACTGCGAAAGGTAAAAACAAGAAACAATATCGTCTTAATATATTTCAGCTTTGAATAACTAACTCTTATTTGCAAAGCTTTGAGAGGTAGCCCCTGACAAAGATTAAGAAAAAAATCGCTACAACGTCAAACAGTGCGCTTTGCAGATTACTAATATCACCTATCAATATCCATCTCGGGACATACTCCGAAATAGCAATTATGTAAAAAGTCACCAGCAAGGCTTGTTTTTCTTGAAGATGGAGATCCTGTGTTATCTAATTAATGTCCAAAAGTATATTAGTCACACCGTGACACGATCAATTACAGTTGAGAATCACCAGTTTGTGCTTGAAAACATAAGAAAACAAATACCGTTTTCCATGTGATTTCTCTTAACATTTTTCACTGAGAACAATTTTTTAGGCTCATTGAGTAACACAGTCTTAAATCTGAATCCGCTTTGTTACTTTGTTTTGCAATGACATGACCCATTTATGTCTTGGGCAGAAAAAAGAAAACCACATTTCTATTAGAAATAGAAACATGGGACAAATTTATCAAAATAACGAATAGTTCTTGGCGGATTTAATTTCAATATTCCGAGTCAGACAAAACTAGCTAACTGTTAACATAAGTGATGTTAAAACGAACAACTTTTTTACTGAATCAGTGGGGATTCTTTGAAGATGTTGTTACTGGCTTTGCCTCAGGTAACTACAAGGTTTGATTTTCTAAAAACATTAAAGGTCGGCTATTTAAACAAAGTTTAGCCGTGCTCAGCGAGACATCTCGACAATTCAACATCTCACTCGTTCGCTGCGCTCATTCGTGAGCTATCGAGTTGAACGCTCGAGAAGAGATTTCATAACTACGCGCGCCCTTGTTTTATTCTCTATAACATGCCAAGCGAAATTACTAAACGAAAGGTTATTGAGGTCGTAATTTTTTTTTACAATAATAGATCTTTGTTAAACGGAAAGAAATTTATTGAAATACTTTTGAACAGTATGCGAAAAGAATAACCTAATAAAAAAAGAATATGAAATTTAAAACATGCCAGAGGTAAGCACGTTCTATAAATTGCCTCCGTAGCATTTGCTTAAGACATCTTCGAAAGATGCGTTCAAGGCTAATGCTTAATTTCCCGCAAATCACCCATGCCATTTATACATGTGAATGGTACAACCATTTAAAGACCTCATCTAAGCTTCTTCCAAGAAGGCTGTATTTTTTGCGTAATGCTGGAGAAGGCAGAACACCAGCTAAATTTTAAAACTGTCATTTCTTTTAGTGTAAAAATTATTAGACAAATCCACAACAGTATCTTTGCATTGTAAGTGTGCCCCTCTGACAGAGTTCTAATTTTATTGCTAATCACTAAACATTTCAGCATTACATTATATCAGTTCTTATTAATGGAAGTACCGAGTTGATAGAAGTGGCAATTTCTTAAAATCTTAAGACTTTGATACTTCGTAGATGTTTGGTTCACAAGAACACCTGCTACAAACAACAAAACAACGCTGCACATTCTTATGTACAAACTTGCGCAGAAACTCTTTAAACTGGCATACTTGCATGATGAAAAATGACTATAGAACTACGGAAAATCAAACACAAAAAAACCCTAGCAAGTGGCAATAGTTTGCGCGAACGCGAATGAAACAATCTCATGGGCTATTTTGCACATAATTAAGTGAAATATTTCACCAATCCTGTCATAAAAGTGTTGAGTTCAAATTTTAAACGTACTGAACTTTTAGAGTTGTCCGTACTGGGGTAACGCATCTCCCTACCAGTCCAGTAATACTTTTGATCTTTCAATCTGAGTGCTTTACCAACAAAAATGCGTCTAACACCACTACTGATTAAAAAGAATAAGAAAACACCTGGAGTTCTTTGGACTCAAATACAAAATTTTGCCATTCTATAATGGTCTGATTGTGTGATCTTGCATATCACACGCAATTTTAAGACACCAGAGTCTGAGCTCTTCTCTGTGTTCCCAATTGTGGGTATAAGTGTTTTTTTTTTTGTATACGTAAAGAGCAAGATCGAAGAAGCCTTCATCTCAAGAGAACGTATCAAATAAAGGCTTTGAGTTCCTTACTAAAGGATTGTCTTTGCCAAACACCCATACACACCCACACCCATACGTACATGATGTCGGGTAATAAAAAGTGAGAAAATGACATGCTATAGACATGTACAGTGATAACCCGCAAAAGCGGTGGGAAATATTTTCATTTACACATGTTCGATGTGTTCCGCCCAAGTCAACTTCGATGCCAGTACCTATGTATTTAGGAACACCAACGCCCTGAACTTCATAATAAAAAAATGAGACAGATATAGCCATGGTGTCAGTGTAAGATTCTTGCTGATAGGCAAGGGCTTACCCACTGTATTTGACGCTTTAAAGTTCAGTTACCAAGTTATTCTTGTCATTTAGAGTCTTATCGTGATCTTTCATGTTGGCCAGGTAGTGGGGAGTCATCGAATAAAAATATTTCCATGTGGATTTTGTAAATTCTTCAACTCTTTGTCAGAGTATGACCCACAGGGGTCATGCGCTGGAAAATCCTCTCCTGTGCAACCATCAAAGTAATAATAATGATAATCACCACCTTTAAGTTTATAGGCTGGTCCACAATGGTAATTTCGGCCAAAATATGCGGGTGCTTTTCCCAGTAGACAATTGTCAGTGATGTGTTTGGCAATTATACAGTTAGCGGAACCATATTGCCACTGAGGTAAACTTCCTGTTCCTGAACAAATAATCCAGTTGTTGATGTTGCTTTTGATTAATACCTTGTCCCCAATGATTGCCCATTTGGAGAATTCAATTGCATTGAAGTCCGTTTCATTTAAAGGTGGAGTATAAGATGTTGGAACATCGACTTTATCGGGATTTTTGACGTCCTAAGTTGGTCGGGGTGTGATTTCGTTGGAGGGTGTTGAAAAGCAACATCATCTCGCAGTAAGCTTTGAACGCGTTATCATGGGACCCACCATCAATATCGAGCCAATAAACACCGGTAGGAAGGGTAAATGAAGACAGAGACTTGCAAGAAGAAAAAGGTACTTCTTTAGCTGAGCAAAAAGCTGGAAGTTAAAGCAAGAAATTTTAGCAATTAATGAATATCAATTTCGAATATGGCTTGTTTTAACTACAACACCAAGTGTAGTCTGGCCTGCGCGTACCTTGACATGTTTTACCATCTCCGCTATATCCATAATTACATGTGCACTGAAATGATCCAATGACATTGGAACAGTGGGCGTGGGTGGAGCAGCTGTGATTAGCTGTTGCACATTCGTCCAAATGTAAAAGAAATGATTAAACATTCATTCATATCATCAGATTGTTTGCCCGTTTGAAGGGTTCTCGCGGCCCTTTTTTCGCCTACTAGACCATTCTTCTGTCAGTTTCTCTTTTGTTAATTTTAAATTACATTCGCTTCTTCTCTTTCTCACTGTCATGCCATCTGTCTGAACATTACTTCATCAACTGATCGGCTTGTCTTATTGCATATTGGATTTGGCTAACGGCCCATGACTGGGGTGGAAGAATTAAACTGTATTTCTATTACCTTGACATGCTTTACCATCACCAGTATATCCAGATTTGCAGGCGCACTGAAACGATCCCATAACATTTGAACAATCGGCGTTAGAAGAACAATCGTGAGTGTTCATCGTGCATTCGTCATTATCTTGTGGAGATTGAAAAAAAAACATCCAATTGAAAATTAAGTCAATTAAAGATACAAGAAAAACTTTTACAATCTGATTTGGCTTCTCTTTTGTGGATTCTTTCAGCCCATTCTGTCAGCCTTGTGTCAATTTCATCATAAATTAGTCAGTCTGAATATTTTTCAACCGGTCTGCTTATGTTACTGTTAGTTTGACATTTTTACCATTACCAGTATATCCTGGTCTGCACTGAAATGACCCCACGTCATTCGAACAATCGGGGATCGAAAAAGTAATTCAGTTTAAAGTAAATCAATCAAAGTAAGTAAACAACACTTAGAATATGATTTCTGCTCTTTCGGTGGCTAACTTCAGCCCTCCTGACTGTCTTTCTGCCCATCTGTCTGTCTCGTTGTTAATAGGACCATCAATCAGTTTGATCCGATATTTTTCAACTGGTGTACTTGTGATATCTTTGAATAGGCTACGGTCCACTTGGTCGTCCAGACGTTTGTTCGTTTTTGCACACGTTCATCTGTCTCTCTGCCAATTCCACGATAAGTCAGTCCGTCCATCTATTTTTCAACCGTTCTGTTTTTTGACTCACTGTGTTTGCTCCACTCGGCTATCGCTCCATTTGTAAGCTGCATGAACTAGACTGCACTTACCTTGACATGTTTTGCCATCACCAGTATATCCTGTTCTACACGCGCACTGGAATGATCCCACAGAATTTGAACAATCAGCGTCAGGAGAATAGTCGTGAGAAGCCATAATGCATTCGTCAACATCTTGCAAAAATCGAAAAAATTCAATTGAAGATAAATCAAAAACAGATATGAAAATAAATCTCAAAATGAGACGTTATGTTCCTTTGAGTCCTATTTTCTTCCTGTCTCCCTGTCTGGCTTTTATTCTTCCAGTTCCTATTAACATACATATATCTGTGGATCTGTCTGTCTCTCTCGTTGTCTCTTCCAAGGTCATGATTAATCGGTTTGTTTCAACATTTTTCAAAATGTGTGCTAATGGCATTGTGCATTTGACTTGGGTATCAGTCCATTTGCCTGAGCGGAAGAACCAGTTTGCACTTACCTTGACATGCTCTACCATCCCCAGTATATCCAGATTGACAATTGCAATGGAATTATCCCACAGAATTTGAACAATTGGCGTTAGAAGAACAGTCGTGGGAAGCCATCGTGGACTCGTCAACATCTTATGGAAAGAGAAAATAATAGTTAAATTTAGGATATCATTGTCAATTAGTTTAAAAAAAACTCTTGTTTCCAAAACTCTTATTCCCCCCCCTCCCAAATGGATGAATTTAATTTCAAACCGGCTCAGTACTACATCAATAAAAATAATTGAACTGACCAAAATTCCTGCATTTGGGTGATTTCGGAATGGATGTAATAAAATGGTTATTGAACCCCGTGTCGTGCAATTTTGGTCTGAAATCATACTTGTGATTACAAATGGAAGTCGCGCTGCGCGCTTGTTCGATTTTGAAATCACTCATATAACTCTTAGGCATCTTTTGTGCTCTCCAAACTTCCCGCGTGCTTTATATCTCGATGAATGCACGCTGACGTATGAACCAATTGTTAATTATTTAGCACTATCGAGTATTAGTAGTATCAGTTTTCTTTCTTTTTTTCTTTTACTATCACGATTTTGATTGTTTAGATATCAGCATCTAATTAATTTTATGAATGGTCTTACGAACTAAACCTCTAACTCTTGATGTAATATTAATGCCTCTGAGAAACCATAAAGATAGAGTATTAAATCTAATTTAAATTCGCCCCAAGATATACCTTGATAACAAGTTGCTCCTCCTTCCAATCCTTTAGGGCAAATACTTCGATATCCTTTATTAGTAAACCCAGCTTGACATAATGTGTTGCTTGGACACGGGCTGCTTTCACAGGGATTCTATGAAGGTAATCAAAGGCTTAGTAAAACATTGAAAAGAGGCTAATTTATTTAATCATAATACATAAAGTTAAGGTTTTCACTTCAAAAGATGGTTCGTGATTATTGCACAGTTTTTATCATCAACAACCGGTGCGCATGCTCTGTCATTAAAGAGATATACATGTAGGTTGAGGAAGGTATTTGAAGGTACTTGTAGAAACATTAAAAAAAAAAAACTAATTCAAACTCAAAAAAAAAAAAATTAAAAAATAATGGAATGTATAGAAATTGTTGAAATGGCTTTAACACTTGAAATATTAAAAATCAATTAAATGCGAACCACCAATTATGACTTCTTGCCTTTAAGGCTGGTATACCGCTAAGATTCCTTTGACTTTTGGTTTTGGACTCCCGATCCCAAAGTTCTATAATTGTGATTAGTTTTTGTTTCTTACCAAAATGTGTTGGTAGATGTACTCTTCCTTTTGTATAAAGTCGCTGCTGGAGACTTGTAGGTGGGTGCGATTGCTGAGCTCACATGTTGGTACATCATTGTATAATGGACCATAGTTGTAGGACACACAGTTGGGTTCAAGGAAGCACTGCGTCATACACTGTGACTTTCTTCGAACACTGATGTTTCTTATCATATTATTTTTAAGAATCTTGTGCTTTGCTTCAGGCTCAAATTGAATGATTCAGCAATCGTTGGAGAGAGCTATTTAAGAATATAACATAACCGGTCGCTGAGTTGAGCTACATGAGGTGCAATCACAACTAAATCATTTCCACCATTAAAAGATTAGATTGGAAAATTTGCCTCAATTTATTTCGCAAAGTCGGTGATAAGTTCCTTCGATTTAAAAGATATGTTAGGAGATGAATCAAACAGAACGTTTCTCCTTCTGTAGGCCTAAATGACTGCTGATGACTTTGACGGCCGCATCTGTTTAGCACTAAAACTATTTTTCCGTTACATTTCTATCTTATAGCTAACTTCAAACACCTTTTTGAAGGTTATTCTGAGAAAAAAAGAAAATCCGAGCCAGCCTTTACCTCACTTTGATCGAAAAGTTTTCGACTGCTTCCTTAAGAGTTTTCATTTTACTGGTCACAAACTAACAATTTTGATTGATCTCAAGATGCACTATTGTTAACCTATCAAGGAGACTCCTAAAATCCCACGAGGAGAAATATGGAAAATGACAAATATGGAATTAAAATTCTTACATGCATAAACTGAAGACTCCAAGAGATAGAAAACGAGATATATCACCCTTGCCATGCCCTCAATAGAACACTTCTGGTTGCAAAATGCGGATGGATCTTAGTTTTGCACAGAACCCTGTAAATGCAAAGGCTTTCTTTCCTATCGTTTCTACGTGCACATTCCACTTCAAATCATTCGATATCATAACACCTAGTAATTAAGCGGATGGAACAACCTCGATGTTCGTATTGTTGATAGTAACAGGCTCTAGAGTATTCTCTGACTTTATGAATGATATTCTAAGTTCCTTGCACTTCGATTCATTCAACTGGAAACCATCAGCACGAGACTTGGTAACAAATTTATCAACGCGCGACTGCATCGAGCTGGTTTCGTTCTTTTCCACACACTCAGCGAGGGTAGTATCATTTGCATACTTTAAGATGTTCGTATTCGCCACACTCAGGTCATTAATCATTATTAGAAATAACCAGGGGCAGAGTTTAGTCGATAAGGCACTTTGCCGCCTTTGTAACAAGTTCTTCAATGATGATGCTATCCAAGGTGGTTCGGTTGAATGTACTTTGCGCGTACGCATAGGCATAACATGGTCAAGACCAGTCTTAATGATTTGTTCCAAAAGCGAGGTTTTGTCTTCACCACTGTCCGCGGAATTGAGCATAGTATCCAAATCCACTGATTCTAGATAAGTGCGCATTGCTAGGCGCTTGCTGGGACGCATATTCCTCGACTGAATAGTGGTTGTAGAGCTATTGGACTTTATCCTCACCTTCGGTTGAACTTCTATAGACATGTGATCCGAAAGGCCAAGTGGAGGGCGTTGGGTTGGGGTTTCGTAGTGGTCTTGAAGGTTGGTGAGAACTAAGTCGAGCGTTCTTTCTCCTCGTGTCGGAAAATTTACTATTTGCTTTAAATTGTAGTTGTTTCTAAGCCGTGTGGTTTGTAGCCTGTTAAAGTCTCCCACCAAACAAAGGCCACAGTTGGAATACCGTGTTTCAATAGATGACAAACACCTCTCTAAATACTCTAAAAAGGCAGAGTCATTAGCGCTTGGCGGGTGCTAGAACACTCCAAGAAGAATAGGGCTGTATCCCCATGGGGGACGAGTAGGACTACTTTGAACCACAAACGCCTCGAAAGAAGGGTCTTCTAAATCGTCTACAACTGTAAACTTTATCTTGATATACACGCACACACCGCCATGTTCTGACTCTATTCTGTCCCTGCGGATGATATTGTAGCTTTCCTGCGCAACCACATTGTCATGAATGTGGCTTTTAAGCCACGACTCCGTAATACAAACAAGATCTAAATTAGCATACTTAACAACATGGCACAGTTCATCCGCTTTGGAAGCCAAGGACATGACATTCGAGACAAATAAAGATGGTACATAAGCCTTCGGTGAAACCTTCCTTTTCGCATCTGTAGGGGCTGGAGTAATTTGTATACAGTTCGCAGGGTTGTAGCAGCGTAACGGAGCTGAAAACCAAGGACGGCCGCTTACTTTCCGTGTTGAAACAATAGCAATCTGTTTGATGGTGACTCTTTCTCTCTCTCTTACGAGGCGACCCGCACGTTTCTCACGGTAAGAAGGCCATAGGTTGTTTAGAAAGAATTTACGAAAGCTTGTAAGGCGGTTGTAGGCCATTAGCACGAGTATTAAAGGGGAGTTTCACGGAGCTAAAAAATATGCAGCCACGCAAGGCGCCATACGATAGCAACCAACATGGAATAGTTCTCACTTACAATTGGTTAATGAGATCAAATTATAAGAACCCTCTATGATAACACCTGGAAAAATCGAATACGTTTTGGAGAAACGAAAAGCTTATTATCGCTGTTTCAGTATGGCATGAGAGCAAAGTTCTTGAAAAGTGATCCGCAAGTGACCACCTACTTTAGCAAGACAAACAACGAGAACGTTTCCCACAACAATGAGATAAATTACATTTCCCAGAATTGAGATGAAATTTAATTGTTTATGCATCAGACACTCAGTTGGAAAGCACTATACATACCTAACTATGTGATAGTGTTTTAAAACTCTTATTATAGATAAAATAATTCAATGTTTAGTACATATCATACCGATGAAATCAATCGATGAAATGGACTCAGTCACATAATGATCCTAGAACGTCAGCTCAAACAGAAACAGAGATATATACAGACAGAAAAAATAACAATTTTTCAGCAAAGTTTAAAGGGTGAAAAAGGAATAACAGACACGAGGAACCTTGTAGTACGTTTCACCTTTGCTCCTTCATCAAACAATGTGTAAGATCTTAGCGTGCGTAATGTTGTCAGTTGTTGATTAGGGTGTCTCTAAAGTGTTAGCTAATAATTAATAACTGATGTTAGCTCCCTTATAAGTAACAATAAAGAAAGAAAGAACAAATTGGACGAACAATTACGAATAAATAGCTGAGTAAACTATTACAAGCGAGAGATAAATGCAGAAAATATGCAGAAAATAGAAGGAAAACGATCCCCATATTTTACTTTTCACAGATGTACCCTCTACGGTCTTCACACTCATTATCGTGCCACTCTGCATCGTAATTCCTTAGCAGAAATGATCCCATTCTTATTCCACCACAATTCTTCAAAGTTTTGCCGCTTGGCTGGGATTCGTGCCATTTTTGAAATCCCGCGAGAATGCTTCCATCAGACCACTTCCAGATCCCTTCAGTTTCTTCATCTGTCAATCCAATCCAGTAACTTGCGCCATCAGCCAAAAATGTCGTTTTGATAAAGTTGTTTTCTTCAGAGGAATCAATCTTCACCAACTGAGCACCATTTTTTGAGGAACATTCCAATTTTGCGCTGTGCCAGGACTTTTTGCCTACGGGAAGGTGAATTCCAACCTGCAGGACACGCTTGAAAAAGAAAAAGAAATAAATGAATTAATGTAATCAAAATCGATATCCTAAGCGTGCTCTTATGTTTTGTATCAATATCACTGTGTACAAATATTTGCAAGTCCTTATCCTAAGAGACGGGTCCCTCAGAAAAAGATCTCGGCAATAGACAACCTTCAAAACAGAGAGAAAAAACTAAAAGTAAAAAGAAGGGAACGCTTTGAATTGACTCGTACTTGACTCGAGACAGTTTTAGACATCATTTAGTGCATGCTTCATATTCAAGTGGCTCTTATTTGCTTTTTTTTTTCAGAGGACATTTTAAATAAATTTCAAATTAGTAGCGTTTAAGAATTCCCTAATGGAGTTAGATTAGGCAATTTTTCAGACGAGGAGGACCAGGACAACGGTGACGAGGGCGAAAGCAGCAGTGGCAGCGCCGACGAGGACGAGAAAAACAAAGCGGACACAGTTGGAAATCATTCGACATTATATTAAGAGAGTGACCCAATTGGATCATTATGGGACTTTTATAATCGATGAAAAAGCAAACCACGACTACGAAAATGTGGAATATAAAATTAAAAACAATGATTACACATCGGACGCAGTTTGAAATATTTAGGGTTTTGTAATCAAGTTGTAAACATTACCAGGTGGAGTTGGACCAAGCATTATCTCAGTTGACGAAGACAGCGGCGACGACAACAACAGCGGAAACGGAGACAATGGTAATGATGATGATAATGACACCAACGGCGGCGAAGGCGAAAGTGACGACGGCCGAGGTGAATACTTGTATGATGGCGATGCTGATGATGACGACATCAACGGGGATAGCGACAACGCTGAGGTTGGTAACAATGTTGACGAAGAAGACAATGCTAACCTCAGTGACAACACAGCGGATGCTTGTTGAAATCATGAACAAATTTTATTCATGTCAAGTCATCTTTATTCTAGCTCTGAATAATTATGGGACCTGTATAGCATATCATCCCACAGGCATCGAAAGGTCGGAGAGAAACGTCTTACATAAGAGATAATTGAAAATCAGCTTTTAAACATAGTTTAGTATATGAACGAAAAAATGTTCCATTATTAGTTGATGTTGCTTGTTTGTTTGTCATTTGTTTTCGATTGGTTTGAGTTTGTCTATATAGGAATTTTCGCATTCTTTTGTAACCTTTTCCGCCAAATTATGATAGGCTGTTGGTTTTCCTTTCAGAAAAGAAAACAAGAGCCTTGTCTTCATATTCTTGACGCAATTTTCATTGTTCAGTTATCAGTATCCAATAATTTAATTTTCTGACAATGGTCTTACAAACGAAAACAACTACATCATGCAAATAACTGTCAGAAACGTAAGCCTCGTTACACTTCTCCCTAAGATATACCTTGATCAACATTTGTTCCTCCTTCAACGCTAATACATCGATATCCTTTATCAGTGAACCCAGCTTGACATAATGTGTTGCTCGAACATGGGTTGCCTTCACAAGAATTCTAAAAAGAATAAAATAAAAACACATTTATAGAGTTCAGTCTATTGATTCGTTGTACCTGGGAGTTGACGTTTGTGTAATAACGAATTCAATAAAAGGATGATTCGGGTTTAACCGGGATTTAACCACAAAACACGAGCCACCCAACTGAAAATAGAGTGTACTTTTAAGCAGTAAACAAGTTCTAAGCCATAGATTGCGCTCTCTGTTGGTTTGCTGGCGCAATGGCCGAAAGTGCTGTATACCCTTTTAGAATAAATTTTAATCTTTTATGTATACACCGGTGCAATAAACGATGGGTTTTTTAGAGCAATAAGGGTGCTCGTAGTATCCTAGTTATTTTATAAAGAAAGATGAAAATGAAATGTTAGGAAGGTATCTGTACAACGAAACATTCAGCAATACTAATTCAACCTTCAGAACAAAAAAATTATTAAATATGTGTAAATCATTCTGTTGATTTTGATATCTACAGTAAACCTGAATTTAACATGCAAACAAACTTTGTTAATAAATATTTTTAAAAGAAAATTGTCGCCATTCCATCGATCAATTAGATGCAAACCACTAATCGCATTTTCTCGAGATCAACTTTGATTGACCGCTGAGTTTACTTTGTATTAAGCTTCAGACACACGACCCCAAAGTATTTTTATAATTAGTTTTGGTTTCTTACCAAGATGCGTTGGTAGATGTACCCTTCCTTTTGTATAAAATCACTGCTGGAGACTTGCAAGTGGGTGCGATTGCTGAGCTCACATGTTGGTGTATCACTGTGTATTGGACCATAGTTGTAGTTCGCTTTCTTGATATTCGTTCGGCGTTTTTTCAACATTAATATTATCCCAAGATTTACCTTGAACACAATCAGCTCCTTGGTCCAACCCTTCATGGCAAATACATCGATACCCTTTATCAGCGAACACAGCTTGACATATTGTGTTGCTTGGACAGGGGCTGCTTTCACAGGAATTCTAAAAAAAAGTATTCGAAGGCTTAGGAAAATGTATGTAAGAATTCATTTTACCTTAAGTGGGAATCAGCGTTTATGTTCTCACAAAGTGAGTGAAGAATGATTCGATTTAAACCAGGATTTTATCAAAAACATTTAACCACACCATTGAAGATATCGTATCGATTTAGTTAATCATTTATTCGAAATACCTCACGCACCAGCACCTGAATAATTCCACAAGCCATCGATATAACGGGGTTCCGTGCGAAGGTAAGCTCTGTTTGCATTTTGCCGTCTGAAGTTTTCTGTTGAAAACATGGCAAAGGCGATATATCTCGTTTTCTTTCTCTTGGAGCCTTCGGTTTATGAGGGTAAGAATACTTATTTGATTTTCACTTCTGCATTTTTTTCGCCTCATAACTTGAACCGATGAGGCTCTTAAGCACAAATAATACTATGAGTAGAAATCAATTAAATAATCAATTACATTTAGGTAACCGATGAAATCGAAATCTACCCAACAAAGCCGATATTTTTTTAATTTTTTTTTTATCAGGGCTAATCAGAGGTTGTAATCCCTACTGTTCCTTGTTTTTATCAAAGTAACGTTTCAAAAAGGTGGTTGAGGCTGAGTACAGAAATTTCAAGAAAGAATGTTTTAGGATTAGACCGGTAATCACGGGCTGCAGCGGCCACGTAACCCTGTTCTGAACCTTATCATGATAAATGGAAGACGTTTTTATTCGCCCCTCCAAATGAATTTAATTTTGAAAGAACTTATCAATCTGACTTCCATAAAGATCTGAGGTTACTTGTTCTGAAAAGCCTTCCCTCTATTTTGAACAGCTAAAACTTGTTCCAAAGTCAACGCCACGTCATAAATTTACACTCGTGAAACTCTCCCTTTGAATCGTCTACCATCATCATCCTTCACACCGATTCTAACGTCATAGTTAGTGGCCAGTGACTGATCGATCTCTATACCATCGACCCACATTCGAGTAATCCCAGTATTGTAGTCATAGGAAGTGGCTACATATGCCCACTGCCTAATCATTAGTGGGGCGGGACTCTGTGTGTTAGCATTGGCCCGCCCCGTTTAACCATATGGGAGTAAAACTTTCCTCCGTTAGCTAGCCATATGTGAACTTTCCAATCCCCCGAGGGTCGGTAGTTGAAAAGAGGCCCATCCTGCCCTTGTAGATACACCCACATCAGCACCGTCAGGAAATACTGGACATCCAAACCACCGAGATTGGGAAGTGTGATAAAGCTGTTCTGAGTACCCAGGAACTTGTAAGAGCCCTCATATTCCCCATCCAGTCCATCTGCAAGCTGCACATTGGAAGGAATACCATCCGGTTGATTGCCCATCATGTCTTTTGTACCATAGGCAGAATTTAAAGGGTATAAGGCAACTGGTTCCCCTACAGCTGAAATAAAGGAAAAATTTGACGACCATAAGTCATTCTTATGACTTGAAAAATAATTGGATCATTGTGAGACCTTTATAATCGATAAAAAAGCAAATCACGACTACACAAAGTGAAAACGAGGAATACAAAATTAAAAACAATGATAACACAGCGGACGCAATTTGAAATATTTAGGGTTTTGTAATTAAATTGCAAACCTTACCAAGTGGAGTTGGACCAAGCATTATCTCTGTCGACGACTCTCTATCTCCGTTCAATGGCGGCGAAGGCGAAGGCGACATTGACGGCAGAGGTGAATAAGCGGATGATGGCGACGCTGATGATGACGACATCAACGGGGACGACGGAGATAGCGATAACGCTGAAGTTGGCGATGATGTTGAAGACGAAGACAATGCTGACCACGGTGACAACACAACGGACGCTGTTTGAGATCATGAACAAATTTTATTCATGTCAAGTTATCTTTGTTTTAGCTTTGAATAAGTATGGGACCTTTATAACCTATCACCATTGCGAGATTAAAATGCAGTTTTCCGTAGCTGTTTTCTTTCCATTAACCTGAATGATATTACAACGAATTGAAAAGCCCCGGGCTCAGTCTCTCAACTAGAATTGTTACAATTTGTGTGCATGTCAGTTGAATTGTTATTTGTTTCCAAGCATCCCACAGGGGTCGAAAGGTCGGAGAGAAACTTCTTACATAGGAAGTAAATAGAAAATTAGCTTTCAAACATACTTTACTATACGAACGAAAAAATGTTCCTTTGTTGATTTTGTTTGTTTGCGTTTCTTTTGTTTCGATTAGTTTGAGTTTGTCTATGTAAGAATTTTTCGCATCATTTTGTAATCTTTGCCGCCAAATTATTATAGGCTGTTGGTTTTCCTTCAAGGAAAGAAAACATGAGTCTTGTTTTCATTTTCTTCCCGCAATTTTTACTGTTCGTTTATCAGTATCCAACAATGGCCTGACCAACAGAAAGGCTACCTCTTGCAAGTAACTGTCAGAAACGTAAGCCTTATTGCACTTCTCCCTAAGATATACCTTGATCAACATCAGTTCCACCTTCAACGTTAATACATCGATATCCTTTATCACTGAACCCAGCTTGACATAATGTATTGCTCGGACATGGGTTGCTTTCACAAGAATTCTAAAACCGATAAAGACAGAAACACGTTTATAGAGTTCAGTCTATATGAATTCAGGTCGACGCTTGTGAAATCACGAATTTAATGAAAGGATGATTCGGGTTTAACCAGGATTTAATCTCAAACAACAAGCCACCCAACTGAAAATATTGTGTGCTTTTAAGCAGTACACATGTTCTAAGCCATAGATTGCGCTTTCCATCGGTTTGCCCGGGCAATGGCCGAAAGTGCAGTATATTCCTTTTTTTGAAATAAGCTTTAATCTTCTATGGGCACACCGCTGCAATAAGGGCGCTGGTAATATCTTAATTATTGTATAAAGAAAGATGAAAATGAAATGTTGAGAAGGTATTTGTACAACGGAACATTCAGGAATACTAATTCAACTTTTAGAACGAAAAATGATTGAATTATTAAATATATGTAAGTCATTCAGATGATTTTGATAACTACAGCAAACCTGAATATAACATGCAAGCAAATTTTGTTTCAAAAAGTTATATTTTAAAGTCAGATTTTTCAAGAAAACTGTCCCCATTACATCGACCAATTAGATGCAAACCACCAATCGCATTTTCTCGAGATCAGTTAGTTTCAGAAACACGATCCCAAAGTACAATTATTTTTAATTTTTGTTTCTTACCAAGATGTGTCGGTAGATGTACTCTACCTTTTGTATAAAATCGCTGCCAGAGACTTGCAGGTGGGTGCGATTGCTGAGCTCACAGTTGGTGTATCACTGTGTAGTGGATCATAGTTGTAAGACACACAGTTGGGTTCAAGGAAGCACTGCGTCATTCACTGTGGCTTTCGTTGAACACTAATATTTCTCACCATATGGTTTGTAAGTATCTTATCGTTGGTTTCGGGCTCGAATCGAATGATTCGGCAATCGTTGGAGAGAGCTATAAAAGAATACATCGCCAAGGACTGTTTATTGACTACTACATTGTATAACTTTTATATCGATAGAACGCACTAATTTGAACCACATGAGGTGAAATCAATAATAAGTTTAATCCATCGTTAAAAATTGATTGAGATTGAGAAATCATACAGATTTTGTAAGCCAACATATTTGAGGAGATTTGAAAAAAATTTAAACTACTCGTAATTTACGCTCCCCATTTTCCTTTTTTTGTAGTGGAGTTAAAATAGAAATAAAATACATGAGGGTTTAATTCATGAGTTCTCATCGCGCAGAATATCTATGGTTCTTGAGGCATTTAGTTGCAGTAGTGAAAAATTATAGGTTTGTTATATCAGTGGCGAAGCGTGCTCTCGTCGGTTTTTTTGGTCGAGTTTTTGCGCCTTTTCTTGCACAGGTTAAGTTAAGATTCTAACTTGCATAAACTGAAGGCTGCAGGAGAAAAACAACGAGATATATCGCCCTTGCTATGCTTTCAGAAGAACACTTCAGGCGGTAAAATGCGAACGGAACTTAAGTTAGCATGGAAACCCTCTGCATTTTGGAATTGTGGAGATATTCTCACTTATAATTGGTTTGCGAGAACAAATGATAAGAATCCCAACAGCTAACACCTGGCACAGTTAGAATTTTTTGAAAACAACGAAAAAACGTAACAGTATAATTATTTAATTTTTATCATGTTTCAAACTTGGGATATAACCTTTGGCTGCTGTAAGAATTTCATCTCGCATTTAAATCTGGTATCCATAATATCGCACAAAAAATCACTATCATCCTTTTGCCCTCTTTAGAACAAAAACGATTATGAAATCCTCAGTTCTATTTTTAAAAGTGTTAAATAGTGTCTTTATTAATATTAGAAATACAATAGCATGGTTTCTCTAATTGCACATCAATAACGTTTCGTTTTTATGAAACAAATCAACAAGACAGCACGAGAATGATGCACTATTTTGATACTGAAAAGTAATGACGAGAAAGGTTAGAGCGATTATGAATTGATTGTCGTAAATAATTTGGAATTGCTTGGTTTTTGTTTTACCTCGCTTCGTGATTGGGTCGCAAAATTCGCAGCACTTTCTCGACCAATCAAGTTCAAAACCAAAACTAATTGCGACTTGGTCGATCACGATTTCCTCTTTTCGGAGTTGGTTTTTGCATTGAGAGGCTCCATGTGAAATTTTCCTTCGTCCTAATGGGCCTTCATGATTACTTTGGATTTAGGTTAACGACATTTGATTGAATGCGTTCTGAAATGCTCAACTTATCCACACAAATTTCAGACATAATTGAAGTTTTCAATTAAAGAATTACGTTAACAGCTGGTGGTGGTGTCAGTTGCACTAAGTACAAACCATTATCATAAGTTGCGTATTTCGAGAATAAAGGTTTCCAAGTCTGAAATTTACTGACCCTCTCCCCTGTTCGCCATCAAAATAACGAACACAAGACCAGCCTAGCTATTCTGCCACATTCTTCGTGACATACGGTGTTTGCTTCTCAAGGCAGTTAGTGAATTTGTTACGATGCTTTCGCCACTTCCCAAGTTTTCTAAATTTCAGCATCCGTTTTGTCCAGTCCAGTAATGACTTATGGGATGTGGAAAGCAATCCTTTCTAAAGCCATTTTCATTCTCATAAGTTAAAAACAAGATCCTTGGAAACTATTTGGCAAGAGGCCACCTTGTGCTTCAGCACGACAAACATTAAAAACGTGACTTTCCGACCGAAACCTTCCATTCGTATTCCACCGCCGTTCTGCATATGTTTTCCGTTATCATTTGGCTAGTATTTTTGACACTTTGCAAATTCCGTGAAAATGCCCTCGTCAGACCACTTCCAGACTCCCTCAGCCTCTACATCAGTTTATCTAATCCAGTAATCCACCCCATCAGCAAGAAATATCGCCTTGGCACTGTTCACGGAACATTTCGAGTTTACAGCGTCCCAGGTCTTTACGCCTGTGAGGTAATAGCAAGAGCTTTGGAAAGAATGCCGCCCATCGTGAAATACAAATAACCAAATTGCTGCGCATTCGATTATGTTATATATCTGTTTGAAAATCCTTATCCTAAGAGACGAATTAAACTCATTGGACCACGGGTCCCTTAGAAAGTGATCCACCAATAATCGATAGGACGATGTATCTGCCTATGGTCAAGGAATAGATCAATTCAATGATCAAATAAGACAATTTAAACGTTGAGAAACGCCGTAATCGACTTTGTCTAGTTCCATTTATTATAGAGGAGGCGATGGTGATGGTGGCGATGAAGACGAGGACAGTGGTGGTGAAGATGATGATGATGATGATCTGGATGAAGACATCAATACTCACGACGGTGGTAGCAGAGCGGACATGACCAGAGGTCTTGCAAAATTCCTATCTATATCAAATAAAAATCATTTTAGCTAGTGTTCCAATCAGGACCCATTGGATCATAACAGAATTCGTATATACACAATGGAAACCTGATACATACATAGCACAGTTATAAACAGGTTTTTAAACAGTTTTACAGGCCTTAGCTCGAAGTACCGGTCAGTACATGTATATGCAATTATTTTAGTAGATGTGATTCTCTTAAAAGGTAAAGATCCATTCTGATATTGCAGAATGGACAGCGAGTAAGTTGTTAAAACTTGACCTGTTTTTTTATATTGTTAGCATAAAGTGAAAAAGCACCGGGCTCAGCCTTTGATTGTTAATCGTAACGATTTGTCTGTTTGTTTATTGCATGCATTTTTACTTATTGGTTTCCTCCGATAGTTTACCAGTCAGATTGATCATATATAAATGATTTTGTTCTTGATCATAATTTTACTTCATAGGCGCTGCCTACCTACATATTTTATGTTGTTTCTTCGTTTGTTTTCGCTTTGTTGGTATTCATTAGAGGTTTGTTTTTTATTTTTCGAATCATTTTTTTACCTTTACCTGCTGAAGGTTTTCCTTCCTTTGTCTTTCTCCCAATGTTCGGTTTTCTTTCATCAATTTATTGATTTTTTAACAATTGTTTCAAGAATGGAAACGATTGTTTGATGCAAAGTATCCTTAGGATACCATCAAGTCAGACAAATAGGTTTAATAAACTTCCCCCAAGATATACCTTTGATCACAGTTAGCTCCTCCTTCCAACCATTTATGGCAAATACATCTATATCCTCCACTAGCGAACCCCGGCCTGACATAATGTGTTGCTCGGACAGGGGCTACTTCGCAGGAGTTCTAAAAAATTTTCAGTTAGGTGGAAGACAGCGTTTGCATGTTCACAGATTTGACTTGAGTGTGATTCGATTTAAACCAGGATTTCAGCACAAACAGTAAACCAGCTCAATGAAAATATCGTGCACATCATCAATCATTACGCACCCTTTTTCATACAAAAATACATACAAGGTAGGTGAGGAAAGAACTAAGCATTCACAATTACATCCTCAACCCGATTAAAATGATTCTAGTTTCAAGATACACGAAAGCCGTACCTGTAAGTGACATGTATAGAAACACCATAAAGAGCAGTTGCTTCTCGTTGTTTCACTCCGTGAAGTTCCAGGCAACTTTAAATTTGTTTTAAAACAGTCGATCCAATAGTGCCCCTATAATAATGGTTTTCTTTACAAGATGTGTTGGTTGATGTGTTCTCCCTTTTGTATAAAAGCTTTGCTGAAGACTTGCAAGTTGGGTGCGATTATTGAGCTCACATGTTGGTGTATCACTGTGTAATGGACCACAGTTGGGTTCACCCAAGCACTGCGACATACATTGCGACTTTCGTCGAACACTGATATTTCTTATAACATGGTTTTTTTTAAGAATCTTAACCTTGGTTACAAACTGGATGGTTCGGCAATCGTTGGTGAGAGCTGGCAAAAAATATATTGCTTAGATTTGTTGTTTTACGTTACAACTCTTATCTATCATGTAAGGAGAGCTAATAAAGAATTCATCACAAAAACTCGTTGTTTTATAAAACAACCCTTTTTTCGATGAGACTCCCTGGATTTTACCTCAAGGGGGAAAATCACTGATAAATAAATCCTACCAATAACAATCTTTTTCGGATTTAAAAGCCTCTTGAGAACTTCTTTATTACCTGAATCGATAAAGCATGTAAAACAATTGTGAAATACAAATTAAGGTACACAAATTAGAAATGTAAAGTAATGAGTAATGTTTTCTTTTTTCGAAAGGAATGAATAAAGTGCATTGAGAGTTTGTTCATGAGTTCTAGTGAAATGCAGATCGGGTAGCTTTCGAACAAACTGGTTAATTAAGCAAGAGGATTTAGGTCTCTGTTCAAGCTGCTTCTTAGGTGCCTTCTCTGAGATGAAATAACTCACTTAATTACTCACAATTGAATACGATCACTGTGCTCTTAGACTAAATAAACAGTATTAGATTACGAGGTAGCCTTTAACGGTCAAGTCAAATTTATAAGGTAAGTCAAATAAATAAGCTAAGTCCTCTTGAAATAAAGTTTGTTTGGAGACGCGAATAAAACCATCTCCCCATTGTGTAAAACAGTGGTCAGAATGGGATTGTGTGGACACTGCAGCCTAATGACAACCAAATTAAACCGGAAATATTTTTTCTTGATTTCTGTCCTGATTTCAACCGCCTATACGAAAAGTTACCTTGATAAAAAGGAAAATAATAATTAAAATCCTAATCGAAAAATTATGAAATAGATTCTGGAGATTTCGATTTCATTGGTCACAAATTGATAATTTCAACTGACATCTGGTCGTACTATTATAGTTGTTAAAAGCCTCGTCAATTCATGAGACGTAAATAAACGAAGTATTCTTACTCTAATAAGCTGATGACTTTAAGAGAAAGAAAACGAGACATTCACCTTTGCCATGCTTTCAACAGAAAACCTCAGGCGGCAAATTGTAAACTAAACTCACGCTGGCACGGAATCCCGTTACATCCATGGCTTGTGGAGTTATTGTCGCTTATTATTGTATAATAATAAAAAAAAACCTATAATGACCCCTACAGTTAACACCTGGCACAAAAAGATACTTTTATGAAGACAGTAGAAAAACATGTTATGACCCTTACTTCTGTCGGATTTTGTACTTCGCCTTTTTTCTTTGCTTTTTTTAAGTCGCTCGAGCAGAGATAGAAACTGCTTCATTCAATTTTTGTGCATTTTCTTCTCCTATAATCATAACAATCAATGTATGGTAAGGAAATCATTCGATAGGATTAGTTTAGGAAACCTCCAGAAAAAACACTTGATGCATTGTTTGGATAAAAATAATGACGAGAAAGGTAGAGTAATAGCTGTTTTCAATTGAATGTAGATAATTGTCCGGGACTGTTATGGTTTTGCTCCACTTCGCTCCGTGGTTGGTCCAGAAAACTCATCAAACGAATTCAAAACCATTTCCAATCACGTTTTCCAGCGCTTCAGTCATCTACTTGTGTTTTAACTTTGAGCCCTTTGAGCTCCTTATGATATATTCCCTCGTGCTGATGGGCCGTTACGATTTCTTTGGATTTGGAACTTATTCGCACAAATTTCAAAAATACAACCGAATTACGTTAGCATAGGTTGTGCTACATTCATTGGGTAGGAACTATTACCTTCATTATTTTTTTCTTGATTCAAATATCAAGACTGTCAAGTCTGACAATTGACTGTTTCCCCAACCTCCCCCTCCCCGGTTCGTGACCGTTACAAAATTGCTCGACTCTCAAGCTCTCCAGGTAGTTTATTTCGTCATAATGCCTCTGCCAGACCAATTCCAAAGGTTCAATATCCATTTTTTCCTCTCCAGTAATTACTCACGAATTGTGTAAGAGGGTTTTTGGTAAGCCTGATTTTGTTCTATTCACAATGTGAGCGCCAAATGACGAACATGGTGACTGCGTTTATGCCAGCTCTTCTTTGCTTTAAAAGTTAAGAGCAAGATCCTTGAAATTAATCCGCAAGTGACCAACAAGTACTTTAGCAAAACAACGAACGATAAAATTTCTTTCCACGATGAGATAAATTTTTTAGAATTAGAGTTAACCTCTTGAAAGCATTAGGATGGAACGCTAATCCTGTTTACAAGCGTCCGCTTCCACTTTCAATGAATGAAATTAGACTGACATTATGATTCTAATATATCACCTCAACCAGAGACAGAAGTCTTTTCAGGCGGAGTAGAACAATATTTTAAAAGGTGAAATAGGAATATCAAAGAAGATTCACTGCACAGTTTTGCCTTCAAGCAAGGGTGTTTGAGTGATTTGTCTTTGCAGCTTCATTGAACTGTCAGTGAGGATTTATTCAATTTTTTTTAACCCTTATTAAGTGTCAGTCGTATAAAACTCTTATTAAGATAAATTAATTCAATACTTAGTATGTATCGTTAAAATGAACTCCCTGAGAAGTGTGCTTCTTTTAAGAGACAACTGTCACATACAGGCCAGTGACGCCCGGTTTGTTAAGCCTAATGGAACGCTATCCATTCTTACAAACGTCCGCCAACACTTTTGATCAATGAAATAGAAGTCATATTATGATTCTAAGACATCAGTTTAAACTGAGACAGAAATCTCTTCATATGAAAAAGAACACTTTTTTTAGGTTTAAAAGGGTGGAAAGGTAAGTTTTGTCATTGCACCTTCATCAAACAATTGATGAGGATTCATCAATTTTTTTAACTGCATTTAATCAGTCATGAATTAATTTTTGAGTTGATTTGTATATCTGTACCGCTTTTTTTACACATAGGTAGCTCAGTTTTTTCTTCTTGTGCGACTGCCATAGAACCCTTTATGACAAAAATTGTATATGTCAAGTATATCTCCTGAAAAACAAATGCAAAACTTTTGGACATTTCCCCCCATCCTTCAGTCATTGAAACTAATAAGCATCATAAATCAGTGAATGTCATGTCGTCACGACTACGTAACGAATATTGTTGTGATTTTGCAAAAAGTGAGTTTACAAATGGGCCGAGAATCGAAAACTCAGTCAAATCTATTCGACGGACGTTACTTGGTTTGTCTAATGGCCTTTTGTGTTCCAACATGTATTCTTAGTCATAACAGATATCAGCTCCCGTAGAAGTAAAAAATAAAGAGGGAACAAATTGGAGGAACAAATGAATACGCAGGTAAGTAAACTATTACAAGAGAGAGATAAATGCCCAAAATATAATGAAAACGATCCCCAAATTTTATTTTTCACAGATGTACCCTCTGAGTTCTTCACAACTTCTATCGTGCCACTCTGCGTCGAAATTCCCTGGCCAAAACGATCCCATTCTTATTCCACCACAATTCTGCCAAATATTGCCAGTTGGCTGGCTTTGATGCCACTTTTGAAATCCTTCGAGAATGCTTCCGCCAGACCATTTCCAGCTTCCTTCAGTCTCCTCATCTGTTAATCCAATCCAGTAATCTGCGCCGTCAGCCAAAAATGTCGTCTTGATAAAGTCGTTTTCTTCAGAAGAATCAATTTTTACCAACTGGGCACCACTGCTTAAACATTTCAATTTTGCGCTGTTCCAACTCTTTTCATCTGTGGTAGGGTGATAGCATGAGCTTTGGAAAGAACGCCAATCTTCGGAACACGCTAAGAAAGGAAAAGCAAATATTATTAAAATATAACGATTAAAATTAATTTGCTAAGCTCGTTCTAATGTTTTGTACCAACATCATTGTATAAATCTGTTTGTAAATCCTTTTCCTAATGGACGTCAGTCAGAGAAGTCATTCAGTCAATCGGTCGATCAATCAATCAATCCACCAATATATCAATAAGTTAAAAGGCAAAACTCTTAAACCGTAGAGAAATACAGTGATTGGCCGTGTTGCGTTGAATTTCTTTTCTCTCTTAGGCGATCAAGCGCTGATCGTAAACTTAACTTAACTTAATAACTTACGTTAAGTTAAATTTTTGAAATTCAGCATGGACTTCTTATGACCGTTACTTGAATTTTCCCACACCATATGGCTTCGACGACCTTAAAAATTTGCCTTAACTTCGAGAAATTTTGTCATTCTATCATTCACTTAATTTCATATTTGTGTGACGCATATCTGGCCAAATTTCAGTGCGGACATTATAAGAATTGAGTTGTAAATTCGCCGAGAACGTTTTCATCACCAGTTCTTGTTCCATCATAACGCCCTTCTTTCATTTTACTCATGACTACTACCTCTGTCGTAGTATTTGTCGTCACTTAGTGTTTCGTCATAATCGAGCAGCTTTCATTTGGCCAAAGTTTCAGTGTGGAACTTTTTAATTCTTTTGAAATACATACAAAGTTTAAGAATGGAGTTATAAACTTTACCTGGTGGAGTTGGATCAGGCAATATGCCTGCTGACTGGGACGGCAGCATCGGCGACGACCACGAGGATTGGGAAGACGGTAGTGACGGGGATTGCGATGATGAGGAGGAAAGAAACGTCGACGTAGGCGTCGGTGACGGCGGTGACGACGTTGATAAAGACGAGGACGATAGTGATGATGTTGTCGACGACGACGACGAAGACGGTGACGACGATGACGACGACAGTGACGACGATGACGAAGATAACGACAATGAAAAAGACGATGATGGAGATGATAATGGTGATGATGGCGATGAGGAAGACGACAAAAATGTTGATAACGGTGACAACAGAGTGGACATTGCTGGAGATTATGAAAAAGTTATGTTCTTAAATTATGTAAAAGTGTATAAAGTGTATCACGACCACACAATCACAACCTAAAAGTCATTCAGTTAATAACAAGTTTTTAAATAGTCTGGATATACTAGTAAGCACTGACAAGCAATTGAGTACATGTGGTTGTTCTGCTTTTCTTGAAAAGCTAAATATTCATTTTGATATTACAGATTGGACAGCTAGTAAGTCATTGAATCCTAGAATTCTTCGCCTTTTTAATGTTCCCAACCGTTTATGTTAGTGTTCCTAACCGTTTATGCTCTGACTTCAAATTGTTTCTCTTTGTCTGTTTCTTTGCTTGATTTAATATGCTTGTTTTTGTTTGTAAAAGACATAAACTTCACCCCAAAATTTACCTTCATTGCAATTAGCTCCTTGTTCCAACCCTTCAGCAAAAATACACCGGTATCCTCTATTAGTGAACCCAGCCTGACATAAAGTGTTGCTCGGACAGGGGCCGCCTTCACAGGAATTCTAAAAAAAAGTATGTAAGGGCTTAAGTCGGAGACAATGTGTGTATTCACAGTTTTAACTTACATGAGGTTGATTCGGGTTTAACCAGGATTTAAGCGCAAACACTAAATCACTTCATTGAAAATATTGTCTACATTACATCATCAGAAGTACTTTAGGAATTTGGCATTTTCAGATGCTAGATGGACATGATTGGAATGATTTCATTATTTGCTCAAGAGCCGTGTATGACATCTACAGAAATACTCTAAATAGCAATAGTTTCGTGTTATTTCACTTTGTCAAGAAAAAAAGGCATCTCATCACTCAATTAAATTCAAGCGACTAATAACGTCATTTCTCGAGTAAGGCTGATTCATTTTTAAAAGAATATTTGAATTTTGCTTTGGATAATCGATCCAAAAGTGCTCCTATGATAAATTGTTATGTTACTTACCAAGATGTGTTGGAAGATGTATCCTCTCTTTTGTAAAAAATTGCTGCCAGAGACTTGCAGGTGGGTGCGATTGCTGAGCTCACATGTTGGTGTATCACTGTGTAATGGACCATAGTTGTAGGACACACAGTTGGGTTCTTGGAAACAGTTTGACCGACACTGTGACTGACTTTGAACACTGATATCTCTTATAACATGGTTTCTAAGAATCTTATCCTTGGTTACAGGCTCGAATTGGATGGTTCGGCAGTTGTTGTTAAGAGCTAGAAAAGAATGAATCGCAAAGAACCGATTGTTATATACAATAACTCCTATCTTGGTGAGACTCCCTGACCTGCACCACACGAGGTGCAATCATTACTTAATTGATCCTATTAATGACAATTTTTTTTAAGATTTTGAAGGCCCTTTGAGAATTTTAATCGGATCAATCAATAAAATGTGTAAAAAATTGTGAAAACCAAATTAAATTTGTCGTATTTAGGTGCTAAACCTAACTATTTCCGTGCTAACCCGTGTCGTATTTGCTGGCCAATTAGGCAGGAGGATTAAGGTCAGTGTTCAAGCCGCTTTTGAGGTGACCTCTCTGGGATGAAACAAGCAACTTAATTACACCACCTACGCACAACAAGAGCATGGGATCAGTGTGCTCTGAAACTACTGAAAAACATTCGATTAAAAAGCAGCCTTTAATATTTAGAGCAATAAGTTTGTTAAAAAAATTAGAAAGGCATTTAAAAACGTCTTCTTATTATGTATAAAAATACCGTGTTGCTGCTGCGACCTTTCGCAACCTATTTAACATTGACACAATTTTGTTTTTTTAATTTCTGTTCTTAATTTCAACCTCCTATTTGAAAAGTTACTTTGATAAATAGAAGAATCTTGAGAATTCAAACTCATAATTAGCTCGGATCCAAAAATTTTCAAATTCGTTTTAGAGATTAAGATTTCCTTGGTCACAAAATCGATACTTTAAATTGATCTTTAGTCGTAGTATTATTGGTTTTAAAGAACTTCGTTAATTCATAAGGCGAAAAAAGGAATAGAAAAATCAAAAAATTATTCTTACTTGCATAAATTGAAGGCATCAAGAGAAAGACAACGAGGTATATTGCCCTCGCCATGCTCTCAACAGAAAACATCAGGCGGCAAAATGAAAACGGAGCTTACCTTGACACGGAATTCCGTTATATTTATGGCTTGTAGAGTTAATCTTACATATGAATGGCTAATGAGAAAAACAATAGGAATCCCTCCAGCTAACACCTGGCACAATAAGACACTTTTTCGGAAGAAAATAGAAAAGATTTTCATCGCTCTTACTACTGTCGGACTTTGTCTTTCGCCTTTTTGCTTGGTTTTTCATAAATTCGGACAAGAATCCCTATTCTGAAGGTCTGAATCCGGTGATTATTATTTCAGCTCGCGGTTAACCCCACCATTGTTTAATTAGTAATGATACAATATCCATACAATCGAACAGCTGAAGACAAATTTTCTCGCTTTTCTCGACAGATGACATCATATCCTTATTTGGTCAAAATAGATGTACTATGTCACTATCATATGGTAGTGTTTAGAAAATGTAAAGTCATCTGAGAATATTATTACTCGATTAAATGCTACTTCCCCTCAGCCTACGAAATTCTATCACTAATGACTTCACTCCTATCATTACTCTGCCGTTGCAATGACTAGGTGACGTACTTTCAGGCTGTCAGAACCATGCTAACTTACACGAACACAAACAACCACACAAGCCACCAAGTCACGTTATTTCTAGAACATTTTACCATTTTCCGTAAAGTCCAAAAAAGGGTACGCGTACTTCAGAGTTACCGGTCGTTTCATGTGCACGAACGTTTTGTACCCAGTTCGGTCGTTTCGTACCCATACAGATAAATTATGTTTTCAATGTTATTAATTGGAGAAAAAGTGTATCGCCTACCCCGCGCTGGGCAATATGTAAGTTAATCGAATAAAGGGGTGAGTTGCTAAAGAAACTGTGGTGCTGCGTCGGTGGGGGAGTATTAGGAGATAATTTGGTTTTATCAACTTAGTGATAATTAAGTTTTTTTGTCAAGAAGGTCACAAGTATACAAAGCAGATTTTTTGTTTGAGTCTTACTCGTTTGACTCTTCTTACTTGTCGTACGCGACGATTGACATCTGTTCACGTGCTGGTGCGTGAGTTATTTCGAATAAATGTGTGAATAGATCAGCGGTTTGGGTACAAAACCGACTCAAACTTGGGTACGAAACGACTGGATACCTACTTAAAGATGCATTGTGTTCGAAACGTCTTGAGTTTTCCACGTATTTTTTCTTTTTTTTTTAACAGATATTTTAAACTTATCAATTTTCTTTCGCTTATATTACGAGACAGCGGTTCTTTCTTATGTTTTCCTTTGAAATTTTTGAGCAGGAAATTGTTGGGTGGCTGGCATCATTGATTATCACGTGCATGCCCAACGTTTGACCACGGAGTAGATCCTCTGCTGTTCTCACGAGCCCTTCCCTCGATTTTGAACAGCCAAAACTTGATCCAGAGTTAACGCTACGTCATAAACTTGCACTCGTGAAACTCTCCCTTTGAACTGTCGACCATCACCACTCTTCACACCGATTCTAACGTCATAGTTAGTGGCCATTGAATGAAATCCAATATCCAGTTGTGCGACCTCTATACCATCGACCCACATCCGAGTAATCCCAGTATTGTAGTCATAGGAAGTGGCTACATATGCCCACCGTCCAATCATCAGTGGGGCGGGACTCAGTAAGTATGTAAACAACGGCCCGCCCCGTTTAGCCATACGGGAGAAAAACTTTCCGTTAACTATCCATAAGTGAACTTCCCAATCCCCCGAGGGTCTGTAGTTGAAAAGAGGCCCATCCTGCCCTTGTGGATACACCCACATCAGCACCGTCAGGGAATACTGGACATCCAAACCACCGAGATTGGGAAGTGTGATAAAGCTATTCTGAGTACCCAGGAACTGGTGAGAGCCCTCACATTCCCCATCCGGTCCATCTGCGAGCTGCACATTGGAAGGAATACCATCCGGTTGATTGCCCATCATGTCTTTTGTTCCATAGGCAGAATTTAAAGGGTATAAGGCAACAGGTTCCCTTACAGCTGAAACAAAGGAAAGTTTTGATGACCATAGGTCATTCTTATGACTTGAATAAGTGAAACTGCAAGTTTGATAAAAACTCCGTGCACCGTGCTCGTGATGGAAAAGAATATGGCAAAATATAATAAAATAATCGAAACAAAATGAAAGTTTCGATGACCATAAGTCATTCTAGTGACTTGAATAAGTGAAACGGCCAATGTGATAAAAATTCCGTGTATCGTACTCGTGATAGAAAAGAATGCGACAAAGAATAATCAAAGAAAAAAAATAACTTTGAAGGGAAATGTATACAGCAGAAAGAGGAGCATTCCTATCAGACTTAAACAATACTAAGGATCCTTAGTATTTATAACTGTTTTTCTTTTTTTAATTACACATAAAGATTACCTATCTCGCATTGCTCTCCTTCAAAGCCTGAAGGACAAACACATCGGTATTTTTTCATAGTGTAGCCAACTTGACACTGTGCATTTATCGGACATGAGCTGTTTTCACAGTGGTTCTGTAAGAATGATGTCAGTCAATAAATGCAATAACAAAGGATTTCCAGCAAAATAACTCGATACTTGGAAATATAAGCTTACTGTTACGATAGTTTTTCAAAGATTACTTTTCCCACTCACCAGCACGCTTCGATAAATGTAGCCTTCCTTCATTATGAAGTCAGTATTGGATGCTTGCCGATGGCTTCGATTGTTAAGGTCACACTGTTTTAATTCACTGTCTTCCGGACCGCAGTTGTAAGAGACACAGTTTGGTTCTTTATAGCAGAAAATTTCGCAGATATCGTTGTTGCTAACTGTCACAGTTCTAATAGTATTGTTTACTAGGATCTTATCGACGGTATGATGTTCGAATTGAATATTTCTGCAATCACCCGGAAGGCATATCCCTGTTGTGAAAACAAAAACCACAATCTTATCCAATTAATTGAAAAGAGAAAGGACTGATTAAAATTGACCAGAGACATCAAAAGGTGTAGAGAGACATAAATTCACTTCCCAGCTGACTACAGATAGTCTTTTTTTTAGTGAGCCTAAAATTCTAATATTTCGGTTGCCACTGAGAAGAACAAATTATAGTCTGTTTTACAAATATTATATATCCAGTATATCATCAACAGAGAAAAATATTGCATGAGGACAATAATTTTTTTTAACTTGCTTTCTCCTTGTTTTCTAACTCTGTACTTGATACTAAAAACTCTTTGATTCTTAAATTTGAAACATTTGTTCGTTTATTTTGTAGATCGATTAGTTTGAAGTAATGAACGCCTAAAGAATTATCACTTAAGTACACTTCTTGAGTGAGGTTTGAAGATTCTTATCAGGCTGAACTTAATTGTTTCCAACAGAGTTTCTGTAAATATCCATATTGACTGAATTTAATATTATAAAGAGTACATAACTTCCCCTAGATGCCAAAATTTGCAAAATATTTAGATCGATTAGTCTGGAGTGATGACCGCTTAAAGCATTATCAATAAAGTACACCTCGTATAGTGTCTTTTAAAGACTCTTATCTGGCTGAACTGAATTTTTTCCAACGGAGTTTCTGTAGATGTACATATTGACTGGAAGGAAATATCCTAAGAAGTGCATAACTTTCACTTATATTTGAGATAGCAAGCCGCCAAACCTTGGTTTATTTTAACTGTTAATTTGTTATCATTTTGAAGAATAATTTTTGTCAGGTTTTGCTTTTTTTACCATAACTTAATTAAGGTTTGCGCGGAATGAAACAGAAAACTAGTAGCATAGAACACACTGACTAGGCCTTCTGGTGAAGGTGGCCACCGTGATCAATGGTAACAAACCGTTTCCATGTTCCTTCGAGATTGGTCTTTAAAACAGGAGGGTGGCCTACTACACAAAATAAGTTATCTATACTTGCCTCCGTTAATCGATGCTACAAGAAGAAGCAGTGAGAATATTTCCACGAGGGTGTTCATCTTTTTGAAAGGTCGTTGCAACACGTTGCACAAATTGTTCATCAATAACCAGTCAAAAATTTCTTTTTGTCTTCAAGAGATGTACGGCTCTTGAGATGAAAATCGTCCGCTGGCTTAAACAACAAATAAAATTAAGGAGCCTTTTTCAGTTTCCCTAAAACAAACCACCTGAATAAGAACCACAGGTGTCCTAAAAGTAATTACGTTTTGTTTGCACCATCGAAGCTGATACGACAATCCTATTACTATCTGTGCTCTTGACCAAGTTTCTTATCTATTTTCTATGATCTGTACTAATTGTTTTGTTTCCTTTTATCTTTAATTTTCCTTCTCTTAAGTGTACTAAGTATATGATGAGCCGCGTTGTGGATAGAAGCGATGAAGCCCTTAATTACTGAGGCCGCAATTAAGATCTGCTCAGTTTGAGGCTACTTCACATGCTAAGACTTGTAAAGCTGCCAAAATAGTCGTCTCATTTATTTGCTCAACATGGTTTTGCACCAATATAGCAGAAACCTTTATGTAATCTATTTGAAACTGTGCAATAATTAATTACACGGTCCCTAACAGATTGAAATTAACCATGACAAACCTTGTACTTTGTAAATAGGAAATAAAATCAACAGAATTCTTCATTTTTCAGCCGCAAATACATTAAAGCCGATATTGCGATTATGCTTTTCTCTGTAGCTATGCCACGAATATTAACTTTTGTTTCCAACATTTTGATGAGGTCAATTTTCTGTGTAGCCTCTTTGCACTGCTTCACAAATGCTATTAACGTTAAGCAAAACAAAACGAACTTACAGAAAATAGATCAACGCAAGTATCTATTAACTCCACCTGCAATAAACAAATGTCGAAACATGGATGATTGAAAGTGATTCCGTATCAACAACTTATCCCGTTTTTTGACTTCCGTTTTAAAAATTCAAGTAAAATTTTGTAATGAATAAGAGATTGAAACCAATCAATCAAGAACATTGAATAATCTCACATGTTAACTAATGCTTGGTAATTTTCTGCTTTTGCTTGAAGCTGTAAATTTCACGTGTTATTACTGCGTCAATGCATTTAAGAGCTAATGTCAATATGCATCAGACAAACAGCGGCAAGTCACTCAAATTCGTTTTCTCTCCTACTTTCATATTTTGTAGCCCAATATGTCCGAATAATTGTGGTGTGGTGTATTTTAGTTTTTGAGAAATTAGTTTTTTCGTTCGACCGCTCAAATATGCAAATTTTCACCCTAAAGTTGTGTTTGTATAAAGTAAACGCGGTACGACACTCATATCTGTATGAATTCTCTTTACGAGCGAGGGAAGCATAGAAAAAGGACGTAAATACTTGTTTTTCCATTCTAAATTATCTTGCATGTAAACGCAGTATGAAATTCATTTCGTTTCGGAACGAAACCCATTTTGGAATAATGTAAAAAGTACCTTAGGGACGGACCATTAGATTTTTGATGCGGGGGAGGTCTCTGATGCATTCTTGAAAAGAAAAAAAGGCTTGAACAGTAGACATCGCAAGATCTTTGGCTATGTTACAAAAGAATACTTAATGCACTAGAAGTGCACGCATCGAGTTCTGGATGCACTTGAACAATCTGTTTAACAAATGCAGACGTACAGTTATTTTAATCCCTACTAAATTATGTCAAGACGACAAAAAAGTACAGCCGTCCTGCCTAGAAGCAGGACAGATTTTGTCAGCATAAACATCTGACAGATCAGTGCCTAAAAGTTTTTATAAGTAAATAATGAGTTCACGTGAATTTTACGAGGTGACATCTTTTGTTTTTAGGTGCTGACAGGGTTGGTGGGGGAGGGGGGGGGATCGGAAATGGGTGAGGATGCTTGTCGTACCTTTCAGTGGTCAAAATCAGTGATCTGATACCTTTTACGGTGTCTCAAACTTTAGTGGACTACCAGATACCAAGCTGGTACCTTTTAGGGTGTTTTTCGCTCAATAAAATGCCTGAAATAAGCATTACTAGGACGATTTTAATGATCTGACTTGAGCCTCTGGAGCACATCGATAAAGGAGTTCTTATTTTTGGGATTTTTCAATTTTTTTGTGTTTAAATTGGTACTTTTTAGGGGTAGATATCAGTTGTTGCCACTCCCACACGGATGAGTCAGGTACCTTTTAGAATTTTATAGGGGTCGTTTTCGAAACTCCCGGCGCGCATCCTCGCTCTCTTGTGTATAGGGGTTCCCCGGGGGGTGCTGATACTTGCACTTGAAATTAAGCAAGGAAAAATTTTGATGTGATTTTCGGTGAAGAGAAAAAAGTTTTGTCAGCGTCTTGTAGCTAATGCGGAAGGGCCCTTTACCACTGTGTGCTTAATTACTCGTCCCGCCAGACGGCGGGAAGCCTACAAAGTGCTCAGACATTAGTATAGAGAAATCCACCTCTACCAACTCCCGATCGAGGCCTAAGTCTGATGGGACGCGTAATTTTGCACAAGGTGGTAAGTAGCCAGGTTATATGAATTCTATTTCGACACCAGTCCTACTCACTAGTGAGTCACGTGAGATATGTGCGAGAAGCCCGAGCGATCAGTTGCGCGCGTAATTCCAGAGCGGTCGGTCGTGTATTTTTCCAGTGCTTGGATTATGGCGGACGAACATGATCAAATACTTTCCACTGAGGCGGAGGACGAACTCTTAACCGTTGAAACGGACCCTAAAGAAAAGACTCCAACTGATGTCCACCCGGATCCCATGTTTAGTATGATGCAAAATGTGAACAGAAACCTCGGAGCAATGGCAGACTCGATGATCGCCGTGCAGCAGTCGCTGAAGCGTCTTCACTCCAGCCGCACAGACGAACAAATCGACCCTAAACGGCGTAAACACTGTTCCAGAGACGAAATGAGTGCCTCCGATGGTTCAGAGCACGATGGAGAAGACTCTGACGCAGACTTGCAGGCCCTTTGTGGCACTGAAGCCGACGGAATTTCCAAGGATAAACCACGTGCTCCACTTGAGCAAAACGATGGCAGCAATGACCCATTGTTGTCAGAAATCGCAGAGGATTTTCTCAAAGCAGACGACTCAGGTCCGGCTATTGAGAAACAACTGGCGGACTTTATCAACAACCTGAGGTCTAAGAAATTGCCAGACTCGAAACTTAAGGATAAGTCGGCGAAGTATTTACGCCCGGCGAACTGTGAGACTCTCACAACACCGCGGGTTAATCCTGAAATCTGGGATAAACTGAGCCACTCAGTGAAACAGCAGGACCTCAGGTCCAGCTCAATCCAGAAAACGATTGCCACAGCTGGTGCTGCAATGTGCAAATCCATTGGGATGCTGCTAGAAATGAAGAATTCGAAGCAGCCGAAGTCAGACTCTGACATTCAGAAACTTGTCAAAGTGAACACCGATGCGGTCGCTCTCCTAGGGCACGCATATATCGACCTGTCCCACCGTCGCAGGGAGTCGCTCAAACCGCATCTGAACAAAGATTATGCTGGTCTGTGTGCTTCCCATGTTCCTGTAACAGCTCAGCTGTTTGGAAACGACCTGCAAACCCAGCTGAATAATATAAGAGCATCCAACAGAGTAAGCTCCACAGCAGTTGGGAATCGCCACAAAAACTCGAAGGGACACCCTTCCCGAAACTACCAAAAATTTGATCGGCGAAGCAAGCCTTTTTTAGGCAAAGGCCGTCAGTGGAACTCGAAGCCACTTCAAAAACCCTTCTTCCGACAACAGGACCAAGGGAAGAAGCAGCAATGATTTCCGCTGACACACTTGATAATTTACAGGTAAATAATCTTGTCTTGTTTGAGTCTAATATGAAACATATCTTTGCGAATAAGGTGCAAAACTTCAGGGCTGGCCAACTGACACATTTCCTTGGTAAATGGAAAGAACTAACTTCCGACTCGGAAGTCCTTAACTGTGTTAGGGGTCAGTACATTGAATTTTCCACACAGCCCACAAAAAACTTGGTTTCCAAAAGGAAAACATTCAACATCAGTGACTCACTAGTTATTGAAGCTGAAATTAAAAAAATTGCTTGACAAAGGTGTCATTGTACCCACTCAACATGAAAGTGGAGAATATATTTCGCCTATTTTTGCGACAAATAAAAAAGATGGATCATCTCGAATGATCTTAAATTTGAAAAGCTTTAACCAGCATGTTGAATACCAACATTTTAAAATGGACTCGGTCTGGACAGCAATTAGGCTCATGACCCCAAATTGTTACATGGCGTCAATCGATTTAAAAGATGCTTACTATTCGGTCCCTATTGCAAAGCCACACCATAAGTACCTCAAATTTGAGTGGAACAACATGTTATTTCAGTTTACATGTTTTCCCAATGGGTTGGCCTTTTGCCCTAGGAAATTTACCAAGCTAATGAAACCAGTCTTTGCCACCCTTCGACAGCTTGGCCACTTATTGTCAGGTTACATAGATGACTTCTGGTTGATGGGGACAGTCTGGGATGATTGTGCAAAAAAGGTGGTTGACACGGTAAAATTATTAGACAGTTTGGGATTTGTGGTACACCCTGAGAAGTCGGTGTTCATCCCAACTCAAAAACTGGTATTTCTGGGTTTTACTCTAGACTCAGTTAACATGCAAGTCTACCTTACACCTGATAAGGCTGTTAAGCTAAAACAGGCAGCTACTGTTATGTTGCACTGTAAAAAGCCTACTATTAGGGATGTAGCTAAGGTCCTTGGGCTTATAGTATCTAGCTTTCCTGGCGTTGCCTATGGACCACTTCACTACCGCTATTTAGAACGAGATAAAACTATAGCTCTTAATGCTAGCAAATGGAACTTTGATGCCACAATGTGCATATCCAGCCAAGCAGGTGAAGAGCTTAAGTGGTGGATTGAATCAATCGAGACTGCATCCAACCCGATAAATCGAGGAGAAGTAGATATTACCATTACTTCTGATGCCTCAAAACAGGGGTGGGGTGCAGCAACCAGTGATTCTTCAACTGGGGGATTTTGGACTGTTGAAGAGGCTAAGGAGCACATCAATTTTCTCGAAATGTTAGCTGTATTCTTTGCCTTAAAATCATTCAGTACTTTGACTCATGGCAAACATGTTAAGGTCATGGTCGATAATACTACCACTGAATCAACTATTAACCAGATGGGTACAAGCCACTCCCCTAAGCTAAACAAGCTAACTAAAGACATATGGGATTGGTGCATTAAGCACGATATATGGCTGACTATGGCTCGTATACCAGGGTGTGAAAATGTAAAGGCAGACAAAGAGTCGCGTACATTTAGGAGGTGTACTGAATGTTGCTTAAAGAAAACTCTCTTTGCAAGGGCTTGTACCAAGCTCAATGTTACCCCTAACATCGACCTATTTGCGTCTAGGATCAATTGCCAGATCACGCCCTATGTCTCTTATAGAGCAGACCCAGAAGCTTTTGCCATCAATGCTTTTCACATGTCTTGGCAACATTATTTATTTTATGCTTTTCCACCATTTAGCCTGATAACAAGAGTTCTTCAAAAGATTCAAGAGGAGAAGGCAAGAGGGCTTCTACTTGTTCCAAAATGGCCAACTCAAACGTGGTGGCCCAAGTTAATGCAGATGTTAATACAACCACCAGTACAGCTTCCAAAGGACAGAGACACTCTGTTCCTACCCAGCAGCCCTCAGGAACCTCATCCACTTCACAAGAAACTGTGCCCGATTCTGTGTCACTTGTCCGGAGATACCTCAACGGCAAAGGCCTTTCGACAACAGCTACCACAGTCATGGAACACTCCTGGCGGTCAGGCACTAGAAAGCAATATGCTACTTACCTTGAGAAATGGAGACGCTACTGTAGTACAAGGAGCATTGATCCCATTTGTCCCCCTGTAGAGGAGGGAATCAATTTTCTTGCTGAACTCTATGACTCTGGCATAGGATACAGTGCTATTAACACTGCGAGGAGTGCCATCTCATCTATTGTTACATTGGCTAACAATATGTCGTTTGGTACCCACCCCATGGTGTGTCGTTTCCTCAAAGGCGTGTTTGAAATGAAACCTTCCCTCCCTAAATACAAGAACATTTGGGATGTCAACACTGTCCTGGCTTACTTGTCAAACCTTCACCCACCTCCGGGCTTAACTTTGAAGGATCTCACCTTCAAAACGACAATGCTTTTAGCTTTGTTTTCAGGGCAGAGGTGTCAGACACTGCATTTGCTTTCTGTTAGCAATATGGTATTGAAGGACGATAGCTGTGTATTCATCATCAACAAACTTTTGAAGACCTCTCGGCCAGGAAAGCATGTGTCAGACTTAACATTCACAGCCTACTCACCAGACAACCGTCTGTGCCCTATCGTCTGCTTATTTGAATATGTCAAAAGGACAAGTCACCTTAGGAAAAGGAGTGACCAGCTGCTAGTGAGTTTCCAAAAGCCTCACAAGCCAGTTTCAACTGACACGATTTCTCGATGGCTAAAAACGGTTCTTGAAAAGTCAGGAATAGATACCTCAGTCTTTAAGGGACATAGCACCAGGGCAGCTTCTGCATCTGCAGCTGCAAAGTGTAAGGTTCCATTGTCTACAATCATGGATAACGCAGGCTGGTCGAATGCGACAACCTTTGGGAGATTCTACAGGAAACCCATCGTCACATCAAGTAAAGCTTATGGACAACTCCTATTGGAGAACCTCCACACATAGGATTGTTACAAGACATTTGTTACTGTTAACCAGTACTCATTACCACATGTTTGTTGTGTTTACTTAGTTGCTGCCTATTATAGGCAGACTCCCTATGACAATGAATCTGGGAACTTGGCAGCTTACTGTTTACTGCCTTTTTTCCTGAAGTGCACTCTGTGCACCATAGACTGACAAGCCATATTGCAGTAGTTGTTTTGTACACATAGTTTTGGTAAATAAAACTGTTTGTGTTTATTTCTTTGCTCATAATTGCACTGCTTTAAAGTCTCACGTGACTCACTAGTGAGTAGGACTGGTGTCGAAATAGAATTTATAAGTTAAACGAGACTTACCGGTAAGTTGAAGTTTGACTGTAATTCTATGAGATACCAGTCACGAACTAGGGAGTCACGTGCCCTACCCCTTCACTTGGTGACTATGTAGCACATTCATCTTATTACTTCCCACCCATTATTGTTTGCAATCATTCGCCTTTAAAGACTGATCGCTCGGGCTACTCGCACATATCTCACGTGACTCCCTAGTTCGTGGCTGGTATCTCATAGAATTACAGTCAAACTTCAACTTACAAGTAAGTCTCGTTTAACTTATAAATTTTCCAGACGTCTTTCGTACTATCAGTGATACACGCTTGCCAATATCCCAATAGGCATTTGGAATCGACTTAACCCTACCTTTACCATGGTCTTACACTTTTTTTGGAACTCTACAACTACTAATGAAACCACGAATTCACCCAACACCGGTACCGAGATTTGATCTATGAGTAGGGCAAATTGTAAAATCATCGATAGCTTTTGGCGTCTCGAAGATGCGGCTCGCGACAAAATAAGATCAACTTCAGTTTCTGGATCTCCGTAGGTAACTTAAAATGTCTTTTTTACAACTACGCAAGGGAACGACCTGAGATATGCAAAGTCGGTCTTCTCGATAACTATACCCAAAAGTCTTACAAACGAACGATTTAAATGAACAGCTGATCTCCTTGTTAGCACGTAAGATGAGACGCTTATACAACAGATCATTTGGTGAAACGGTGTGTAGCTTGTCAATCGAATTGACTTTTGCAAACATTCTTTGACTTCCGCCGGCAAAGGAATCATTGATGGATCTGGACATTTTTAGTAATTCTTAGAAGGTTTTTATAGATATGAAAAGAGAGGAAAAAAACCCATCTCTTGGTAATTCGGAGGTTGATTCATCTTTGAATTTATGTGTCACGCTTGCCATGCAACTAATATAATAATGTGGGGAAAATTTACAAAGTGTAAATTAAATCTGGCTAAAATATGGTAGAGCATAACTTGATCACCGAAACAGCTAATAAAATCATAAATAAATAAGGTAAGAGGTTATGTTAGATTTCTTTACAAACTATAGTGATTTATGCCAGTAAACGGTGGCGACAAGTAGACACACCATGTATATTTCATAGTCGTTAGCAAGTAAATTTTGCCGGACTTTGAGTTCGTCTCATGATATAACAACACAAATACACAAGGAAATTTTTACAGTAACTTTATAACCATCCTTTTGTCTTTAGAGCTAGAAGCTCAGTAGATTCTGTCATATCGGTCATTGTTAAAACTGTCTTTGTTTTGATGCTACTTTTCGACATAGAAAGCGGAAATCCTCTCTTAAAATGTTATATTCAGTATCACTAGCACTAATTACAAGCACTCAGAAAAGAGGAAAGCTTGTTTCCAGCATGGTAAAAGATAGTAATAACATTTTTCCTCAGATCTTTGTCGATTAATTACGTTTACAAAACCAATGACCACGTGATAAAAAACAAAAAACAAAAACCCCGTCCGACAGCAACTGCCAGCTCCTGTAAGAACCTCTGCACATTGGCATCGGCAGAAATATTGGACAAGATGGCGGCCGCGCTTGTGCATTTCGTCCATAATGGCGTCCAAATAATATAAGAAACTGTACGGAAATTTG